CAGGACAGTGATTGAAATTTCTTTTAAGAGCCAATTTTTTTAAAACTTAAACTTCTTCTAACGCCACTTCTTCAAAATAGACTCGCCAAGGCCGTGGTATTTTGTGGAAGAGCCACACTCAAGGGGCCAAAGAGCCGCATGTGGCTCGCGAGCCACAGTTTGCCGACCACAGGCATACAGCGATGCACTGAATAAACCAATGACAGTGGAGGCTGGGGAGCTGGAGCCTGGGCTGAGAGGGAGCCACGGTGTGACGTGGTGAGGTGCTCGGACACAAGGGAACCCACTAGAGAGAGGCCAGTAGCTGGAAAACGGAAAGCAAAACTGTGGTTTATTGGGTGCACAGGAAAACAAGTCTTATTACCATCCCTGTTTATTGGACAAAAATTACATTATCTTCACTGATTATTGCCTGTACCGGCCTTAGCGCTACAGTGTTGGAGTGACTGTGAGGTATGTGGACGCCCTTAGCCACAAGTGGGAGTACAGAGTGGACACTGTGGAATGGTGGAAAGCAGAGTCAAGCCCAGTCCCAAAGGCCAAGGCCACTTCCGTTCTGCTCAACCAATCTGTGTTTTGCTCTTTCTCTTCCTCTCTCTCAAGCCAGTAAGAAACATATCCCTGATGATTTCCATTCAAGGGCAAAGGGCCCTGTGGGAGGCAACCATCCACGTGAGAGCAGTGATTCATCTTGGCTGCACGTTAGGATGGAAGCTCCCAGCGCCATGCAGCCGGAGCTGTCAGTGGTTCCAGTGTGCAGGCAAGGTTGAGAAGCACTGCTGGGACAGCTGAGTTTAAGGAATTGGTTGGATTTTTTTTTTTAATTTCTTTTTTAATCACAGCTGGCACACAATATTATATTTCAGGTGCACACCACAGTGATGAGGCACTTATATAATTAACGAAGTGATCGCCCTCATAAGTCTAGTACTGATCTGACACATACATAGTTACTAGAATATTATGAGCTGTACTCCCTATGTTGTACTTTATATCCCCATGACTATTTTTATAATTGCCAACTTGTACTTCTTAATCCCTTCACCTTTTCAGGAACTCAGAATCTGTTGGGTCTGGGTGGAGCTCCTGCATCCAGAAGGCAGTGGGAGGGTGTTAGCAATGACTTGTTAGTGACACAGTTACAGTGCTGGTCTGAAAATGGCTTACTTTTTACAAAGTGGAGTGGATTGCAGCTATAATAGCCTCTTGTTGATCTATTCAGCACGTTGTACACCTAACCATGTGAAAGGTATTTCAGGCACCAGGGATTCAGCACAAAACAAGACAAAAAAATCCTTTTCCTGTTAGAGCTAACATTCTAAAAGCGGAAACAGACAGCAAGTAAATGCACACTACAAACCCTGGAAGGTGTAGATGCTTTGAAGAATTTTTGCATTGCAATTGTTTTCTTTCATTAAGAAATTTGTAGGATATATTAAGGCTCACCCTGATCTGGCTGAGCATCTGTGGATGGCTTCAGAGGAACGGATAGTTCACCTTAGTTGGCTAGTGGCGTTTGCATAGATAGAGTCGGCAGTCAAAAGGAAGGCTATAGAGGAAGCGGAGGGATGGGCTTGTGGCAGCTTCCCTGCCTAGAGCACCCGGCCCCGCATGGGTTGCAGGGCGCGGGTGAGTGAAGCAGCAGCCTCGCCCAGGGATACTCGCTCACGCAACAGCTCTGGTTCTCAGCTCTGAAGCCGGTCTGGCCAGGTGAGAACTCCCCTGTAAGGATTCTCGCACCCATTCTGGGGCTGGTCCTGTGCCTTGGCCCCTGCCTCATCCATCTGCTGGCTCCACACTGAGCTCCTGACCAGCTGTGGCCAGCCAGGACCAGTCTGTGCTCTGTCCACTGCTCCTGAGGACGATTCAGCCCCCCACGGTCATCCAGGCCAGCCCTGCCCGAGGCGTCCAGCTCAGCCCTGTGTGTGATTCGGGCTCGTCAGGATTCCTGGCTTTGACTCTGAGGTCTGTCCTTGCCCTTGTCCTAAACTTTCTCAGCGCACACTCAGATCCTACTGCCTTACCGTGGTTAGCGCCATGGTGAGCCGGACTGCTTAGCCCTCATGCTCCGTCCCCTCAGCCGTACAGTCCGAGTGTCTGTCCCCACAGAGGACAGGGCCGGGGAGGACAGAGAGCCTGAGGGGAGAGTCCCGGCCACCGTGGCGAGCTTAGATGTGTTGGAGCTTGGCTCCTGAGTCCAAACATCGGTGTTCTGTATGCTTCGGTTGGGCTTCCGAAAGGCAGGAAGGGCACAGGGAGGCCGGCTGCCACTGCCGAGATCCTCCTCGCCAGAGGCCCGGGCCTGGCACCCACCCGGGTGATGGGATTCTGTCAGCTCTGCCCAGGTGGCAGGACAGCAAAGGCCATTAGCTAAGATGCCATCAGAGCCGGGCGGCGGCAGGCACATTCAGAACGCTCGTTTACTGCGAGGAGCCCCGGAGAGCCTTCAGGGCAGGAAAACGCCGTGAGTGCAGATAGAGCCTTCTTTGGGGAAAGCGTGCCCTTGATTACTCCTCGCTCTGTTCCCACTGCCGTGGAGTTTTAATTGTGCTGTCCCGTCAGCATAAAGCCGTTAGGGCCAACAAGACTGCGTGAAGGAGGCTCATTTTCACTTAGTGCAGCTGTCTGCTGAGCCTCTGCTTGGCTCTAAGCTGCGGACTTAGGAGGTACAGTCCCTGCTCCATAGACAGGACTTGGGACTTGAAGGGTTAGAGCGCCAGGGCAGCCCCTGGTGGTCATTCCTGAGAAGGACTCCTAGGGCTCCGAATGAAGTCCTCATAGCTGAGCTTTACTGCAGTGACAGAGGGTAACCAGCTCAATCTTCACAGAGGCGGAGGAAAGCTAGAAAGCACACTGAGTTTTACCAGTGCTTATGAAGTGTTCTCTGGAGCCCTGAAGTGTCTCCGGGTTGGTGGGTAAGAGAGAGGGTAGGTAGGGGGTTCCTACCCTTGCCTCTTTCCTCCATCTCTGCTTCAACCAGTAGCTCAGTCTTTAAATTTTTCATATATTGGCGAACAGTGCAAGGCTTTGTTGGAGAGAAGGGGAAAGCTGATACTAAAAATAAATGTGAAAACCACAGCAGTGGTTTGCCTTTCTGAACTCCTTTGTGCACTTCTGCTCGTCCTGCTTTTGAGTGAAGGGGGAACCTAAAGAGCTTGAGAGAGAAAGCCGAGTGGGCTAAGGTGGAGAATGAATCCACGAGGAGATTTTGGAGATGCCCTCACCTGCTGGGTAGCACCAGGCAGTCGGGGCTCGGGACTACTTGCCTGTCGTAAGCCCTTGGAAGGTTGTCCTGGGAGAGATGCTAAGTGGTTGGCATCTGTCTGCACAGAGGACCCAGTGAGAAACTGCGATTAAAGGGAAGAAGCTGAGAGAATTCCTCTGGACTTCCTGAGGACAGTGCCTATGTTTCCAGAACAGAGCCCCAAAAATCCCCTTCCCGGGCGTCCCAGACGGTCTCTGCTCAGAGCCCTGCGGAGGCCGGAACCTCCGGGAAGTGGCCCAACGCTAGCCTCATGGGAGAAGCGTAGGAAGTAGAACTTTATAGAAGCAAGCGCTTCTGGAATTAAGTCGTGTTAGACTTGTCACACATCGGATTATGGAATTCATCTCTAAGCACCTGCTCAGTAACATGAAATTAATGTAACTTCACGCAGCGTCATGTATAGCACATCATAAAGACAAGTAAGTGCGGCACAGTTCACTTACAGCACTGCTCAATGAAGAGGGGGAATTTATCATCATCTCTTTCTCAGATTATCCAAGAGAAAAACCGGCCTGTTGCCCTCATGTAGAGATGGGGCTGTTTATAAAGTCTCACGAAAAAATTCTACTCTCTTGGCCACAGCACCACCACCCCTCCCCCCCCACACACACACCTTTGGGAAGTAGTATTTTGTGTGGCTCTCACTGGCACACAGTTAGCAAACTGTGTTTGTGCAGGCTCTGTTGCCTTACACATAAGTGGGTTGTGAGTCAAATAGCACGTGTCTGGCTGGTACTTAAAGCACATAAGGTTATAAGCCTCTGGAAAGTCCCAGAGGATAGAAACTGTGTGTGTTTAATGAATTATTTCCCAACAATATTTAACCATTTCTTTTGCAGAATAGCTGTTGCCATATCAGGAAACATTGGATAGACATTGGCCTTCAAATAGTTTTCATGTGAACAGAGAGCATCACTTAGTTATTTCCATTGGAGAAGCTAGCACAACAGGAAATAATTTATGTACCTAAAGCCCTTTGAAAAGAAAAACAAAAACAAAAACCCACACACACAGTTATTTTGAATGTTTCACAAATTGTGAAGAAGCTCAGGTGAAACCAGAGCATGAAAAGCTAGGACAGTGGTCTGCAAACTGCGGCTCGCAAGCCACATGTGGCTCTTTGGCCCCTTGAGTTTTTAGCAAAGGCCAGCTTAGGAGGACCCTAAGTAAGTTAATAACAGTGTACCTACCTATATAGTTTAAGTTTTAAAAATGTGGCTCTCAAAAGAAATTTCATGTCGTCGTACTGTTGATATTTGGCTCTGTGGACTGAGTTTGCTGACCACTGGTCTAGGAAATGTGCAGCTCAGGTAGGCACTGAGGGAATTGCCTGAGGGGCCGCCTTTCACTATGGAGGAGGAAGAGAAAGATGAAGAGAAGGAGGGGGAGGAGGAGGGGGAGAAGAAGGAGGAGTTGTTCTTGGGTTTTGATGGGCAGCAGCTCTGTCCACCTGGAATTTGCTTTATCTGCCCTTTGTCTTGGGGAGCACAGTTTGGGAGCAGCGCCTTTGGGGAGATAAGAGCTACAGCAAGGAAACAGCAGCACCTGTGGGCAGTGTGCAGTGCCCTCGCGTGTTGCTTGGCAAGAAAGACGGTGCTCCCCACTGGCTGTCCTCTGGCCTTGCCGTCACTGGGGCTGTGGTGAAAGTGACTGGGTTTCTCTGTAAACGGTCTTTTTGTTTGTTCCGGAGCATGCAGACCCTCACCTTTCTGTCTCTCTCTCTCCTCCGTTTCAGTGAGCGGTTTCTGGTGAGACTGAACAAGAATGGTGGGCCAAGGAACCCAGAGAAGATAGACCGAATGTGTGCCCTCTTTACAGTATGTGCCAGTTCTCTTCCCTTCTCCGCTGTTACTCCAGCCAGGGCTGCAGTGTGGCTATTGTCACCCTAGAAACAAGCATTTATTCCTGTTTCCCCACACACTGGGGAGGATAGGCCTTCATTTATGTTTCTACCAGGTTTTAATGAAATATTTAAGGAAAACTGAAATTAGTTTTTAATTGAATTTTTTACTAAAGAAATATAATTAAGTGCCTTTACTAATGTAGATTTTATAAGCTACTTAATATAATAGACACTTAAAATCTGGGAGCAGTCTTTCTTACTTTCTCTGAGAGGTAGAGCCTCATGTTCCTGTAGAGGCAGAAACCGCTTCCCTGAGATGGCTGTCATTGAAACGCCCAGGTGTCTGGAAAGGTCTGTGAATCTGGCTCAGCTAAATGATGTTTTGTCCACCTTGGAGCTCAGCGTACAAACCTTAGGTGACAGTGCGGGGAGGAAGGGCAGGAATGCCGACCCATGAAGACGGTTAAGGAGTTGAGATCATTGTGTCCGAGAAGGTCAGGGCTTGCTCTTTCAGCAGGAAAAGATAAGGGAGAGAGTCCAAACTGCTGTTAATGGGCTTAGGTGAGGGGATGGGGGGGAGAGGCCTGAACTGGGATGTGGAGCGCTGCGGTCACCGCCTGAACCAGCTGGACCTCTGTCCAGAAGGTCTCCATAGCGTTAGGAGGTTTTTCTGGATCCTGGTTTCTAACCTTTTTCTGTTTTGATTCATTAAAGCAGCAAAAGAAAGTGTTGATTCCTTGCTCTTTGGCACTGGGACCAGGCTGTGTGCATGCACTGTCCTTGAACACGATGAGTGCAGTCCTTGTCTCTTGAAGAAATTAACTTAATTATGATGATATTTGAATATAATTACAGTAAATCAAAATTTTCACTTCCCAGCATTTTAATGGGCCAGAAGCCTGAGCTGTAGCTGCAACGTTACAAATCCGAGATACACATGGCACTCGTGATGTGGATTCAGGCTGCCATGATGAGGGGCACAGGCTGCTGCCAAAAACAGCATTTCTACATTCTCTCTGAAGTACGGCCCTGGTTTCTTTGAAAAGATCAAAAAGTGATTCGAGGAATTTTTTTCAAAGCACATAAGACTTTGAACAAGGTTGTCATAGCCAGGAGTTTTGTGTTTTCCTGTAAGCTGTGTGAAATCACGTTGGTGGCACTGTCTTCTCATTGTCTAAATGAGCTCCTCCTGTAGGCTGGAGGAGTGTCCAGGTTGGCACTTGTGCTGCGGAGTTTCAGAATACATGCAAGGCAGTGCAGCCACAGCTGTGGTGGATGCGACCTGTTCGCTTCCCTTGGCTTCAGGGAAGGGGACCTTCCACACTGAGGAGGTTAGTTCCTCACGCAGACGTCAGAGCCACCTTCAGACAGTCCTGTTCTCAGGAAAACCTGTCTTTTTCTGACTGTGTTAGATTTCAGAGCTTCCGATGCAGGAAGGATTTTACCCAAGAAGGCGGTGTTGCATGTTTGTGTGGGTGTCTAACATGAGGTTTTGCTGGCTTTCATGGTAAGCAGTGGCTGTGTGTCTGAGCGAGGGGCACATCTGTGTGTTTACTCCTCACTTGACATCCAGTGCCTCACACACAGCACCCGGCAAATCCTAAGACCGTAATGATAATTCCTTATGTAACTAAATGAATGTGTGTTTCCTTTTTGTTTTATTTGAGTGACCAACTCGAGAATGAACTTGTACTGCTTTCCCTGCATCAGTTGGCATTGTATTTGCTACATTTATTTATACTCTTCCACATTTCAAAATAGAATTTTAGGTAGTGGAATTAAGAATGAATTTGATGATGAGTATAATGACATTACATATTAAATTGCCTCCTTTTCTGCAGCATAAGTCTGAATAAATTGGCTTTGTTTTATATTTGTAAATCCCAAATTGCTACTGAAAAGGGTGCAGGGAAATGAGATGGCTTTTCCATATTTAAAATAGAAAGTTAGTAACTGAGTCTGAGATGCTGAGCCCCGAGGCACTGCCCTCTCCTTACAGTGCCATTGGGCACTAGCTTCCAATGATATGGATTGGAGGGTGTGGTCCAGTGGACAACTCTAAATTCAAACCCTGCTCATTGGCTGAATGGTGGGTGAGTCATCTTCTTCCCATCTTCCCAGGCCGTGTGAGTATTTACTATGGACAGCCACACTTAGTACTTGGTTTTGAAGAGTTTACGTGAATAACTCCATGGTAACCACGTTTAACTATGCATTTACTTTTATTTTTTTGGATTTTTTTCTTTATTACGTATGTGTCCTTATCCCTCCATTGCCCCCCACCTATGCATTTACTTTTAATAAGATAGCTTTCATATTAAAATTTGGCATTGAAATTATGTGGAACTCATAAGTAATAATTTTACTCAAAATATTTTCTTGCACTGATTATTATCATATTATTGACCTCAAATGAATACCATAAAGGGTTCTGAGTATCATGTACAACATGGTCAGAAAGGACCCCTGCCCAGCAACTTGGAAAATACTATAAATTATATTTAAGGCTTCTTCCTTTTATTCAGTCAGACAAAGCCAGGGGAGAGGTCCATGGCCCTATTGTGTACAGCCCATCTGACTAGTTCTCTGGGTACATTGGGATTAATGGTTCCAGTGTCATTTGATAGTTCAGACTAACATAATCCGCTATACAAAAAGAACCCTTTCACTTTGGAATGTGTCAACTATTTCTATATCCTTCAGTAGTAGTCATGTTTCAGTCCCTGAAACACTTAAAAATCATCATTCATTCTCAACAACGGCTGGGGGGGAGCAGTAAGCTGATGACCTGGTGAAAAGTCTGAACCATTACTTCAAGTACAGTGTTAAATAAAGTATAAGTGCCTATTTTATTTCAAAATGTGTTCTAAACATAAATAATGTATGAAGTTATTTTCATAACTCTAGTTTTTAAAGTTTCTGATTCTGAATCAAATTTGTTTACTTAATGAAGCTCTTAAATTTTTCCAAATGAAATTATTTTCAACATTATACTCAAGTACAAATGATATATATCAGAATTTAGAAATGGAGATCAGATTATTGAAATTGCACTAAGACCAAGTTAATCTTTTTCAAGGCAGCACACCTAGTGTGCAATAATCATAATCATTTGTGGACAGTGGAATAAATGTAAAGTAGTAAAAAATAGACTTTTACAATTTCAGTCATTAGTGAGCTCTTTTCGTTTTTTCCCCACTTTTGTGCATTGAACATTTCTTTTGTTATAAAATGTTAGGTAATATTAGGCAACATCATGAAGATTTCTAATGTGAGAACTCTTGTAGATACCATGTTTCCCCGAAAATAAGACATCCTCTGAAAATAAGACCTACTTACAGGTTTCCTTCTGAGTGAAATATAAGGCATCCCCCCGAAAATAAGGCCCCCCCTAGGCTAAACATGAGAGATTTGGTCCACTGATTCTGAAAGAAATGGAGTCACAAGAAATTCACCAGGAAATTCAGGAATTGGATTGTTATGATGATGTTGCAGAAGATGGTGACATGATTGTCATTGAATAAATGAGTAAATTCTTGATACTGTAGGATTCACAGTTTGTCTGGTTTGTGTTGACAACTACCATACTACCGTACTGTATACAGGTAATAAATTTCCTTTATTTTCATTTAACAATAAATGTGTACCATATTCTTCTTCATGGAAAAATAAGACATCCCCTGAAAATAAGACCTATCGCATCTTTGGGAGCAAAAATTAATATAAGACACTGTCTTATTTTCGGGGAAACAGGGTATTTGTTAGGTGTTCGAAATAAGGGCTGGAAAAGTGTTATCAATAAAATAAACTTCCAGAGGTTCATAAGATATGAGCTATTCATTACTGCAGGAATCATGATGTGCTTGAACCTCCCTTCCCCACCAATCACATACGCTAAAGGTCACAAAAGAAAACCTTATGAGGTTAGAAATGAAATTTTAATTATTTTCTGTGTATTCATTGCCTTAATTAACTTTTTTTTCCTCTTTTCTTAGGATCTGAGCAGCAAAGATATGAAGAGAGATTTGTATATAGTTGCCCATGTGATCCGAATAGGTACTGTTCACCTTATTCATTCACGTGACTAAGACCAGGCCAACTTGGGATAAGTTCCTGCTCTGTCTGAGCTTTGTCTTCTGCCCACCTCTTCCCTGCTACGTCAGGTCTCAGTCTGTACTGGAACTCCATCTGTAGCTCAGCTGCTATGGTAGCTGAGTTTGCTATAAATGAATACTTTTTTTCACATACAATCTTTTAAAAATATGTTTTCATTAATTTTTTTTTAAGAGAGAGAGAAAGAGAAACATTGATTGGCTGCCTCCTGCATGCCCCCTACTGGGGATTGAGCCCACAACCTGACTGATGACCCCTCAGTGCTTGGGACAATGCTCAGCCATCTGAGCCACACTGGCAGGGCTCTCTCACAACTTTTTTTTTTTTTTTAATATATTTTATTGATTTTGTACGGAGATGAAGGGAGAGAGATAGAGAGTCAGAAACATCGATGAGAGAGTCATCGATCAGCTGCTTCTTGCACACCCCCTACTGGGGATGTGCCCGCAACCGGGGTACATGCCCTTGACCGGAATCGAACCCGGGACCTTTCAGTCCCCAAGCCGACGCTCTATCCATTGAGCCAAACCAGTCCCTGCAACAACTTTTGTTTCCTCTTAGTTTTGGACCCACACCCTTTACCTCAAGGGGTCTGCGTGTAGGCACTCTCCTTACCAGAGTGCCTGCCACTGCCAGTCCTCTGCCACAGAGGTTTATAGCAGGTGGCCAAGGCTGCCAACTTAACAGGTGTGGAATGGCCTTTGCTGTGTCCTGTATCCAAAGTATATGCTATTCTTATTGCAGCGGGTGGATGGCACCTACTTCGGTGCCACACAAGATGGAGAAGAGCCGTTTGCTGCTGTTCTCTGGCTGGTTTGCCTAGCCTTATTTCAAATCTATGGCCTCATCTGGGCAGCCATGACTAACCAAGTCTTTCTTCATAGGTTTGGGTTTTGGCAAATTTTGTCAGAGGATATGCTTTGCCAACAAAACAGCTGTTTTGCTGTGGTTTGGTTTTGCTTTACTTGAGGAAGCATTTGTGAGATTCTGGTATTACATTTGCAAGTCCTCTTGTCCCTGTAGGCACGGCCCCGTAAGCAGGAAAAGCAAGGTTTTGTCCACGTTGTGAGGCCATTCTTGCTCCTGTGGAGGTTCAGGGGTGGCTTTGGCAGCTAAAATACTCAACTTTCATAACAGGCCAAAATTTTACTGTCAGCACATTGGCTTTTCCAAGAAGTTCATGGAAGCTTTGTTTTACTGTCATGTGATTGTAGTGGCCCTTTGGTGTGGAAGTGAGTAATAAGAATGGTTGGTTGAATGTGATGCAGGGAGGAGCCTGGCCAAAGGCCTAGTTAGCATCCCCCCACATAAATACCCTCACGTCCTTATTTAGTCCTAAGTTAGTCTTCCAACTTGGAGCATCTCTCAGATGCCTACAGACCTGGCATCTCTGGAGTTGAGCTGGAGAGCAGCACGGGGTTCTCAGTGTGACGGGTCTGTGCTGTGTGCTAGGCCGGATGCTCCTGAGTGACTCGGGGTTCTCAGTGTGACGGGTCTGTGCTGTGTGCTAGGCCGGATGCTCCTGAGTGACTCGGGGTTCTCAGTGTGACGGGTCTGTGCTGTGTGCTAGGCCGGATGCTCCTGAGTGACTCGGGGTTCTCAGTGTGACAGATCTGTGCTGTGTGCTAGGCCGGATGCTCCTGAGTGACTCGGGGTTCTCAGTGTGACGGGTCTGTGCTGTGTGCTAGGCCGGATGCTCCTGAGTGACTCGGGGTTCTCAGTGTGACGGGTCTGTGCTGTGTGCTAGGCCGGATGCTGCTAAATGACTCGAAGAAGGGCCCTGCCCACCTGCACTACCGGCGACCATACGGCTGCGCGGTCCTCAGCATCCTGGACGTCCTGCAGTCACTCACAGAGTTAAAGGAAGAAAAGGATTTTGTTCTTAAGGTTTACACGTGAGTAATGCATATCAGAAATATGAATGATTTGTAACGTAAGACGTCCCAGCGCGGTCCTCAAGAGCAGCAGTTCCTGATTGTGGGGCACATAGGATGGAGAGTCCTTCGAAAGCCAGAGTCTGATCTAAAGTAGGGATGGGGCTCCAGCAGCTGTATTTCTAATAAGTTTCCAGGTGATTCTGAAGCAGCTGGATTTGGAGCCTTCTTTCCTAATGTAAAAGTCTGGTAGTCCACAATTTCTCTTCTAGCCCGGATTAACCAGCCATCTATATATATAAAAGCCTATGTGGCTGTTAAGACCGTTGACCAGTAGACAGGTCGCTATGACATGCGCTGACCACCCGGGGGCAGATGCTCAATTCAGGAGCTGCCCCCTGATGATCGGTGCGCTCCCACAGGGGGAGCACTGCTCAGCCAGAAGCTGGGCTCACGGCTGGTGAGTGCAGTGGGGGTGATGGGAGCCTCTCCCACCGCCGCCTGCACTACCTAGCAGCAGTGGTAGGCATAGCGGCCAGCTTGAGCTCCTCCTCAGCCACCTGCTGCTTCACACACTGCTATATCTCCCGAGGTGTCCCGGATTGCAGAGGGTGCAGGTCAAGCTGAGGGACCCCACAAGTGCACTGGGCCTCTAGTAGTATATATTTACAGAAAGGCTAGTTGTGCTGTTTTTCATGTGTTTTGGGTATAAGAGAGTCTTCTGTGTCAATGCTTGCTCACAGCTAAGGTAACTGAGCTGGTTTCAAAGAAAGAGCATGAGCCAGGTTGTCCTCCTTTGAAGAAAAGCCAGGTTTTTTGTGGAGCCAGGGTTTCACCCTTCACTCTGCCACCTGGATCTGTAAGCCCCCAGCTAGGCATGCATTGTTTTTCCTGTTTGTCAGTCCGGGGACCTGTCCTGCAGGAGCAATGCCTCGCCTCCTGACTCTTGTTAACAAAAAGGGGAAAACATAAAAAACTGATTCCAGGAACATTGTCTGTCTCTGCCTCTAAGACTTAGGTGTGAATAGTGATGCTGAAAACATGGTGAGTTTAATGAGTTTTACAAATAAGTATAATGCTGGGAGAATATTTTTTAAAATCTGTCCTGTTTTGATTTTAACTAAATATTGTTTTTCCAAGTTAAATCTGTCAATCACCATGCTAATATAGCTTAACCATACCATTGTATGGATATTTTTCTGTACAGTCTGTATGGTTCAGGCATGCAGTGAACTTAATCCACAATTACACTTAATTTAGGCCTTTATATAATGATCCACATTTTAGGAATTAAAGAGCCATATCTCCTGACCACCTCTTTCCCTTAGCTCCACGCAGAGTCACGCATTTGATGAGATGAGGCTCTTCCTTTGGAATAGTAACGTACAAAGGAAGTACTAGTGGGTTTCTTTCCCTTTTATGCGCCAGGCAGACTTTCTCCATATACCAGATCTCCTCATTGATGGGGGTGGGATCTGCTTTTCTTTTCTTCAATATATTTTTATTGATTTCAGAGAGGAAGGTAAAAGGAGAGAGAGATGGAAACATGAGTGATGAGAGAGAATCAGTGATTGGCTGCATCCTGTACACTCTACACTGGGGATGGAGCCTGCAACCCGGCATGTGCCCTGACTGGGATTCAAACCTGGACCAGGTCGACATTCAACTGCTGAGCCATGCTGGCCGAGGGGTGCTGCTTATTGATGCACTCTTCTCATTCTGAAAGTGACTAACACAAAAATCCAAACTTTATCACCACCCTGCTTCTCTCTGTGTAAGAGGCGTAGAGGCAGCCTGGGGCTGGCATCTCGGTGTGTGTCTGAGCTGTTCCTGCTCAGTGCCAGTCGCCTTGTGCACAGGGGCCGGCACAGCGCCCCCCTGGAAACGAGGCTGTCAGCGTGATGGAGGTGATGCTTCTCAAGCAACAGCCTTCAGCGCCAGCCTGTCACTTTGCAACGGAGTGGGGTGCGTATGTAGCTTCTGCTCAGCTGCTGCTTTGAGCTGTGTCTACTGTATCAATTCTGGGAAACTTAGGAACAGTGTTTTTATAGAGAAGATGCTTTAAGTTTTGAAGCACTGAGAGAGTGAAAATGGAGGCTAACTTTTCCACTTGGAAATAGTAAGAAGCTTTCAAACCGCTTCCCAGCTGCATGTGTGTGCAGCTGAGCGGATGTGCAGGCCGAGGGTTCGGCTTTTAAATCTACATCAGCACCGTGCAACCAGCCCTCTGGCGAAGCGGTGTTTTCCAGTAAGTTCCAGGGGGCAGGTTGGTTAGGTTGAGTTGGAAACTTACAAGGCTTGCTAACGGCTACAGTTATTCGTGGTTTCGCCTTGGCCAGGACAGGCTTTTGCAAGGGTAAAAATCTGTTGTAGAATTTTAATCAATGAATTGGCCAAATATGTCAGTTTTTCACTTTCTTATCATTTCTTACATTATTCAGAATCAGCCTCAGAGATTTAATGTTTCTTGTCATGGTCACTGCTCTGGCTTTGTGGATGTTATTTAAGAGTGTGTGTGTGTGTGTGTGTGTGTGTGTGTGTGTGTGTGTGTGTAGGCACCATATCCTTTTAAGAAAATTTCAACAAGAAGCCGAGGCATTAAAACGAGGTCACTTCTGATGAGCCAGAAACCTTAAAAATCACACACTGAACCACGCTGTGTTGCTTAGTCCGATGTAGATGCCTTATCTTCCCTCGGGGCCTTGGGGACAGGGTCTCGGGCAGGCTCAGGGCCTGTTGAACGTGAAAGGAGAAGTGTGGCAGGGAGCTCAACCCATCTCTCATGCAGCTTACGATTGAGGGTAAATTATCCACATCAGTAATCATGCTCTAAATATTAATTTGATTGGATGACATGATCATGCCTGATTATAATCACAACTCATTTGATTATTTAATAAATGCTTTCATTTATAATTTTTCCTTACAAAATATTCTCCTGATTGGTCAGAAGGTGCCGATGATACCACATCCACTCAGTTTCAATTGACTTGAGGGGCTCCTTTTGGCACTCTGGAAGGGGAGAGGTCTGAAAGGCTAGTGGATGGTCACCTGGACCAGAGAAGAGGTGATCCTGGCTGAAGCTGACACCAAGAGGAGGGTCAGCTGTGACAGACTGAGCTATGTAGGCATCTGTCTTTTGTGCTGGGCCCTCCTTCCCCTGACTGCAGAGGGTTCCACAGTGACCAGCCCACTGCTCTGCCAAACGGCCTTTAGCATGTTGGTCTGCCTGGAACACAGCCACAAGCACACCTGCACGGGGCCTTGCCCTGCTGGGCTTCCTCTTGGGGCAAATGACAGCTGGTGGACAGCAAGCCAGCGCCGGGCATGTCCGTCCTGAGCTGTGTTTCCTCCAGCAGGGACTTGCCTCTGAACCCAAGCTGTGTTGGTGGTTTGTGTTTTGTGTGTAAGTGCGAGAAACTAAAAAGAAAAAAACGTGCTACTTCAGAAAAGAGGGTATTTGCCCACTTGGACAATATTTATAGATTTATTTTAGAATTTCCCCAAGTGTGAGATGTCTGTGTGCCTCAACAGGAACGAGCCTGTGTAACTCAGTGACACACTTGCTTCCTGGGGAGTGAGTGTGAAGTACCCTCCCACTGGGTGTCACCCGCTGGAACTGGGCCATCGGGGCAGGGGGTAAGACCCTGGAGAGCGCTAAGCCTTGTCCTCCCGTTCCAGGTGCAACAACGAGGGCGAGTGGGCGCAGATCCACGAGAACATCATCCGCAAGTCCAGCGCCAAGTACTCGGCCCCCAGCGCCAGCCACGGTGACGTACCTCTCTGGCTGCACATGCATGTGTTGTATGTGCGGTGCTAATCTCGCACCTGCTCCATGTGTGCTCACCAGCGGCCGCGTGCAAAGTTCAGTTCCCTCCAGACCTTTCCTCTCCTCCCCAAGGACTCTCTGCTTCTTTTTGTGATAATTTGAGACCTTTCTTAATTAATTACAAAATGCATTTCCAGTTTTTTCTCTGATGGTGGTTCCATGTGCTCTGACAAGGAGCTGAGCTGCACTGTCAGTCCCGAGTGAGCAGAAGTGTTGCGGGGTCTGTCACGTTGTGGAGTCTGTCTTTCCTGAGCGGAGATTACACCAGCCCCGCAAGGGACAGATGTTCCTGTCTCTTCTCCTATTCCTGCTTAGTGCGGCCTCACCAAGGAAGCTGACACAGTGAGGATCGGGGCTGTTCTGCCCGTCAGTCACTCTGAGCTAGCGTAGATTACAGCAGGTGCCCGCCGGCGGTCCGAGGACCACTGGTGGCCGGTGAGGTCCGACCGCTGGAATAGAACATCTGTTTCCAGGCAGGTTTCATCTTAGCTCAGCTTCTTCCTTTTTCCTCCTTTTCGTTTAAAGCCTATTTATATAGCTCCGTCTAAATTGTGGTGCAGTTCTGCACACTAGAATGGTTGTTTTATAAATTGAATATTAATTGCTTGATTAAATTAGAAGCACTACCTAAAAGCCTATGGACTTTCATATACCCTAAAGGTAGCTCTCAAATTTACATGCAACCATGTTTCTCTTGACAGTTTTAACCTCTAAGTTACTTCATAATCTCTTACGTAACTCATTTGTTTTAACTTTCATGGATTGTAAATAAAAAGCTGGCCCTAAATGGCAGTGTGAAGCCACTGCAGGGCCTGGCAGTCCCCAGAGCTTTGGGAACTGGCCCCTCTGCCAGGGAGGCAGAGATTCCACGTGGACAGTCCTCAGAGCTGCCCACACTAGAGGCTGCAGGCTGAGACCTGAGCTGGGGTCCTTCATTCGCCTACAGCTCTAGCCTGGGGCCTCAGGGCCTCTCACTGTTGTTGGAGGGACTGTTTCTCTCAGGGTGTGCCTGGGCTGTAGTATTTCCTCCCCAGAGAGCGCCATGCATTGTGACGAAGGGGGAGGAGTTCATATTCCTCTCCTCAAACGAGGCCAAAGCAAGAGGCAGTGAAATCTTGTTTTTCAAGTATCAGAACTTACTAGCAACGGGAGAACTGCCCTTCACATCAATATTTATCATGTTCCTTGCTTTGTTTACTGATTTGATTTATAAATAGCTGCCCTTGACTGTAATTTCTTGACACATGATATGATTAAAACATGGAGACCATTTTAAACGTGAGATGGTGGTAATAATACATTAAAAGCAACAGCTTGAAAGGGAAGTTTTACCATCTCCTCACCAGGCTACGATGCTGACTTTTGTGTTGCTCCCCAGTATGAGCAGGGACTATGCCGTCTTCGGTGTCTGGCTTTTGTCCAGAGCTCACAGCCACTGGCTGCTGACACCGTTTTAGCAAAGCTTGTTCGCCCAGCCAGTGCGGCTCAGCTGAGCGTCGTCCCAGGCACCGAGAGGTCATCGGCCCGATTCCTTGCCGGGACACATGCCTGGGCTGCGGGCTTGGTCCCCAGTAGGGGGCGTGTAGGAGGCAGCCGATGAAGGTTTCTCTTGCATCAATGTTTCTAGCCCTCCTCCCTCTCCCTCTCTCTCTAAAATCAATAAAAACGCATTTTAAAGACAAAGAAAGGCACTTGTTCCTTGGGTGCCTCGGTCAGGATGGCTGCTGTGAGAGGAGGGCTCTGTGCACGGGTGGAGCAGCCAGAGGGCACACTGAGCTGCTGCCTTTTGGATTGTGTGTCTGACTGGCTCTTGGCAAGGCTTGGCTTGGGAGCTGGTTGAGATTTGGAAATTACCTTGTTTACCTATTTCCTTCAATAAATGAGGAAACCGGTGCTCAATGAGATTGCTTCGCGGCTGAAAAGAAAGCGCAGGTGTCACCGGGACCGGTTTGGCTCAGTGGATAGAGCATCGGCCTGTGGATTGAAAGGTCCCGGGTTCGATTCCGGTCAAGGGCATGTACCTTGGTTGCGGGCACATCCCCAGTAGGGAGTGTGCAAGAGGCAGCTGATTGATGATTCTCTCTCATCGATGTTTCTAACTCTCTGTCCCTCTCAATTCCTCTCTGTGTAAAATCAATAAAATATATTAAAAAAAAAAAAAAAGAAAGAAAGCACAGGTGTCTATACTCCAGGCCACTGGCCTTTCCCCTCTCTTACTGCGCCTCTGCCTGCGTCTTCCACAGCGTGGCTCTGGGGTCTTCATGTTAGAGAACTCCGCAGGCGCGCAAGGGGACAGCTCAGGTCTCTGTTTAGAGAGACTTCTTTTCTTAATATATTTTCATTGGTTTCAGAGAGGAAGGGAGAGAAAGAGAGAGATAGGAGCATCAATGATGAAAGGGAATCATTGATTGGCTGCCTTCTGCACGTTGGACCGAGCCCGCAACTCAGGCATGTGCCCTTGACTGTAATCGAACCTAGGACCCTTAGGTCTGCAGGCCAACACTCTATCCACTGAGCCAAACCAGCGAGGCATAAAGAGTTTTCTTTATAAAAAATTAATTTACTTAGCTATCACCCATCTTTGTTAATGTCCTTTTTGTATCAGAAGTCATAGTGTTTTCCCTTCAAGTCAAATCATGAAACTACAGAAGGAATTGCTACGTTGGTTTGTGAGCTGGGAAGTTAATGTATCATTTGGCAGGAACTCTCTTAGGTACAGCCTTAATGTATGTGGCTCCTCGTGTCCATTTTTGGCCTCTTACTCTGTGTATGTAGCCACAGACCTAACTTTTAGCGGTTTCAGTAGGCCGTCTCTAGGTGTGTGGGTTCCTGTTCACCCCGGAGAGAGCTTTAATAGCTGTGTGAAGAGCTTTGATAGCTGTGTGAAGACACTGCAGATGGATGAGCAGGTTGGGAGGGGGTTGAGTACCTCCCAGGCTGCTCTCATCTGCAGAGATCACTGCGGTCTGGACTCTGGGCCCAGCCTTTCAGGTTTACAAACTAATTGTGCTTGAGTCTACCAAGTGGTGAGGCAGTAAAAAATTACGTTAGGGTGGTCAAAACCCAAACACTGATTTCCGCCCACAATGCTAAGTGAATGCCATGGGCTGCTTCCAGGGCCTGCGATCTGGTGGTAATGACACCTGGCCCATCATAGACGTCATCGCAGGTTCTTGGGGAGTGGCTTACTCGCTGAAGCAGTGAGGTCATCTTGAGACTCTGGCTGGGCTGTAGTATTTCCTCCCCAGCCCCGCGGTGAGAGTCCAAGGGGCCCGTTGCGGGGCAGGGGAGCAGTTTCCAAAAGATTCTTACTTTGTGCAAAACTCCAGGGTAGTAAGTAATGAGCCAGAGGCAGCGCGCCTGAGGGACGTTACAGATTCTCCCAAGTTCTGAAGAAAGGCCTTGGAACTCTGAGGGTGTGGGACTCAGAGTCTGGGACATGGCTGAGCTAGCTTCTCTGCAGCACCCCTTCTTTTCCTTGCATTGCTGGGTTCCCTGTGGGAGCAATGGTGTCTGCTCTGCTACTCGCTTCACAAAACGGTGCCAGGTTAAACGGGCACACTGCTTCTGACACTTGGGCATACTCCTGGCATAACCCAGCATCTCTATGTTCGTTTCCAGCTGTGGGACACCCTGACACAAGGTCTTCTCGGTCACAGTGTCCTAGGCTGCTGTTGTTTCCGGAGGCCTCTCTGGGCCCTACATGCACAGCTCATGTAGCCGGCCCTCCCAGTCAGTGCTCAGTAGGCCCTGCCCGGCCCCGGGCTGCGTGCTGGGTGACAGAAAGGGGCTCAGTCTCCAGGACCCCGTCTGTGTTACTAGACGAGTTCTCTGGGTCACTGAGGCCCTCTGACTTACCTTCCTTTAGCTTTCTGGAATGTTTCTGCAGAATAATATGTATTTTCTGCATCAATATTTTTCTCAAGAAAATGCTGAACTTTGCTCACTTCCTCTGGAAAACAGTGTGGCTCTGTCTTTTCTAGAACCACAGGGCAGGCGAAGCGTGGGTCTGAGGGAGAAACTCCTTGTTTTGCAGGCCTTATCGTTTCTCTCCAGCTTCTTCGTGGAGACATGGACCAGATCCGCAGAGAAAACCCCATGATATTCAGCAGGGGATTGGCGATTACAAGGAAGCTGGGGTTTCCTGATGTCATCATGCCGGGTAGGTAGGACTCGGGCTGGGCGGGAGGGTCTGGCCGGCAGTTGCTGAGCTCTGCTGTGGAGGAGTCTGAGCCGCTGAACACCTCTGCGTCCCAGTCCGGGGGCCGACTGTCTCAGCCAGCGGCCCTGGGGCTCCTGTTGGTGTTTGTACTTTCCCAGAAGCCCCCTCTCCTGGTGGCCTGCGGCCGCGTTGTCTGAGTGGAGCGGGTGGCAGCATCCGCCAAAGAACTTCATGCGAGGCCTTTCCCACGCCTCTCTCCCAGCACACTCCCTCGGAGGGAGGGCTCACAGAACTTCCTCTTTAAGGGGGAGAAGAACCAAATGTGTGCCTGTACTAGTGCTGAGTCCCACTTCCTGTGGGAATAGCAGGTGCATTGTAACGTTTTAGAAAAGTGGATAAGACAGATGGTATCAATTAGGCCTTGTGGATTGGACTGTATGATCTGGCCAGTTTCTCAGGACTATCCCCTCTCCCACCCCCTCATCTAATGCTCAGAGGAGAGCCAAGGCAGAAAGCGGGTGCCTTGACCCCCCTATGTCCAGTCAGGCAGATGTGAGAAGAGCTGGAGAGGTGTCAGGGGCTGCTGGAGTGAGGGGAGGTAGAGCAGGTCTCAGGGGTAGCAGGCGCTCTGATGACCAAAGACATGAAAAAAGTGAGGAAAATCAGAAGGACAAAGTGCTGGCTCTCCGGACAGAGGACAGGAGTATGAAGCTGCCCTGTCCACTGAGCTTCAGGGATCCACTACAGCTTGTTTGCTTCCGTGTGGAGGCCAGGCCAGCCTGACTGACTTGGCGCTGTAAACACCCGTCTGGAGTTCTAAGTGGGGACCCGCATTCTCCTGCTGCAAATGTGCCAGCATCCCCAGGGGCGTGTGGCCTGAGCTCAGAGAAGGCCCCTGACGGACCCAGCCGCCTCCCCCTCCCACACCAGGCCCAGGCCCTGTGCTGGCAGTGCGCCGTCTGCTCAGCACGCGAGGAGGGTCCGTGGTGGGGACCGGGCCGCTCACCAGTCCACCTTGATGGCATTTTAAAGCGGAGAGGCCTGATGCTCATGAAGGGCGGAGGTGTGGCTGCTGTGAGGGAGGCCTTGGCGGGATGTCCCCTCTCCTGCCCTGGACCATTTCTCAGCCTCCGCGGCCCTGTCATCGGGAAAGGAGCCCAGGTGGAGGCCCTGCTTCTTGGCAGCGTGCCATGGGAGAAAGCTGGTGGTCACCAGATTTGCCTGGTGAGCTTTTTAAATTCGACACCCAGCTTCGGAGGGAGAGTCGTATGTGCTAAGAGATGTGCTTCAAGCCCTTCCTTTCTTTTATGTCTAAGATTTGGACATTTCCTTCCTGTTAGTCTCACACTTTAAAACCAAATGAGCAGACCATAGGAAGGAACAAGCTCCAGGGAAAATGTTGTTAAGCAGACTGCTTTCAAAAGCGACACTGTCCAAACCTCACTGCGGAAAGTGGTCTTTTTGGGAGCGCTCTGCCTCTCCACACCATGGGCACACGGGTGTGTAAAGGGCAGGCTGCTGGGTGTGGCCATGGAGATGGCTGTAGCAGGCATCGCTGAGACACGCGGAGGGTAAGGAGCTCCCTCCCCCGGGCAGCTGAGTGCCCCTCGTGTGACTTGCCCCACGAGCCGAGGCCCTGGCAGTCCTGAGGCCCAGGCTGGGCTGTGGATAAGCCTGCTGGGAGCCGAGGCTGAAAGGAAGCGAGGCTCACAGGCAGAAAGCCGTGCTTTGTGCATAAGCTCCTCCTCCTCTACCCTTCCCCCGGAGGGAGCGCTTTTGAACAGATGGCCACTCCCGGGGTTGTGAGCTAACAACTGCCAGCCCCCTAACGCACCCCAAGATACTAGAGCGGGCTTGCGTCCTGGGGCAGGGAGGAAAGGTGCGGGAGGGTTGCACGTTGCAGGCAGCCTGTCGTGGGAAACCGTGGCTGTGCTAACCAGCCCTCGGTGAGACCCATAAGCTCTGGCTGCGTGTCCCCTGCGGCGGGTCTGTCCTTCCTGTGGGACCGCCCGGGGCTGCAGCGGTCTCAGCCCTCAGTGACCAAGGTCCAGGGAGTTCAGCTTCTTGACATGGTTCTATGGGAAATGGAGAAAGAAAGAAATGGTCAGTAACTGTGGACACTTACGGCCACGAAATTAGAGTAAATGTAAAAAATCAGGATTACTCATAACCGGTGACCCTTATTAAAATGCCCAGCACTGGGCGGGCACTCATTGGGAGAGCACTTTCTACGGTTGGCCCGGTGCATCCTGTCAAAGCCCAGTGACAGCTCGCAGCTGAGTCACAGAGCAGCGGCTGCCGTGGGGGTCCCACAGGCGCTAGCCACACAGCAGCGCTGCCGTTTCAGAAGAGGTCTTTCTGATGCCTCCCATTCTCCTCTGTGTACATGCACACAGAACACGGGCAGGAAAGATGGGCGCAGGACAGTGTTCCAGGTGAACAGGTGGCAGTTAGCTCGGTTCCCAGTAGCTCACTTGTCAGATTAGCCCTCAAAAAACCTTAGAGAAAGCGGTCGGCCAACAGACTGTCAACAGAAAGGCTGTGCCTTCTCCAGACGGTGCCTGAGCCTGGCCCGGTGCCACTCCTCCAGCCTCTGCTCCTTAGCTTCCCTGCAGCCGCCTCACCTCCTGCTGGGCTCGCTGCGATGACAGCAGTTTCACTTGTTTTTGTAACCTTGAATTTTTAAGGTTATTTACTGTGAGCAACGTGGTCCATGCTTTTTATTAAACGGTTTCTGCCTTGTCAGAAGAAGACTGCCCTTTGATTTAGTGTGTCCTAACTGAGGACTATGTTTTCCCTAAAGCAGTGTTTCCCAAACTTCTCTCATGATGAGAATCACCTGGTGGAGTTGTTAAACTACAGATTCCTGAATCTCAACTAAGAAGTGCTAAACTGGAATTTTGGGGAACATATAGGTAAAATTGTATACTTAACTTAGTGCTCGTCTTAGAGCACTAGTCTTTTTTTTTTTTTTAATAAATTTTTATTGTTCATATTATTACAAATGTTCCTTTCCCCCCCTCCCTCCATTGCTTTCCTCCACCAGGTTCCCACCCCACCCTCTGCTCCTTCCCCACCCCCCACTGTCCTCATCCATAGGTGCACAGTTTATGTTCAGTCTCTTCCCACATCCCCCTCTCCCCTTTTCCCCAAGAATTGTCAGTTCACTCCCCTTCCATACCTCTGATTCTATTATATTCAACAGTTAATATTATTCATCAGATTTTTTTTTAATTTTCTTGGTTTTTAGATTCACTTGATAGTTACGTATTTGTTGTTCATAATTTTTATCTTTATTTACTTTCTCTTCTGAAAGAACCCCCTTTAGCAATTCATATAATTCTGATTTGGCGGTGATGAACTCCTTTAGCTGTTTTTTATTAGTGAAGCTCTTTATCTGGCCTTCGATTCTGAGTGATAGCTTTGCTGGGTAGATTATCTTTGGCTGTAGGTTCTTACTATTCATCACCTTGAATATTTCTTGCCATTCCCGTCTAGCCTGCATGGTTTCTGTTGAGAAATCAGCTGACAATCATATAGGTGCTCCTTTATAGGTAACTACCTGCTTTGCTCTTGCTGCTTTTAATATCTCTCTTTGTCTTTTGCTCTTGGGATTTTAATTATGATGTGTCTTTGGTGTGGTCCTCTCTGGATTCCTTTTGTTTGGAGTTCTGTGCGCTTCCTGGACTTGTAAGTCTAATTCTTTCACCAGGTGGGGGAAGTTTTCTGTCACTATTTCTTTCAGTATGTTTTCGATATCTTGCTCTCTCTCATCTTCTGGGACCCCCATAATTCTGAGTTGGTTCGCTTGAAGTTGTCCCAGAGGTTTCTTACATTATCTTCAATTTTCTGGATTCTCTTGCTTTCTAGCTTCTGTGGAGGAGTGTCTTCTGGCTCTTTATGTTCCAAATCTTTGACTTGATTCTTGCGATCTTTCATTCTGTTTTTAGGACTCTGTGTAATATTTTTTATTTCAGACAATGTATTCTTTATTTCTTGTTAATCCTTTATCATTTCTTGTTGATTCCTTATTAATTCTAGTTGATCCTTTTTCATATCCTCATAGGTCTTATCGATCTTTTCTTGGAAATTCTTGAAAAACCTTATAAGCATAGATTTGAACTCTATATCCAGTCGCTTTTTGTCCTCCATTTCTTTCATTTGTGATCTATTTCGTCTCGGCATTTTCGCAGCTTTCCTGATGGGGCGGGGTTTCAGGGTGGAGCCTACAGCTTTGGCTTCCGTCAGCCCCGCCCTATGCGGCTCCTGAGTCTCAGGGTCCTTCGTTGTAAGTGCCTCTGAGAGAAAAGTGCCCTCGATTTTCACCTGCTACCAAACCGTCTAGGCTCTCCCCCAATGAGCCCGGTATTGGGGTTCAGTTCAGTTGGAAGTGGGGTTGGAGGTGGCGTTCAGAGCAGTCCGGAGCCCCTGTCTCCTTCCCGCCAGGGCATCCGTGGCACAGCCAACCGTCCCTTCTCTGCGCGCAATGTGCGCGCCTCCGGGACCTCCTTTCGCCGCTCCCCCGGGTTCCGCCTTACAGCCCAGCTTCCTATGGATGAGCGTGGATCCCTGGGGTCTGACCTAGAACTGGGGTTCAGAGCAGTCAGAACTGGGGCCCAGCACAGTCGGAGCTTTTATCTCCTTCCCACTAGGGAACGCCAGCCAGGCATTCAGCCTCCCTCCTCTCCGGCTCCGTCCTCTTCGCACACGTGTCTCCATACCTTAGGCTTTTACAGCTCCTCCGCTCTTCCTTCTGGTTTTCTCCTTGCTTCTCGTTGTAGAATTTCCAGTCAGTTGACTTTCCTGTAGCTCTGGGTAATGTCCATTTTATATTTTAGTTGTATTTTATTGAAATTGTTGTGAGTGGCTGCGGCTAGGTGTTTACCTGTGCAGCCATCTTGGATCTCTCTAGAGCATTAATCTTAGAGTACTAGTTAAGTATACAATTTTACCTATATGTCTTAAAGCACTAGTTAAGTATACAATTTTATCTATATGTCTTAGAGCCCTGGCACAGTCCTGCTCCTCTCTGGGTGGCCCTGAACGTGGCCCTTACAAGGCAGCGATGCAGGCTGCTGTCCCTCCCGGGGGCCTCTGAGTGCTCAGAAACACTGTCCTTTGCTTTGACCCCTGGGAAAAAGCGCATGCTTCATCGCCGATCTGCAAGTGATGTTTTATTTTCCTGTTTGTCTTAATTGTTCTTGTTTCTCTCTGTGCTGTCCCCTCATTCCCGCCCCTTTCTTTCTGGTGCAGAGATGAAGATAGTTGGGTGTAAGTTCCTGCTTTTGTGTGTCCTGTCTGCTTTTTGCCTGCTTTGTTTCCATCTTCATTTGTTCCATGGAATGTTGCAATACTGGGGTGGGGCATCATGTACATTATTAATCCTTCATCAGCCTCACCCTTTGGGGTACCAGACAAGACGTAAGAAGAGAAGCCACCAGCCCCGCCTAGAAGACTGGTGATCACTAAGGTCTGAGGGAGCGAAGGAGACGGAACTGTTGAGAAGCTCTTACCACGCCCTAGGTGTGCAGCTCAGAAAGGTTTCTGGGAGGCAGGCCAGCCACTCCCATTGGAAAGGGGCGCTAGGCTTAGGCCAAGCCACAGAGGGCAGGGAGCTTCCCTTTGCAGCTCTGCTGGCACACCTCGCACAAAGGCGCACACGGTCTTTGAAAGAATGCTTTCCTCACGGGAGTGTGCAGAGGCCCGGGCCGTGGGAGTGCCAGCCGAGGCCTTGGCGGGATGCCTAAGGGATGGTTTGGGAATGGTCACATCTGGCCCACAGCAGGTTGAGAGATCATCACATGGTCAGCCCAAGAAAGGAGTTATCACAGATAGTGAGGTCACTGTGCCCATCCCGTCACCCTGTTCCAGCAGGACGTCACTGCATAACAATATGACAGGAGCCCTGGGACACAGAAGACATGGTTAGAAAAACAAAGAACCTGCTGGGCCGGCGTGGCTCAGTGGTTGAGCACTGACCTACAAGCCAGGAGGTCACGGTTCGATTCACAGTCAGGGCACATGCCCGGGTTGCGGGCTCGATCCCTGTTCCTGCCAGAGACAGCGGATCAATGATTCTCTCTCGTCATTGACGTTTCTCCGTCCCTCTCCCTTCCTCTCTCAAATCAATAAAAATATATTTTTAAAAAATAATAAAAGTCACATGGATACCTTGAAAATAATTTCCAGAGAGTTCTAGTTAAAACAAGGATAATATTTAAGCAAAGCACCTATTCTCTAGACATTAAAATTCTCTAGACTTCACTTTTTATTTTTTTGCCAAATCAGCCTAGAAATTGAATAATTATTTAAACTCCATAGAAAAACTAATGTGTAAAAGGTTTCTTATCATAAGAAGCCTCTGGCATTTCTGTTTCAGTTGTAAAAATTAAAGGTATAATCGACTTTGACTTATCCCATTATAATAGCAATAACCCACAGCAATGTTCCCAGTAAGTTTTAAATCTTACTTTCAGGACGGATCTTTCTCAGCTTCTGTCCTGACAGTAGCAAGTTGATCATTTGAGTTGCCCTTCTGCCTGTCCTCGTCCCCGCAGGCCGGAGAGCTGTGAGCGATGCGGTCGGACTAAAGCGGGGGCTCCGCTCGGCGCAGAGGAACGCCTGGCGGCGGCAGGGACGGGCCTCACGGCCGCCTCCCCGCGTGCATTGGCGTGAGGTTCTCAGAGCTCCTGCGCGGTAGCCTCGGGGCTCCTCAGGGAACCAGGTGGCTTTCTCTGCACTGTCATTCTCTCCTCTTCCCTACGTGAGCCAAAGTCTTTTGAGAGCTTCATTAAGCAACCAAATCACCGTGCCTGCACCCCAGGATAGGAAGGCAACCCGAAGAGGAGGTCTGGTCATGAAGGCCTCGGAAGCCCACGGTGTGTGCCAGGCCTGGCTGGCGCTGTGGCGTGCGTACAAGTCCGCAGACAGTCCAGTTAGAAAGGAGGCCCTTGGCCTGTCGGTGCAGCCAGCATGCTCACTCGCTACCAAAAGCAAAGCCTGCTTCACTGGTGCCGAGGCAGGAGCTGGTCAGACGTGCCGGGATTTCTAGGAGCCACTGGAAAGCCTGTGGAAAGGGTGAGAGGCCTGCTGCGCAGGATAGCTGTCTGCTCTCTGGAGGTGCCGGCACATCTCCCTCCGGCCTCCCGGCTCCATGCTGCTGTCTTCCTGGGAAGATCCCCCTCTTTCCCCCTCACCCCCCAGCCTTTACCATGCTGCTGTTGTTGTTCAGTCGGAGCCCTTTAGAAAGTGTGACTGAAACCCTGTGTGCGTGTGGGGACCTCAGAGCAGTACATGGGCTCTTCTCACACAGCCATAGGCATCCCACCCCAGAGGCAGCTCGGGCAGCAGGTCCAGCTTCTGCCTGTCTCCAGCAGCAGATGTGGGCACAGCTGGAGCCAGGGCCCAGGGCAGCAGCCAGAACACAGCAAGTGGCCCCCGGGGCTCCAGCACTGTGCCGCTGGAGGAGCGTCCCCGGCTCCCAGGCACTGGTCACACAGGAAAGACCGCCAGGCAGTCCGGTGACCGACTGCCCTGAGCAGGCAGGGGCCGGGAGCTGGGCCTCCAGAGGAAGGAGCAGGTGACCAGTCAGACTCCGCAGCGTTGAGGGCTGCAGAAAGAAACCGAGAAAATCAAAACAGCTTTCCTCAGGGGGAGGACGAGGGACTAGTTAAGACAGACAAGACCTGGTTACAGTGGGTTCTGGAATCTCTGTGGAGGCTGAGATGGCAGCTACTCTCCTGGAGGCGGGAGAGCCTGAGCAGCCACTGCCCTCTGAGAAGGTGCTGTGCCCAGCCTGCGGGCCGCTCCCCTGGTATGTGGGTGTCCATCGTTATTAACCAAGCTTGGAATGCCCTGAGCACCACCCGAACCCCGGAGGCGCCATCGCTAGCCTGGTCCTCCATGCACAGGGGACAGTGTGGCTTCTGGGGTCACGGAAACATGGCATTTCTTCCCCACAGGCGACATCCGCAATGACCTGTACCTAACCCTGGAGAGGGGGGATTTCGAGAGAGGGGGAAAGAGTGTGCAGAAGAACATTGAGGTGACCATGTACGTGCTTTATGCAGATGGAGAGATCCTGAAGGTAAGGCTTGCCAGCCAGTTTGGAACGGAGGCTGACCCTGAAATGACCTCCTGTTCTGTGGACATTGTCCCCGACTCTCCGCGGCAGGACTGGGCTCGGATCGCCCTGTGCGTTCTGCTCCACCTCTTCCTTCGCCAGGGAGCCCTAGGCGCCCTGCTGACAGCTCCCAGCCTCTGGCCTTCCTCTGGTGTCTGCTCCAGCCCAGACCTGCTCCCTCTAGTCTGTCCCCGCTGTTGCTTCTGCCATCCCACCTGGCATGGAGCTGCCTACTTCCCGTAACTTCTAGATCCCACTCTTCGTCCTTGAGCTGCTGCAGGAAGTTCCATTTGCTCTGGTCCAGGGCGAGGCTTAGGTCCTCATCGGCTGGTGCCAAGTTCCAGGACACGGAACAGCAGGCCCCGTCCCTAGGATTACTTGTGGCCAGTGCGCCGGAGGGATCCGGTCACTCATTGAGAGTGAAGGCCTGGCGCTGCTCTCCTGTCGTCGGTGTCAGCTTTCCCCTCACAGTTCACGGCCTCGTTTGCAGAGGCTTCATGGACTGCAAGTCAGTCAGTCAGACCTCACCTCATGTTTGACAGCAGTGCTATGAGGGGGCAGAACAAGAACAATCATCCACACTTTACAGAAGAAAAGGGTGAAATTAGCCAGAATCACCTCCCAGCGCAAGGAAGAAATAGAGGAGCATGTTGAAATGGTGTCAGAACAGTGATTATCACTTTCAAAACCCACTTCTGGGCTCAGGCACGTCCACTGTTTGCATAGCAGTCCTCCCGAGGTCAGCAGGGCGTTCGTGCTCACCCCTCGCCCGTGCGGCTTCTTCCCTCCGGGAGGCCGGCAGCCCTGGCAATGTTTGGGAGCCTAGGTCAGGTGTAGCCAAGGACAGCCCGCTGGGGCCACCAAAGGTGCCAGCATAGCGCGGGGCTTAGGGCAGTGAGGGAAGCACCCCCTCCACTTTCGCATCTCATTATCTTTGTGATCTGGCCGTGTGCCCTGCACAGTTGAATTCTCCCACCAAGTCCACTGTTTCCTTTCTCGGTGAGGATGCAGGACCCACCTCCGGGAATCAGGTACTCAACTCAGTGCCCCGGGTTATTGCAGTGTGTGTGGTGACCTCTGCCCACAGAGAAGTGAGCACGGTGACGCGGGTCCTTATACCGTCCACACAGATGTTCCCGAGAGCATTGAATTGAGGCCAGATGCCGTTCCTCCTCTTACAGGTTCCGCCTGGCTGGGAAATGAGACCCGCACGAGAGACTGGGTCCTCCAGGCAGAGTCATGGAGGGCCCTCCAGGAAATGACACCTCATTGCTTCTCTCTCCCAGGATTGCATCAGCTTGGGCTCGGGAGAGCCAAACAGAAGCTCCTACCACTCGTTCGTCCTCTACCACAGTAACAGTCCTCGCTGGGGAGAGATCGTCAAGCTGCCCATCCCCATCGACCGCTTCCGCGGCTCCCACCTGCGCTTCGAGTTCAGACATTGTTCCAGTGAGTGAGCCGTCCACCTTCCTTGGAGGACATGATATAACTTTCCACCCCGGGACAGAATTGAGAGGTTCTCATTAGTGGGGCAAGAAAAGGAGGAGTTGTGAAGAAATGCCATTTCAGAGATGGGATGTTCTCTGGACAGTGATTTAAAACCAGGGGTTGGCCCTAGGTGGTTTGGCTCAGTGGATAGAGCGTTAGCCTGTGGACTAAAAAGTCCCACGTTCGATTCCGGGTCAGGGCACATGCCCGGGTTGCAGGTTGCATTCCCAGTTGGCGTGCAGGAGACAGCCAAGCAATGATTCTCTCTCATCATTGATGTTTCTATCTCTGTCCCTCTCCCTTCCTCTCTGAAATCAATAAAACAACAACAGAACACCAGGAGGTTGGGGGTTTGCTCCTAGTGTCTGACCTAACTGCTAGTGCCATTCCCTTTGGTGTATCCTGTGTGTGTGTTAGACTGCTTCTTGAGAGAGAGCCTCCGGCTAATCAAGACCTTCGGTTTTGTCTCTATTTGGGTCTAGAGAGTGTGGGCCCTGGGATATCAGTGGACACACCGCTCCTGCCGTCAGGTCGATAATAAATGAAAGTAAGGGACTAAGAAGCAAAGAGCGTGTGTGGGTTGTTGAAATTTTAAAAGCAAAGTGCAGCTAACACAGCTAACACTTGGCTCTGGTTACAGCAAAGGACAAAGGGGAGAAGAAACTCTTCGGCTTTGCGTTCTCACCCCTGATGCGGGATGACGGCACCACGCTCTCCGATGACATCCACGAGCTCTACGTATACAAGGTGCGGCTCTGTGGCCGAGTGCCAGCCTGAGCGCCGGGAGGTCACGGTTTGAGTCCCGGTCAGAGCACATGCCCAGGTTGTGGGCTCAATCCCCAGTGGGGGGCGTGCAGGAGGGAGCTGATCAGTGTTTCTCATCACTGATGTTTCTATCTCTCTCTCTCTCCTTCTCTGAAACCAATAAAAATATATGTATTTTTAAAAGGCATGTCAGCCATCGTCAAAAACCGGTTTGGCTCAGTGGATAGAGCGTTGGTCTGCGGACTGAAAGGTCCCAGGTTCGATTCTGGTCAAGGGCATGTACATTGGTTGCGGGCACATCCAAGGTGGGGGATGTGCAGGAGGCAGCTGGTCGATGTTTTCTCTCATCAATGTTTCTGGCGCTCTCTTTCCCTGCCTCTCTGTGAAAAATCAATAAAACACATATTTAAAAAAAAAAAAAAAGATATCTCTAAAAATAAATAAATAAAAGGCATGTCAGCCATGCTGGGGGTTTCTGGACAGAGCACAGACATCAGCCAGAAACCCCCTGGGACCTGACTTGTACACGGGGTATGGTTCAGGAAGTGCCTGTGTTCTCTGCTCTGCCCGCAGTGTGATGAGAACAGCACGTTTAACAACCACGCCCTGTACCTGGGCCTGCCCTGCTGCAGAGAGGACTACAACGGCTGCCCCAGCATCCCCTCCAGCCTCATCTTCCAGCGCAGCACAAAAGAGTCCTTCTTCATCTCCACGCAGCTCTCCTCCACCAAGCTCACCCAGAACGGTAGGCACTGGCGCCGCAGGTGCCTCCCCATCCTCCGCTGCCGATCCGTGTTAGGGGAGACGGGAATTTCTGCTGTCCTGCCACAGTGGGGGACCCTTTTCATCGAAGCTGAAGGAATCGCCGGCAGCAGCAGCCTCTGGGGTTTCCCTGGTTTTTGGCAGCTCCCGAGTGCACACCCAGAGTGCACAGATGTGTCTTTGGCCTTGACCTCAGCACTGAAGAGGCTGTGGCCATGCTCACAGCTATTTCTGATCCCTAGACCCCTCCCCACCCCCTCCCCATCTGTGTCTGGAAGAGTGGGCGCTGCTTGGCCTTGGCTTAGCCAGGGCTCACCACTGCGGGCTTGCTTTCTAGTGGACCTCCTCGCTCTGCTGAAATGGAAGGCCTTTCCAGACAGGGTCATGGACATCCTAGGGCGGCTGCGGCATGTCAGCGGAGAGGAGATTGTTAAGGTATGGCTTCCCCTCAGAAACGGTCCAGCGCTCTGTGCTGCCTGCATTCCTTCAGGTCTCCCTTCCCTTCCTTGGGGTCTTTCTCATTTTCCTACTTCATAACCCTCACCGCACACCCAGCCTGATGTCTTTCCGGCTCCACTCTCTTGATTGTAGAAGAACTCAATCTGCCCGCGAACCTGCAGCTCTGCTGCTGTCCGTCTCTCACTCAGCGTCCATGGCAGGGCAGCTTCCTCACTCTGCCTCCACCGCTTCTCCCAGTTCCTTGTAACAGTCCCATCTGATGGCCAAGCAGGCAGCGCGGGACCGCCGTCCCCAGCTGTCTCTAGGCTCCTCCGCGCTAGGCTGAGTGTTGGTGCCCCTGGTTCTAGCTCAGGAAACCCCCAGGCACTTCCTACTGGCGGAAGCCTCACAGGTGGATTCTCCACAATGGACTAAACTCCGCTGGGGAAGCGGGGGGCTTTTGGTGATGAATGTAGGACAGATGAAACCTCAGGAGGCTGCCTGTCCACCGCGCGCATCTCTGCTCTGTCGTCACAAGTCTCAGATCAGTGACACTGCCTCTGCTTCCCTCTCCCAGCTCCATTACTCCACAGTGCACAGCACGCACCTGCAAACAGGAACAATGTGCACCTCTGCGCACTTCTGCAAAGCCGAGTGTGAGCTCTGCTTTAATTAATGATCAGGGTGTCGGACATTTTAGAGAGAGCTCTTAACAAATAAGCTCTTAGTTTTTGAAACTTAAGATAAACTCTTACTCCAGACCTTTTTTCCTTCTGAACATATTCACAGTATAATCTAGTGAACAGACAGGCAGGAGGAGTCTGTGATCCTATAAGCAGGTTGTATTCCTCACAGGAGAACATTGTACCAGCAGGTGTGGTTTCAGCACCAATCATTTGTCTCTGGCCAGCCAGAAGAGAGAGTGGGGAGAATACACTAGCATTTTACTTCTCATTGGGAGTAAAATACCTACACAAAACTAGACAGAATAGTATAAAGAGCCCTGTATGTACCCAGCACCCGCACCAACACTCGCCAACGCATGGCCAATCCTGCCCATCCAGTCCCTAGCCACATCTCCCACCTTGTATTCTTTTGAAGTAAATTGTAAGCATGGTATTAGTTCTGACCAACAGAAGTTAGCTTTGACTTTTAAAGACTACTGGCATCCCGGTGTGTGTATTCTCTCCCTTGGGGCCTGCATCTCGGTCAGGAAGAAGCAAGCCCTAAACACAAGCAGCAACAAGAGGTAATGCTTCCTGGCCCTTTGCCCTCAGTGCCGCCCTCACAGGCCACATTCTCCCTCTCTGGGCCACTAACTTCTAGATCCAAACACGGTTTCTGTAGGTCAGGCCTCCCTTGCCACATCCTCACCCAAATGTGCTGTATGGAGTTAGACCAGTAGAGAGTGAGGGACGGCTGAACTTTTGAGGTCCCAGGAAAGTGAGCTCTTTTTCTCAAAAGGAACTTGGCATTAGAATCACTTAGCTTGTCTTGATGTTAAGATTGCCGTCCTCTATGGGCGTCCTAGGTGTTAAGGCACTTGCTCTTTCCTTACAAGTTGAGCGCTTTCCCAAGGAAGCGCCTCTCTGTCCCCCTGGGCTGTCAGCAAATACCCCAAGCCCACCCGTGACCCCTGTGGCTTATTTGTAAGCAGTGGTGTGAGATCTTAGGTCTTTGCCTGTGCTTATTGGGAAGTAAGCGCATCGGTGCCTGGAAGTTTGACCTGTGGACAAGGTCCCGGGAGCTGAGCCCTGACGTCTGTGCTCTCTCTCGCAGTTCCTGCAGGACATCTTAGACACGCTCTTTGTGATTCTGGATGACAACACGGACAAGTACGGCCTGTTGGTGTTCCAGTCTTTGGTAAGGCTCGTCTTTCATGACTTTTCCTTCTTCCGGCACATCTTCTGTAAAGGAGGGAAGTAAATTACCAGAGGGAGTCTGCACAAGGTTTGGTTGTTTCCAGTAGAAAAGGGACTGAGGAGTATCACTCAAGACCAACCAACCGACCAGGCAGATCCCTTCAGATCAAATGGGCAGAATGCAGATGGCCAGGTGCAGGCCTCAACCTTGTGGTTCTGGTACTCAGTCTCCTCACAGCTGCAGAGGTGCCTGGCCCTGAAATAGTGGTCTGTACCACCAAAGGCGACTAGGGGAAGCAGGTGGTCCATTTCTTCACGTGCAGACGTGGCTGTAAGCACCAGGACAAGCAGACTCACTCGTGCTGGTCTCGGCATCACACTTCCTCCCGCTATGAAGTCGTTTGGGAGCAAGAGTTGCAGGAGGCTGCTTAGTGAGGATGGACAGTGACTAGGATGTTTGTGCACTTTGCTTAGCATATCCAGTCCCACAGGAGGATGGATATTCAAGGAGAACTGTATACTCCAAGTCTACCCGATAGATGAGGGCAGAGTTGCTTCTTCGGCTTTTTCCTCGCTGCCCTGGCCGGCCAGCCCCACTTCTGAAGGGCGCACTTTCATAGGCTAGTTTGGCTCCAAGGACAATCCTTTCTCCCCTCTGTTTTCCAAGGGTTCTGAGATGCACTAGTGTTTATGCCACCTGCACAGGTACTGTTTGCCCTCCCTGGTTCATGTTGTACACCCAGCATTATTAGGAAGAGGCTCAGCATAACACAGGCACAGGCCGTGGAGCCAGGCCTGGATTGGGCGTCCAGGGAAGGTGAGAACAGAGAGACAGACAGCAGTTCAGACTCAGGACGGAAACCATACTTTCACACCCACGGGGATCACTAGATACAACACTGACAGTCTGCCCTTCCTTGAAGAAGCAAGAGTTCTGTTTAGTGCTGGGGATAGCCTGAGGCCTCCAGCGAGCCTGGTGTCTCCGCCAGGTGTTCATCATCAACCTGCTCAGAGACATCAAGTACTTCCACTTCCGGCCGGTCATGGACACGTACATCCAGAAGCACTTTGCTGGCGCCTTGGCGTACAAGTGAGTTTCGTCTGGCATCGTTATTAGGGCTTGTGTTTGAGTAGAAAGAGGCTTTAAAAAGGTCACCTGACCTTTTAGCCTTCATCGAAGAACCGCCATACTGTTTTTTCATGGCGGCTGCACCGTGTTCCATTCCCACCAGCGGTGCCCAGGGGTTCCAGTATCTCCGCATCCTTGTCAGCACTTGCTCTTTTCCGTCTGTTTGGTTTTCTTTATTTTTTTGGTTCGGGGCTGAAAACATTCCTGGCTGCGTGGCGAGTGGATTAAAGTGGTTCCGGGGACTGCTCTCTCCCCAGGGAGCTCATCCGCTGTTTGAAGTGGTACATGGACTGCTCGGCAGAGCTGATTCGGCAGGACCACATCCAGGAAGCCATGCGGGTAACGTACTTTGAGAAAAGTTCCTTTGCCCTTCATTCCCTGCTGTGTTAGTTCCTGACTCTTTAACACCTTCCCATCCCTCTGTCCCCACACCTTCAGGCCTTGGAGTACCTTTTCAAGTTCATCGTGCAGTCCAGGATCCTGTACTCGAGAGCCACCTGTGGGATGGAAGAGGAGCAGTTCCGGTCCAGCATCCAAGAGCTTTTCCACTCCATCCGGTTTGTGCTCAGTCTGGACAGCAGAAACTCAGAGACACTCCTGTTCACTCAGGTCTGTGGCTGCAGGGCAGCGTGGATGCGGACTCTTGTCTGTCTGAGTCGGTGATTTCTTTGTCCTCTGGCTTCCGGAGTCAGAGAAGTCTTGCCAGGCTCCTGTGTGTTGGGTAAGGGCTGGTTTACAACAAAGTACCCACTAGAATGGAAAGCTGCTTTCCTTCAAGCCAGCTGTGGCCCAGCTGCCAAATATAAAACATCCCAGTGGCTTATGGTGGGGAGCACAGCTGTGTTCTCAGGAGTCCTCTTCATTTTGTTGTTGTCATTGTTTTGTTGTTGTTAGTCCTCATCCAAGGTTATTTTCTCCATTGATTTTCTTAGAGTGGAAGGGAGGGAGGAGAGGAGGAGTGAAAAGACACATAGGTTGCCGGAGCATAGATTGCAGCATGGCAGACCTGTGTCCCAGTGGCATAAACTCCCACTCACCATAGGCCAGTGTCTACTGTCTGATGAGTCAGTTAAGAGAAACAGCCTCCCTGCTCTGCCTGCCTCTCAGGAGGCGTGTACTCTCATCTCCTGTCTCTAAGTGACGTTCCTTTTCCCTTTGTATGTCTTGTGTTAATTGTGTAAGAGGACTGAGAAGAGGGAAGCATCCTTCATGCTACCTGCATGTAGAAGAGAGATGACTGAGAGCAGTGTTTATTGAAAGCCTACTGTGTGCCAGGCAACCTACTAGAAACAAACTTATACCCCTAATTTTTTTCCTCAGACCCTTGTAATAGCATCATCCCATTTTACAGATGAGAAAACTGAGGATTAGGCATCAACTCACCCAAGGTTCTGTGGCAGATAAGTGATAAGCTGGGATTGGAACTCATGACTGTCTAATTCCAAAATTCATTGTCTGTCTCCTACACTACTCCGCCTCCTGGAGGTGCTGAAATTATCATCAGATTGTCCTCAGGAGGCCACCTCCTGGGTCTGCCAGAGCTGAGATTCCGGAAGAGAAGTCTCCAAGAACACACACTCCCCAGGCCATCTAGGTCACTGACCTCTCTGCCAACATCATCTAAAGTCCTCAAGAGTTCATGAATAAGCTCATGCAATCTTCATCCTTGGGATTTACACTTGAGACCACCCAGCATCACATAGGAAGAAATAAAGTCTCCTATTTTGTGGTTTCAAATAAATGTGTCTGTCCCGGGAAAATGGTCCAGCTCTCCCTAGGCTGCTGGCTGCAGGCTCTGAGCAGGTTCAGTGGGCACTCTGTGCAGGTGCTCAGCCCTCCCGCCACCCTCTCCCTGAGAGGCCCTGGCTGGAGTTTGGGGCCACAATAGAAAGGTCAAGAGCAGATCATAGAGACAGAGACAAACATTTAAATCCATTTTTTAAGCAAACACAGCTGTGGATATTCAGCCATGTTGAGCTGATTTCATTTTATAGTCCCTTCTCTTGCTAACAAATGCCCTGGCAAGTTATGAAAGCTTCAAGTGGCCTGGCCCCATCAGTTCTCTAGTTTTTATTTCCATTTTGGTTCTCCCTGCTTCATGTCCCAGCTTTACCACTTATCTGCCACAGAACCTTGGGTGAGTTACTGCCTAATCCTCAGTTTTCTCATCTGTAAAATGGGGATGATGCTGTTACTTACCTCCTGACATTGGAGTGAAAGGCCAGGGAGGAGCCCACCCACAACAGGGCCTGCAGTGCTTTCTCAGCCTCTCACCGCCCTGTGGCTGTCTGAGCATGCGCGATGGAAACACACTGCCTCTGAGTAATCACAGCTGCATTGCTTCTGCAGGCCGCACTCCTCAATTCCTTCCCCACCATTTTTGATGAGCTGCTGCAGATGTTCACCGTGCAGGAGGTAGCAGAGTTTGTGAGAGGTACGCTAGGGAGCATGCCCAGCACCGTGCACATCGGGCAGTCCATGGATGTGGTGAAGCTGCAGTCCATCGCCAGGACCGTGGACAGCCGCCTGTTTTCTTTCTCGGGTAAGCCACGTCGGGATGAGAGTTAGTCACTGTTTCAGGGTGCTAACCACAGGGTGATCACAGTGTCAGCCATCACGTGAGAAGCCAGTAGCCCTTAGATGCAGTCTTTTTGGTAAACTATAGTTATAATATTTGGTAATAACAACTTTTAAATTCGAGAATGCAGACAAAACATAGTACTACTGCCTCACTCACAAATTATTCCTAGAGACCAGCTTGCAGTGGTACCAAGTTATCCGTGGCCAGATGCTAAGGTCAATGTGAGCCTGGTCCTTTAAGCAGAATAGCACGAGCATAGGAGAAACTTCCAGGGCATAGGAATAGTCTGAAATGCTAGCCAATTACTGCATTTTTATAATTAGAATTTTTGATAATAAAAAATTTTAAGTTTGACTTTTGAAATATAACAGCAATCATTTCACAGCCCAGTGCCACACACATTGTAATACTAGTGTCCTCTTTAACTTAGCTGGCCAGCATGACGGATGGCTGATGGAAAGCTGCCACCAAGGAAATCGGTTTCCTTCCGGTGTCTGTTTAGGTTAACGCTCTCCTTCCCAGCAGCGGGACTGGAGATGTGACCAGGGGGCTGGACACTGTCTCCGAGGCCGTCACCACTCGAGCTTCCGGTGCTGCCGAGAGCGATGCTTTCTCGGCATTGGGGCGGGAGACGCAGACTGCTCTCACTGGCATACTTCACTTCTCATACTTTTGCATGCACTTGCTCCTCCCATCATCGAGTAGAAAATTTGTTCTAAAACTTCATTGGGTTTGTTGGTTTTGTTCAGTGTAAGGTTTTATATTTAGAATTAGGCAGCTGGGCTCAGCTTAGATGATCCCAGTTTTGTTGGCAGCATCCAAAGCATCATCGTCAGGAGCCAGTGGAACAGATGCCTTCTCTCGCCATCAGGCCTGATGAGGCTGTTGACCTTGGCCACCTCAATGTCAGAGAGCTTCTTCACAGCCTGGCTGACCTGCTGCTTGTTGGCCTGGGCGTCCATCCACAAGGAACGCAGTGTCTCGTCGTCTCCTCTCCTCCGTGCTGACTCGGTGGTGGGGATGTGATGGTGGCACAGGGGGCAGGCTCGTTTCTCCTGGGCGCCCTGCCGAGGATGTGGGGCGGCTTTCGGGGCCTGGTGTCTGGCTGTCAGGAGGTGGGCCATGTGCGGACCTTCTTTGTGTGGCTGTGGACGCCTTTCCGCGCCGCTTTCCTCGCCTTCAAAGCCTTTGCTTTGGCTTCGGCTTTGGGCGGGGCGGGGCTTCCCTCTTAGCTTTTGGTAGCAAGCGATTGGGTTTTGAGATGACCAGCCACCACCACGCGTTCATGTGCGTCTCACTCCCATTGACGCTGAGTGGCAGCGTCTCCCTGGAGCAGGGTTTCTGCCAGTGATGTCATTTAACCAGCACGACTTTCTCAGAGCACCTTGGTCTGACCTTCAGCAGATTCTAGTGAAAAACTACTGTTTCTGCAGCAGCTGTTGGTTGTTTCATATCCTGCTTTTTTTGGTATTTTGGTCTACAAGATAGATTATGAACTTCTCTTCTAGCCAAGCATCTTTTTCTTTTTTATTATTATTTTTAAATATATTTTTTATTGATTTCAGAGAAACGGGGGGATAGAGGAAGAAGAGAAAGGGGGTGAGGGGCAGAGAAACATCAATGATGAGAGAGAATCATTGATTGGCTGCCTCCTGCATGCCTCACATAGAGGATCGAGCCCACAGCCTAGGAATGTGCCCTGACCGGAAATCAAACTGTGACTTCCTGGTTCATAGGTTGATGCTCAACCACTGAGCCACCCACCCGGGCATCAAGCTTGTTTTTTAAACATAAGATAGCTGTCAGTCCATTTTATTGAAACATTCGGATAAGTATTTGGCAAGACATTCCCCAGGTCTCTGCATGTCATGTGATTTGTCTTTGGCTGACAGATTTTCTTTTTGAATTTCATCTGGAACACTTAACCATGTTGAAATATGAGCAATAAATCCAAAATGCTATGGCTCCTTTGTGTTACTAATCATCTGGCTGAATGGATGGGCCAGGCTTGGTGGGACCTGCAGGGCACAGAATAATTTACCCTGGTGTTATCGCACCTTTGAGCAAATGCAGCGAGGCCATTAGCGCCTCATTCTCCGGTGCTGATGGGGGATGGAGCCCAGAGAGAGAGCAAGCTGTCTACGGTCTTAGAGTTAATAGAGTGGCCTTCCTGTGCTGTTTGGGTAACAATGAGGAGAAAAGAGAAGTAGGCTTGGTGATAACGGTTAGCTAATTATCAAAGGCTTATGACAAAAGTCCTGCTTCTGGCCTAGCCTCCCATAAAGCCTGATGGGCAGTGAGGCAGGCTAATGGCTGCACAGAGTGAATGGGGCAGTGGTGCCAGGACACCTAGCCAGGCGACTTCAAGAGGGACCCAATCTGATCACGTATGCAGCTGGGTCAGTGCAGCTTATAGAATGGAGGGGCATTTCGGTGGCATTCTCACTGCACGCTGAGCCTTTGATTTGGAGTCTAGTCATTAAGAGGCTTTCATCACACTTATCCCGCACACAGTGCGCAGATACGAAGTCTTAATCAGAAAGACGAGAGCGGTGGGAGGATAATGCTGGGGATGTCTTAACATCCTGCACCAGAGGAGGGCGCGGCCTCCTGCTCAGCCTACCCCGCCAGCCACTGGCTTCCAGCACCTGTGTTTTCTCTCCCAGAATCCCGCCGCATCCTGCTTCCCGTGGTTCTCCATCACATCCACCTCCACCTGCGGCAGCAGAAAGAGCTGCTCATCTGCTCAGGGATTCTCGGCAGCATCTTCTCCATCGTCAAGACCAGCTCTCTGGTAGTGGCCCCCCCACCCCCTCAGCTCTGCCCCAGACTGGGGTTACCCCAGCCAGAGGCAGCCCAGCAAAGAGCACTTGGTGCACTTCTCAGTGAGAGAAGCTGTCATCAGTGACAGGAAGGCACCCGAGGGAGTGGAGGCCTGTGTGCCCAGCAGGCTGTTCAACACCATTCAACTCAGTCTTGCTATTTTCAAACGTTTCACTGTGTAAATTCACCCTCAGGCCACCCAGAAGCATAGTGACCTGTAGCCCAGGAAGCCCAGGCCTGTGTCCATCAGCGCTGTTGGTTCTGGGTTCCGGAGAATGTGCTGAGGATACGCGGGCACGGACAGAGGGGCAGGCAGGCTGGGAGGCAGCTTGTTCACTCAGACTTTTCTGGCAGCCTGATCCCACCCGTATGGCATTCCTGCCCTGTGCCAGAGGAGCCAGGGTGGAGAGATATGGAGTACGTGTTGCCCAGGGCGCACTGAGCCGCAGGGACGGCAGAGCTGTGCTTGAGGAGGGAGGTTTTGGTGCTTGTGCCCATTTTCTTCCTTTAAATTTTCTCTTAAAAGGAAATCTGTGGTGAAGGGGAGGAAGGAAATGAAAGACATGTATCAGGCATGAATAATTTGCTTTAATGATATTTACTATATGTGTTTATGACAATAGAAAAAAATTACATTTCTTATGGAAAATATAGGAAAGTATAAAGAAAGAAATTAAAAACAAAAATTAAGTTTTTTATCACACCACCTTGGTAAGAGATAAGGTTCCTGGAAAATAATATTTCAGGTGCATTGTCAATGACGGCCAGTGGCCAGGTGATAAGAACATGGTTAGGCTAGCCGTGCACCTGGAGAGGTGCCAAAAAGAGAGCATGCTTGGTTTGAGCAGGATGCAGGGACCCAGTGGGGTGCTCTGGTATCGGACTTAAAGTTCCATCTGGTGATGGCACAGCGTGGCGGAGCAACTGTGAGGGTGTGGGGTCCTATTGTTTGCTCTTGGCTCCTGGCCAGGCCTGGCAGCTCCCCTCCCCCCTCACAGAGGCCACACGGGTGCATAAGGTCTCCTAGTGCCCAAGGTCACACTTGACAGGTGGGAGACTTATTGCTAAAAAGAAAAAGAAAAGGGAAGAGGAGGAATGGGAACAGATCAAAGCCTCAAGGAGATGGTCCGGTTGTATTGGTGGGGCCGGAGAGTTTTGGTGCAATTAACTGCTTCCAGGATCCCAAAGAGGCATCACAGGCGAGAGCGTCACAGTCAGGTCAGCATATGAGAGAGCTTTGGGTCCAGAGCTGCTCAGCTCCTTCATGTGGGTCGGGCAGGGCGTCATTGTGTCAAACAGACGGGCAGGGGCTGAAGCTGCATGAGACAGAGGTGTTACCTTCCTTGTTCCCTCTGTATACTCAGTCCTCACACAGTGGCTGGCACGTGATAAATGTTTAGAAAGTGCCGGATGGGTGGACATTCGGACCAGTTATAACCTAAAGAGGCTGGAGAAGGGGCCGTGGGGACTTCTGTGAGACAATGGAAACTGAGCTGTGGGATCTGAGATTGAATGGGAGAGGTCGGTAAGGGATAGCACAGGCTCATCCTGAGGTCAGAGCCTCGTGGCTGGGAGGCAGCCTGTGAGGAGGCGTGCTCTGTGTCTGTGGAGGACGGAGCCGAGTCCTCCAGGGGCCAGTGCCCATGAGCGAGAAGGCTGAGGAGCTAGCAGGGGCCCGGGCATGCCTGGCAGCAGCCCCGCTGGCAGAGACTGGAACCAGCCAGAGAGAGAACCCCTCAGGGTTCAGAAGGACTAAGCTTCGCTGGATGTGTCAGCAATGGGGAGGTGCTGCCCACAGCCCACGGGTGAATGTGTCCTCATCTTCTCAGGGCTGTGCTTCCTCCTGACAGTGACAGGGAAACCAAGAACACCTGTAACTCGGGCCTTTGCCTCTGTCCTGTGTATTGATATTAATGTATTTGCCTGCAGTTCAGAATTGTGGGTGTCAGGTGGGGCTGGTAAGGCCTCAGCGCCCAGTGTCCCGCCTTCTCAGAGCTGGTGCCGGGTTCCCTGACACTCCGCCAGTGAGGCCGAGAGCCGGGTGGGGAGTCCAATCCCGGGGCCAGTCCTGAGCGGCTGGCCTAGAAAGTTCCGCCGGCTGCCCGCGCCGGGCCTGCGCTAACCGTGTGTCTCTGCTGCCCGCTCAGGAGGCGGACGTCCTGGAGGAGGTAGAGATGATGGTGGAGAGCCTCCTGGACGTGCTCTTGCAGACTCTGCTCACCATCATGAGCAAATCGCACGCTCAGGAGGCGGTAAGAGGGCAGCGGTGCCCGCAGTGCACAGCCGAGATCACTGTTAGTAACTAACATCAGGTTTCCTTCTTTCTTGTCTAACCCGGGGCTCCTCCACCAACCCATCTCACCGCACCTCCATCTCGCTGCCCCGCATGGCGTCGGCATGCTGCCGTCTCCCTCCCGGATGTTGCTGTCTTCCTCCCCCATCTCCGCCCATCTCCGCTCTGGGCCTCAGGGCAGACTGGAAACGCTGGCCTTTGCCTTTGAGTCAGGTCAGGCCTATGGGGGTTGAGACAGAGACGCAGGGAGGAGGAGTAAGCTGCCGGGGAGAGGCGGGCTCTGGGACAGGCTGTCCTCAATGCTGAGCGCAGCAGAGGGCTTTCTCGGGACTCACTTGAACTACAGGTCAGTTGCTCTCTCTGTAATGTTTGTCTCAGTGTGAGGCCTCAGGAAGAACGCAAAGACGTAGAATCGCGCTGGCCTCACTGGACAGCCATCTCCGTGATCCAATGAGGAGAGAAACAGTCAGGGAAAGCCTCTCGGGAGGCTGGAGAGGCAGCCCCCAGGTCCCCTCTCCTGTGCCCGAGTTGAAGCGGGATGAGCATTGCCTGGGACCTTCCAGTCGCCAGGTGGCAGGTGACCGAGATCTCTACGAAGAAAGCCCTCTGTGCCCGGGCCAGCGCTGTGGGGCACTGGGCTGGTGTCCGCTCCTGTTGGCGAGGGCGCCTCACTGTGGACAAACACATACGCACCCGCACGTCCTGGTAACCCGTTCTAGCTGACAGTGACATTGTGTGCTGTGGCCCTCTCTGCCCTTTACAGATATTAACTCATTTCTTAGCAATACTCACCAAGCGCTTCATCTTCTGGGGATTAATGAAGGTGACAGTGACTGCAGCTAATGGAGCACTTTTCTGTGCTGGGCCTTTGCTAAATGATTCCCGTGCGCTCATCTGATCCTTACAGTAGATCCGGGAGTTTTGGTTGATTATGCCCGATTTTCAGATAAACGGAGGCTCACGTACTAGTACATGTAAATATCTTGCATACATACATGTATAAAATAGTCTTGTGGGTCTAGAAAGGATTTGAGAGACTAAAAACTGTTGGCAAATTCCCATGAATTTGTCCGAATGAAGTAATTTTGCTCCATTTTTTTTTTTCTGAGGAGGCATTCTTTTACAAGGAGGCCGTGCCCGCTGCCCACTGCCCGCCTGCTGCCCGCTGCTGGGAGCCGGTGCAAGTCTTTGGAGTCCTGACAGCAGGGTTTTCTCCCACGTGCCCCACTTGATATTTGAAGAAAGTTTAAAGATCCCTTATTTATCTTTAAATTTTCACTTGTCTTAAAGCCCAAAGCTTATCTTCTCATCCAGGTCAGTTTCGATTCCTGTACTTTCCAGACAGTTATGTTGACCTACTGTGTTCCAGTTGCTTGGTCCACTAACCACATGTAAGTTTGGAGGTCCCCAAGGAGTTCATTGTAGAAGGACCCAGCAGGATGGGCAGAACCCAAATTCTGTTCAAAGAAGGCCGAGGACCCTGACCCAAGCAGCCCCACAGGCTTCTCTCTGGTGCCCGGGCCGCATATAGTGACCGAGGACTGTGCCCAAACTCCCTCAGAGAGAAACAACCTCATCTTCCCTTGCAGAGCTTCCTGGCCATAGGTGAAGGTTTGAACCATCTCCGCTGCAGAAATCCCCTGTAACTCCTGGCCCTCCAGGCCGCCTAGCGGAGAGGAATGCTCATTTCAGGGCCAGAGTTGTCGCCTTCCCTTTCATGCTCATGGGCCATCTCAGACCCTCCCTTCTGTCCTTCCCTCTGTGGATCGGGGTTGCCCTGGTAATGGTCTGTGCTAGTGCTGAGTGTCTCTCGGGTCTCCGCAGGGGGAGTATGTGTCCTGCCTTCTCTCGCTGCTCCGCCAGATGTGCGACACCCACTACCAGCACCTCCTGGACAACTTCCAGAGCAAAGATGAGCTCAAGGTGGGCAGCAAAGCACGTGCCTTCCACCAGGGGGCAGCCTGTGGCTGAGACTGCAGGGGCTTTCCCCTGCCAGGGACAAGAGCAAGCGACCAGGCCAGGGCTGCCAGGGTGTGAGTCACAGCCCCTCTTTCCAGCTGACCCATGGCTCCGGGAGGCTGAAAGCCAGCAGTCCCATGCACCAGATCCCGGAAATGCTGGCATGCTTGCCCTGACTGATGGCAGCCTTGTGACCATGTGCCTTTATGGGAAGCTACTGGAGCCACACTCGCGGGCAGCACACCAGGACTCCTCCCTTTCTGTGCCTTCATTTCACCCCTGCAAACCTGGCTTCACTGTCTAATAACTGCGATAATAATGGTGACAGCCCTTCCCCGTTTAAAATGTGTTTCTGGAAGATGCCCATAAGTTCCTTCTTGTTTCAGGAATTCCTGCTGAAGATTTTCTGTGTGTTCCGGAACCTGATGAAGATGAGTGTCTTTCCTCGGGACTGGATGGTGATGAGACTTCTCACAAGCAAGTGAGTGTGGAAGGGCCTCGCACCAACATCCGTGGAGTTGTTCTCAGGCTAAGGAGAGCGTGTCCGTGCAAGAGAGCAAGGAAGAGGTCAAGACCAAGGCCATGGGGAAGAGAGGAGAGGGTGAATGTGAAAAAATAAGTGTTTTAGGCACAATAAATAGGACTTGACCATTTATCATAAGTTCAAAGAGAAGAAAGGATCAAAGATAGTTGGTTGTTGTTTTTTTTAATTGAACCTAGGTGCCTGGCAAACATGTCATAGTGAGGGGAGAAAAGGAGACTCTGAGGGTGTGAAATGTACCCAGAGGAGGGGTCTTTCTGAGGAGCCTGTTTTGTGGCCCATTGGCTTCCGAGGCTCTAGCTTCCCGCAGTTTCCCCATTTGGTCTGTGCTGTCTGCCAGACATTGCTTGCCCCCCACAGTCAGTGCTAAGTACCCCTGAGCCTGGCTGCGAGGCTCTGACCACTCCTGGCGCTGGCCGCTGGCTGGAGCTTCTAACTGACAAACCGGAGAGGCGATGCCGGAGGTGAGGGCAGCCTCACCTGGTCCCCCTCCGCTCAGGTGGCCACCGGCCGCTGCCTCCTCCCGCTGACCCGCCTTTCATGCTGGATTATGCGGTCTGTAGTGAGATTACTTATGGTTGCTGTGTTAGCGAGGGTCAGCACGGTCTTTCCACTTTGTGCCTGGGATAGTGCCCTTTATTTCTGTATTCATAACTGCAGACATTTATACAGAGCAGAGCAGAGAGTGCTCATAACCAGAGTTACACAGGCATTTCCTCACAGTGGGTGTCCACTCGACTCCCTCTCGTTTCTGTCTCTCGGCTCCACTCAGAGCTTCCCAAGCCCCCAGCCTAGCCTGCAAGCACAGCCTCTTCTTGTAGGTATTTTTTATTGATTTCAGAGAGGAAGGCAGAGGGAGAAAGAGATAGAACATCAGTGAAAGAGAAAATCCTTGATTGGCTGCCTCCTGCACGCCCCTCACTGGGGCTGTAGGCCGTTGGTGCTAAGCTGTCAGATGCCATTGCAAGTCTGTTAACTCCACCAACCCTTGTCCCCTCCCTGCAGCGTCATAGTCACCACGGTGCAGTACCTGTCCTCCGCCCTGCACAAGAACTTCACCGAGGCGGACTTTGACTTCAAGGTAGGCACCCCAAGACCAGCGCCATCCTTGTAATGACCCTCGGAAGCTAAAAACCACGCTCATAGTTTTGTTTTGGTTTCACTTAAAACAGCCATTTCATTTTGCTTACAGTTTACAGGTCAGGAATCTGAGGAAGACTCAGCTACGTGTCAGCTCGAGGACTGGGGAAAGCTCACGGATCTTTTTATTATTATTAAATGTCCGTAGTATGAAATGGCTTCCAAGCTTGATCGTGACTAGAATATCACCTAGAGCGCGCTCCACTTCAGGAGGGACTGGGAGCCAGACGGCCCTGAGCATGCTCACAGCCCAGAGCTAACGCTGTTGGCCTCAGAGGAGTCAACAAGAAGGGGAAACCCATTTGCAAAGAAATTAAAAAAAAACAAAAAACCAAGATCTCAAGTTGTAAAATGAATTCTGTGCCACATGCGTGTATTTAGAATCTGCCACATGTTCTTCTCTTTCCTAGGTGTGGAATTCTTACTTTAGCCTGGCAGTTCTGTTCATAAACCAGCCGAGCCTCCAGCTAGAAATCATCACTTCAGCCAAGAGGAAGAAGATTCTCGATAAGTAAGACATATGTTTCTTACCTCCTTACAACGTGCCCAATGGGCTTGTTTCCACGGGAGGCCTTCACGTCCACAGGCCCGAGCAGCTTCCCGAGGCATCGTGGGAGGCAGATGGTGTAGAGTAGGGGTAGCACCAGAAATAGTGCTGACGTGCTGGCCTCCCTGGTGTAGCCTTGTCTTCCCGAACCTTCTCCACTAATATCTGGCTCCTGTGTTCCTGTGTCCAGGTACGGGGACATGCGTGTGATGATGGCTTATGAACTGTTCAGCATGTGGCAGAATTTGGGTAGGTCTTCTCTCCTTATTTGTCCCTTCCGCATCTTGCATAGCCAGATAAAAAGTGACAAGACTAGTAACTTCCCCGGGTTTGATGAAAATTAATTTAGACCCAAGAAATCTTCCCGTGTTTTTCACATAGCACTTCAGATGGGTGGTTAGCGCCTGGGCACCAAGCCCTGGCAGGAGAGGGGCTGAGAACTAAGACCCCAGCAATGCACATTCAGTCCCCTTTGTGAGAGCCAGCCGTCACAGGGGGGGAAAGAGGATGAGGGCCCAGTCGTACTTTCCAGTTTGAGCGCCTGCCTGTGAGGCCGCCTGCTCTTCCTGCCATCTGGGTGCTGCAGGCTCCGAAGCCTCGGAGGTGCTCAGCAGCACATGGTGAGGGCAGCTATGCATTTCAGTGAAGTCAAGCCCTACTGGGTTCCTGAAGTTCAGGCAAGCAGCTCACATTCCTGTCACCACCGCGTGAAGGCTGGATGAGGCAGGGCATTTCAGCCCGTAGGTGAGACTTAGCTTCCTTTCTCCTGGTGACCTCTGTACAGCTTCTCTGATATCCACCGCTCTGGGTCTGAATGGGTTAGCACATCGGGTGGCTCTCCTTTGGTACTGCAGGCTTTGTATCCTGTCAGAGCGCTGGGGAGCGCTGCTGCTCTTCCTAGTAAAGTCTGTTTGCAGCTGAGCGCTTGGTTCTGAAGCCTTAGGAGTGAGGGCCATAAAGTCTCATGGTCCTTCATTAACCATCCCGGTCTCTAACACAAGAGGAGCAGGCGGAGTGTGAGCCCTTCCTGAGGCAAGCACGGGGCCTCCCCCGGTGGGGGGGAGGGCAGGTTCTCCCCATCAGGCTTCCCAGTGCAGGCCTCTCACTTCTGCATCGAGCACAGGGGGCAGACCCCGACACGCCCAGGAACACGGTGGACTAGCAACTGCACCAACACCAAGGTCAGAATATGCAAAGTCAGCCTCAGGCTAACATTGGAGCCTCAAATAAGCTTTTTAAATAGAAGAGATTTAAAAGACGTCACATTTTCCTAATGAAGCCAATCCTTTCTCATTGTTTTGGATGGAAATGGCACTTTCTGGTCCTTGAGAATGACTTGACTTTGCTGTCACTGTGGTTGGTACATGGCCCGCGGTTTGTCCCTCCTCCTTCCTGTCTGAAGGACGGGCAGCGGGGCTCTGGCACTGGGCGCACACAGGGTAGCCGCCCTGGGCTTCAGACCTCTAGTGGCTGGACCAGGGAGGAGCATCCTTAACACTGAGATGCCCTGGGCTAGAGGTAGGAACCCCGGGGAGCGTGTGTTGCATGTGGATGGGTTTTCTTGCTAAATGACTGTTGTGAGCAGACTCTGCAACGGTCACAGGTTAGACTGAGCTCCTACCCAGGCTAGAGCAGTGAACTCTGCCGCTGACCCCAGAATGGCTTTCAGGTTGTTAGTGGAACTTCCGGTAAATTCTTTGGATGGCAATTTGTGCCCGTCGAGCTTGTTTTCACTGGGCTGGGCCAGTTTTGTCCATGAATGCTGCACAGCCAGGAGAGGGAGAACCTCCAGGAGCTGTGGGAAGAGCCTGCTTGCTCTGATGCTTGCAGGGCCCCCAAAGCATGAGCCCACTTGAGGCGCATCATGGGGAAGCAGAGCAAGTATAAACACGATCTGTTGGGTTTTGTTGCTCAGGTGAACATAAGATCCACTTTATTCCGGGAATGATTGGTCCTTTTCTGGGTGTGACACTGGTCCCGCAGCCAGAAGTACGGAACATCATGATTCCCATCTTCCATGACATGATGGACTGGGAGCAGAGGAAAAACGGCAACTTCAAGCAGGTGAGGTGACACCGGCAGTGTCGGGCTCTCCGTGAGAGGAGTGCTCCCGCCAGGAAGGGCCTTGGGAGGCCGGGCTGAGGGTCCTGTGCGGTGAGTTGTAGCTTGGCCATCTTGAATCCTGTTAAGGGTTTTCTCTTACTTGTTGGCCAGGATGGGTTTGTGGGTTGTCTTCATAAAGGGAGAGGCCAGGAAAGTCAGAGAAAAGGCATGAGTGTCATGTGGAAGGCCCTTTCAGACTAAGGGGAGAAGGACTGGCCCCTGGTTTAATTTAGGAGAGAGCCCTGGGAGGGGATCCCCGAAGTGTGTGGTCAGGCATTGCTAGGACGGGAGCCCTGGCCAGATGGCTTCTCACGGCAGGGGAAGCCCAGAGTTTCAGGCTTCTGCAGAGGCTGGGGCCCGGAGGAGGGAGAGGTGTTCCCCACGCAGGCTTCTTTGGCTCTGAAGTTGTGGGGGGTGGTTAGCACAGCGGGATTGCCCGTGGGGGGTGGCCATCCTTTGGTACTGCAGGCTTTGCTAGCCTGTCAGAGAGCCCGGGGAGTGCGCCTGCTCTTTGGCTTGGACTGTGGGGCTGCGGCTTTCCCTCTGCACAACACTGCCGCCCCGAGGTGGAGAGGTGACCCCGCCTCAGAGCTGTGTCCAGGCAGCAGCACTGGGACCGGCCCAGGACGGTTTCCTGCTTTCCTTCCAGAACCCACCAGGGGTCTGGGACCCGGGGGTTTGGGGAGATGAAAATCAGCTGACCCCCACGGAGCACCTGCCAGGCTGGGCCGGGCTGAGGAAGCGCGCTGGCACCTCCGGCTCACAGGGAGGAGGCCTGGCCCAGGGAGACATTGCTCCAGAATAGGCAGCTGCTGGGTCCCAGGAACATGCTTGTTGCATGAATGGATTCTGAGGCGGTGCTTCGGGAATATTGGTTCTAGTCATGAAAGTGACCCCTCACACCTGAAATGGTCAGTGTTGCCAGTTACAACATGCTGTGGCTGAAGACCTTCGCATTCGACGTGGGGTCCCTGGTTTTTGCTTATACGGTCCCTCAGCACCCGGTTTGAATTCCTCCGTTTCTCCTGGCTTCTTCCTGTTTCGGGGCCGCAGAGGGTGATGCAGGAGCGTCCCCATCCCCGCTCTCGCCAGCTCCTCTGCCCACCATAGAGGTCTGGCACTGAATGCATCTGAGCGCCCCGGAGGCTTATTGAAGTACAGACCACCGCCTCCCGCTGTGTTTCTGATGCAGCTTGGAGCCTGGGCACTTGGATTTCTCACCAGATCTCTGGTGGCCGGTGCTGCTGGCCCAGGGCCGCTTGGGCTCCAGGGAACTGCTCTGCCATGCTGGCTGTTGAATCTGCTGCTCCAGGCCCTCCCCCGCTGCCTGACCAATGAGACGAGACCAGCTTTGAGCCGAGAGGAGACACCTTGGCTTCTCGCCGCTCTTCCGGACTTCACTTCACCCCAGACGAGTCCCTGCTGGCACCTCTTCTGTCCACAGGAGGAAGGGGGTGTACATCAGGCCTCAGGGCCCCCGGCCTCAGCTGGCTGTTCCCGGTGAAGAGTACATTCAAGCGGCTCACCCATCAGGTCGCACAGCACCGTGGGAGGGCCGTCCTGTCCGCCTCCTTTCCTGCTAATGGGATTTCAGAAACTGTAACTGCCATCAACGAATTTCCTAATCAATTATTCTTTCCTTAGTTCATTGCCTCAGGACTCTTTGGCCCTATTGGAGTGAGAAATTTTTCTCTTACAGTTTATTATTGAACGCAGCCGTGCCCTTTCCTGTTCCTATGAAATGTCTATATAAATATTGCCACGATTCCACGTTTTCAAGGATAATGAAGGTTCTAAAGACTTTCTCTCCCGTCACGTCCAGCTCAGCTCTCACCTCAGAGCCACCCAAGGGGCCTGTGAGGCCGCCAAGCGCAGGCCCGCCCTGCACAGCAGTGGCAGCACGACTGCTGCTCGCGGTTGAGGAGTCCAACAGGCAGGGCCCGCCGAGGCCCCGGCACTCAGGTCCTGGGGGGACAGGGAGCCTCTTCCTGAAGGAGCATCTGGGAGGAAATCCCGCCCTCAGCCCAGCCCAGTGGTGTTCAGGGGGCCCAGCCCAGCTCCCTCCCTTCGTCACTGGCTGACCGGAGGATAAAAGTCTGACCAGATGTGCTCTCTACATACTAATTACTTTGAATGAACATTTTTCAAGAAAGAAGAACCTTGACAAAGGCCTTTTTTGGATTCAAAATACGTTTCTCTCCAGAGAGTCCTCGCCTTTTGCCCCTAAACTGGGAACCAGTATCTGGGGATTGAGTTCCAGCTCTTTAAAACCAGTGGAGCGGGGTCCCCCTGGCTGGGGGGGAGGGGGGGACTTTTTTCTCTGGCTGAGATCAGAGTCTGCCTCCCTGGGTTCATTCAGTGCAAAGGCAAAGCAGGAAGGCGTCCCCAGCACCCTCCCTGCCGCCGGGTCCGGTCCAGGTTACCGAGTCTCTGCTTCCCTCTAGGTGGAGTCCGAGCTGATTGACAAGCTGGACAGCATGGTGTCGGAAGGGAAAGGCGACGAGAGCTACCGGGAGCTCTTCGGCCTGCTGTAAGCTGTGCAGCCCCAAGCACCCTGCGTTGGGGGAGGGGTGAAGAGGGCTAATGCAGGGAGGGGGGTGTAACCCCACGCTGGGCAGGCTTCAGAAGGTGGGTGTCAGGAGAGACCTGGGCTCCTGGTGGGAGCAGGGGTCACCTGTTGTTCATAAAAAATGGGGCATCCTGACAGCAGGCTCCCTGAGATCGCCATGGTTGGCAGCAGAGGCGAGGGCCGTTAATGTCTTCCTAGCGTGCACTGATCTAGTTGGGCAAACAGCTCGTGGGGCTTAATGAGGGTTCTGTGCTGGAGGGGTGAAATCCCTGCTTTGTGAGAGTATGCCGGCGGCTTGTGAAACACTGGCATGGATGTTGTGACTTGAGTACATCATACCCCTCTCCAGGCCAGGTGCCCTGCAGAACAGGAGATTGTGCCGATGACGTCAGGGTTCTCCCAGGCCCACCACTCCTGGCTCCTGGCTTGAGTTCATGGCGGCCAAGAGCCCAGAGGACTAAGTCCGCATGGGGGGCCTCTGGGGCCGTGGCCCGCCCAGACAAACAGTGACGTTGGATATTCTACCTTCCTAAAAACATCTTCAGACATCGACAGCTCTCCTTCCTTCCCCTCATTTCCAACTTGAAGATTTTCTTGGTTTTGGTGCCTTAGTGAAGACAACCCTGTAACATGCTTTCCCAGTAATAACACTGCACATGTGCTTAGAACTGGACGCTGCCCAGAATGTGTTGACGTTTCCTGTTTAATCCTCACGACACAGGGTGAGGTGACCTGATGAACGGAGGTGGTGAGACCGCAGAGCCTGGCAGGCGCGCTGGCTGCCCAGCCAGCCGAAGCAGCTCGGGGCGGCCGGCTGCTCTGGTTTAAGGGGAATCTTTCTGTCGGCCACGCCCGCTTTGTTCCTTGGGGAGGCTCGCAGTGAAATGTGACTTTCTCTGAAATTAAATACTTAGGATTTGTGAAAGTGCATCCATCTTTCAGCATTTCTCCCTTAGCTGAAGCTGTTTCTGATTGTGGAATAAGACAAAGAAAGCTCTTCTGAGCCAAGACTGCAAGGAAAGACATAGCACAGAAATAACTCGCAATTAAGTTACCTGACCCAGTAGTGCCTCGCAAACCCTTCCAACCGGGTCTGAGGCTGGACGCCACTGGTGACGGGGGCAGCGTTCCCAGTTTGTGTTGGGGAAGACTGTAGGTATGCTAGAGAAAAGAGTGAGTGGGCCATGGCTGGTTCATTTAGAAAAGTCCCACCTGGACAAAATGAAACAGGCCTCTGTAATTGTAGAATTCCCAAAGCCCTTACTGTGCAGGGACATGTGAGCGTCTGCAAGAGGAGGGTGTGCGCTCAGCACTTCCCTGCTTGTTTGCTCACAGAACACCTCCCTGTCTCCAGGACAGCAGTGCTCCTTTGAGCACAGTTTGGGGGATGCTGACATGGGTGTTATCCACGTGGGCCAGTGGCCAGTGGTCCTGCCTTCCCTTCTAGTCACCTGGGAAACCCTCACTTTCCCAGAAGTCTCCGCTCAGACAGTCATCCTCATAGCAGCATTAATAGCTGCCAGGCTGTGGCTGTGAGTCCCCAGTGGTGTGCCCGTAGCTCGGCCTGCCACTCCAGGTGACTTCTCATGAGCTGAAAGGGCAAGGGACCGAGTGGAAGAGTGGAAAGGCCTGTGGAAGGCAGAGCTCTCGGAAGCCATCCTGAGGTCGCAGGGCCTGGGCCGGCGGTGGAGACTGGGCGTCCTGGCACATTTTGCATGGAGCATCCCCAACGGTAGAGGTGGCTGATGTAGCTCCGGGGCCCGAGCTGGGCCCTCGCGCCTGGCGGGAATCTTTCACTTTGCGTGAAAGGTTGACTTATGTTTGCTGAAGATGGTGCTGAGCAGTGATGGAGGCTGTCAGCCATTTAGCCAGGCCAGGCCCAGTCTCAGTGGACTCTCACTCAGGTGCTGCTCCAGAGCAGACCACACAGCAGACACTGGGCGGGGCGGGGCTTTGACACCCCTCCTCGGTGCAGGGGCATTCTTGGGATCTCGTACCGGAAAATGGAAAAGGTGTTTATTCGCTGTTGCCGGTTCAGTAATTGCCTTGTCCTTGCTTTGTGCTGCGTGGAGTAGAACCCAGCTGTTTGGGCCCTACCCCAGGTAAGGCTGTGGTGTGGTGAGTGCTGTCTCCAGATCTGCCAGGGCCCTGGCCTCTGGCTCTCACTCTGGTGCCAGCGAAGCTCATGAATTGCATGTTGTGTTTGTTTCCCTCACTCGCCCGCGCAGCCTGCTGGAGAAGATTGAGCAAGAAACATGGCGGGAGACCGGCATTTCCTTTGTGACCTCCGTCACTCGCCTCATGGAGCGCCTTCTGGACTACAGGTACCTGCTCAGGCCTTCCGGCCGCAGGATACTCTAGCGAGGGCATCCTTGGCCTTAAAGCTGAGACCAGTGCCCCCAGGGGGAGGACTGGGTTGGTGTTGCGTGCCATCACCAGTTATTAAGAATCGACTAATAGAGGAGGGAGGGCTGCTTCCTGGGACCCCTCCTGATATGTGGGCACATGTTCCCAGGAAACACCCAGGACATGCAGCCATCTGGCTGTCCTTCCGAGGAGTGGGCTCGGCAGGAGGGAGAGGAAAGCAAGGCGGGGACGAGCTATGGGTGCTTGGTGTGGCCTTTCTCGGCCCTGTGGCAGGTGGGCAGGGAGTGTTGCCTGGGACAGAAGTGTGACCCAGAAGGACTTGCGGTTGGCGTGTCCATGGTCCAGGGACCTCACTTTCCCATGCCTGCCTCTTCTGCCTGAGGTCTGTTCGTGTCTGTCTTTTGGCGCTGGCCGTGAGCAGATAGTGGCAGCAGACCATGCCTGAGTGCAGGGTCTTTCCGTTCTGTTCAGTCTGGGAGTTCATGTGAAAATGGCTTTGGCATGAACACCCGCCTTCTCTGTCACTTCATGGCTTTTGAATTTGTCTAAAAGTGACAGTGGAGCTACCACGACAGCCATGATTGTCCTCTCAGCAGAGTGCGAGTGCAGAGGCGCGGGGGCCTTTGGGATTCAGAGGGAGATGCAGGAGAGAGGAGGCATCTACAAGACAGGGCGCACCGGGGAGCCTTTCACCCCAGGACCCGGAATGTGCGCGAGGTCAGCCCCCAGTTGCTGCTGCTGCTGATTAGGAGGTGCTGCTGTGCCAAGACTCTTGCTGTGCAGAGGGCTCAGGGTCCAGGGCAGGGCTGGGTGCGGAAATGGAATTCCTGAGGAAAGTGCTCGCATCTTGAGCTTCCTGTAGCGCAGTTGTGCTTGTGTGAACTTCAGGCTCTTGTTCCTGGGCCTCGTGAGGTCACAGGTGGCCTTTGAGGAGCCCCTTGTAGAACAGATGACTTCCTTGCTCACCCCAGAGACTAGGAGGGCCTCGGCTCCTGTACCTGCCGCCGCCCCGGGGGGCAGGGGAGACGGAGCTTCCTGCCGGCTGGCCCTCCCCGCTGTGGCCTCAGAAAGAGCAGCGCTGCTTCTCAGGCTCCAGGCCTCGTCCCGGCTGCTGTGGGACTGCTCCGCCGTCTTGCACAAGCAACTCAAACCCGTGGCCAAACCTGTTCTGTCCCCCCATTTCTGTCTCGGTGGTGTGCCTGCAGCACCCAGCTCCCTCTCCCAGGACACCAGAGGCTCTTCATAAACAGGGCTTTGCCCCCATCTCCAGCCCTGTCTCCTGCCATCCCCACTCCCCACGCCCACAGCCCAGCCTCCCCGTGTGGTTCCTTGTCTGCACCCCATCGCGAAGCTTCCCAGGAGCTTAGCCGCTGTCTCCGCACACCTCTTCCGGAGCATGCGTCCCCGGGATGATGACCTGTGTCAGCTTTCTAACTCACCCAGCAGAAGAGAACCAGCTCCTTGAGGACAGGAACCTGGTCCTTGGCTCCTGGATCCCGTATGGAGTGTGGAGAGTCCCTGGCAGGGGCCTAGCACAGGTTATCAATGGGATAAACTTACTGGAAGGTTAAACAGAAACCAGAAGTCTCTTCTAGCCCAGTGCATTTAATGCAACAAGAACTTACTAAGAGAATAGGTGTTAGAGCTAAATATATGCATATACATGTATATATTTACAAACAGGCACCAGGCTGTACTCCAGAATGCCTTGAACCTACAGTGTGAGCGCTTCATACCGGCCTGAAGCGTGGGTACTCAGAGAAGCACCTCTTCACCTCCGGGTTCATGTCTTCAACTTTTGCACGAACCCCAGACATTTGTGTTGGATATAAAAATGCTCATTGGTAGCAACTGTGCTTCCCAGTTCAGGAAGCAGAGCCCTAGAAGGACTCTCTTGGTCTCTGGAACAGACAGGACAGAGGCAGAGTTGCCGGGCCCTTGGGCTCATCAGAGCCTCCACCTGGAAGCGGCAGCTGGAGGCCATGGAGCCTCCTTTGCCAGCTCTTGCCGTCACACGGGCCGCCCAGCCCCTGGGGCAGGCCCAGGCAGCCACTGCTCACAGCCACAGCAGAGGCTCACAGCTCTTAGAAAAGAGTCTTCCTGCTCATCTTTCGGGGACGCATCAGGAAAGCAGTTCCGGTTGGAGAGCACTCCAGGACTGCAGCTCTGCGTGTTGTCCCAGCGGCCCCCTCCTCACGCCAGGGGGCTCACCTGCGCTCTCCTTCCAGGGACTGCATGAAAGGCGAGGAGACGGAGAACAAGAAGGTCGGCTGCACGGTTAACCTGATGGTGAGAGGACGCGCCTTCCTCCGTCTGCTGGTGGGGTCCGGCCTCCAGCAGCTGGCTGTCAGCCACGAGTGTTGTCCACGCCTCCCATTCAGGCCTCTCGTCAGTCCTGTTCCCACGGGGCAAGGAATGACATGACCTGCTCTTTGGACAGGGCTCTAGCCTTGGGGTCCCCCTGCCCTGACACCCTAGCTCCCAGCCTGCCCTGACCCAGTCTGCACTGGCCCTCCTCTTTCTACTCAGACTCCCGAAGACCTGCCAGTGGCTCCACCCCGAGCTGGTGTGCCCTCCGTGGGTGCTGTCCTTTTCTGGTTGGTGCCCCCACAGCTGCTGCACTGCTGCCCGCACACCAGGGCTGGCCAGCTGCCTGGAGTCAGGGATGCCCCCCCCCATGGCAGCCTCGCCATCTGTGCGTATTTCCTTCCCTCCTACAGAACTTCTACAAATCGGAGATTAACAAAGAAGAGATGTATATCCGCTACATCCATAAGCTCTGTGACATGCATTTGCAGGCGGAGAACTACACAGGTGAGCGGGAGAGGGAAGCGGGGAGGACTGTTGGGACAGATAAGCACAGCTGGCAGCCATGGCGCTGTCTGCCAGACCTTAGCCAAGTGCTGGGCCTTGCTGCCCCTCACCTCACTCCTTTCCCTCAGCCCCTTGGTAACATGGTGGAGAAAGCAGGCGGAACTCCATCTGTGCCTCTTGCCATGTCCTCTGCCTGAGGCTGCTGTTCCAGTTTTCATGTCTCCTACCCCCCCCCCCCGTACCCCCTTCTGAGGCCTCCTGGGTGGCTTCCGGGTTCTGCTGCTCCAGGTGAGAGCCTCCTGAGCCCCGCCACTCCTCATGCAGAGCCTTTCTAAGCACCTGCACCGCGGGAATCGGTGCGGCCATGACACCAGCACTGCCTGCCCTGGGCCTCCAGACCACACAGCGAGGAGCTCCCGGGGTTGGGAGAGGGCTTCCTGACAGCCCTTCCGCTGCACCCACATTTCACCATGACAGGCCTCCCCCGGGACACGTTGGAAGCATTGGCTGTGCCTGTACACTGTTCACTGAGCCCCGCTCTGCGTCAGGAGTCCGCCTTCACCTTGGCCATAGTCCCCCACAGTCCCTTCCTCACTGTGACCGGCTGCCATATCTCAGCCTGTGCCACAGGGCTTATGTGTGTGTGCTGGACAGGAAATCTGAGCTATCACCCACAATCATGGATAAAATTCGATGGACTTACGGACACAGAATCCTTTTTCCTTGTCTCTCGATGTTAGTGTTGGGCACAGAGCCACCTGTTTGGACTGCACAGCCTGGCAGGAATTAAATGATGACGGGACTGACTCCCCTTTTTTGCGCCCACTTCCACCCGTGACCCCAGCACCCCTCCATGAGGGCAGCAAAGTGATAGCTGATCGCTTCCACGTATCACTAGTGGCTCAGGAATGACATCCGAGGAGAACGTGTTGTTTCCTAAGCTTCAGAGGCGGGACTTGAGTCCCAGGGGCTTGTCTCGGAGAGAAAGGGTTCCCCCATCCAGGAGGAGGCCTGTGCCTCCGGGGCAGACAGGTCCTGTGGCCGGAGGGCAAGGGTGAGGAGCCCGGAGGGTCTGCAAGCGAGTGGGCCTGGCCAAAACGGGAAGTGGTCACAAAATCATCAGAACAGGTGCTTCTCAGTCATGAGGAACAGGCCTGAGTGGGACCCGAAGGCCAGGCAGAAGCCAGAACTAGCTCACTGCCAGAAGGAGAGGAGCATGAAGATGAGCAAGTGGAGCGGGAAAGAGCCGATGGTGCAGTGAGGAGCCCGGCAGCGCTGTGGCCAGTCCGTGGCATTTAGGGGCCAGGGTCTTGAGCAGCGTTCTACGTGGCCTCTACCTGGACCCATGCCGGCGCGGCGTCACGGGGCTCTGCCCTGGGTCCAGATCAGCACCCTGTTCCTCTGGGATGGAGCCTCCGGCTCCAGGCCACCACACCTTTACCACCACTGCACTTCCTCCCTCTGTCCTTTAGAGACGGAGCAGTGAGGAGAAGGCCAGAAAGGGGAGGTGGAGGCGAGGCCGGCTCAGGGAGGGCAGAGCGGCCTGGTCAGTGCTCACTCCTAGAGCCGGTGCTGATGAGGTTGGAAAGGAAGCTCTAGTCACCTGAGCTGAAAAGAAGAAAACACCGGGAGGCTCTCACATGCCATGTCTCCCTGAGCAAGGCACGTGCCCCGCTCCCCGCCGCGGGCCAGCCCAGACAGTGCCGGCCGGGGCCATGGGGAGAGTGTCCCCCAGGCCTCCGGCCCCTCCTGCTGCGGTTATCCGATGGCTGGGCAGCTCCTGTCTCCCCTTTGGCACCCGGGCCCTGACCTGGGCGCACAGGCCTTGCCTGCAGTCTGCCTGTCCTTGACCTCCACATTGCCCCCCACAGAGGCCGCGTTCACTCTGCTCCTGTACTGCGAGCTGCTGCAGTGGGAGGAGCGGCCCCTGCGGGAGTTCCTCCACTACCCTTCCCAGTCCGCGTGGCAGCGCAAGGAGGGGCTGTGCCGGAAGATCGTCCACTACTTCAGCAAGGGCAAGGTGGGCCGCGGGGCCTGTCCGGGGGCGAGGGGAGGAGGCGGGGGGAGGCGGTGGATGCCCAGGGGTGCACCAGATTTGCAGGCGGCATGGTTTTCTCTTGGGTGGCGGGCGAGGGGGTGAAAAGTCGCTGATTCTGTAGCGTGGAAGCCAGTTCCGGGTTGGGGAATGAGAGACAACTCCACACACCAGCTTTCCCCATCAGTGCTGAAGCGCCTACACAGGCTCCTGGTCTCCACTTCTGTTCACTGCCCATGGCTTCCTCATCCGCCATGAAACGGGCTGTGAAAGGAGAGGGTCTGAGCTCCAGCGGTGTGCCCCTGGAAGGCTGGGATATGGGGGTGCGAAGGCCTTCAAGCTCCCGGAGGCCGGAGGTGTTGTATTGGGGCAGGGAGTCAAAGTCTATTTAAATTTATCTTTCTTGCCCTGGCTGGTTTGGCTCAGTGAATAGAGCTTTGATCTGTGGACTAGAGTCCCAGGTTCAATTCCAGTCAAGGGCACATACCCAGGTTTTGGACTCGATCCCCAGTGGGGAGTGTGCAGGAGGCAGCTAATCCAGGATTCTCTCTCCTCGTTGATGCTTCTCTCTCTCCCTCTCCCTCCTCTCTGAAAATAATAAAAAATATATATTTTTTTAAATAATAAATAAAATAAAATTCTTTTTTCTGATCTTTTTCATTGGACCTGCAGTTTTGATCCATATGGCATTAATCATTTCGAAGGCTAGAAATAATACTTTCTTTTTGAGAAACACAGACCCAAATGAGCTATAATTGTCTTTCTCCCTGCGGGTGGGCAGGAGGCAGGCAATCAATGATCCTCTCTCATTGATGTTTCTATCTCCCTCTCCCTTCCTCCCAAATCAATAAAAATATAATTTTTAAAAAATTTAATAAAAAGAAGATAAAGTAAACAGACAGGGTCCCTGCCCCTTTGCAGTCCATCCTCTAACTGAGACTCACACACAGGAATGTAATGGTGTCTGTATAAGACAGCTTCGTAAGGACAGGGACCGAGTGCCTGCCCTGCCAGGCGGCCTGGGAGCGGCCTCGGGGAGGAGGAGGCCTTCCCGGAGAAGCCGGAAAGCCGCGCCCGCCCGCGCTGCAGAGCCTCAGTCCTGGGTGCTGGGCGCTCAGAGGGCTTTTGAGCAGATGGTCTGTGTGGCATGAAGTACAGAGGTTTTGGTTGTGCCCTCCGCTGTGGGGGTGCGGGCCCTTCCGAGGACGCTGAGGAGCTGAAGCTGTTCCTTTTCTGACGCAGAGCTGGGAGTTCGGCATCCCGCTGTGCAGGGAGCTGGCGTGTCAGTATGAGAGCCTCTATGACTATCAGAGCCTCAGCTGGATCCGGGTGAGCTTGCCCTTCCCCACCTCAGCCCCGGCTCTCCCGGCCGCGGTTTCAGGGAGCGGTCACGGCAGACCCAGGCCCTGCCTAATGCTGCTGGGCATTACAGGGGAGCAGAGACCAGGCTTCGGCCTTCGAGACCCTTGCCATTGGGCTGGGGAACAGCACGCATATTGGTCAGTGACTCAGGAAGTGAGCGGCACATCTCGCTGGAGCAGCTTCCAGGAGGCGATGCGGCCGCCCTCAGAAGCAGGGCTTCCTGAAATAGTTTGCTCAGGAATGCTTTATCCGAAAACATGTGGCCATTCCCTGCTGTGGCTTGTGGTCCCTTTTGCTGAGGCTCAGGACCTCATTCTCTCTCCCTTCTTTGAAGCAGAGTATTTAAAACAGGTGAAATACCCAGGGGCTCTGAAGGCCTCCACGTTTTCCTGCCCCGGTGCTGGGGTCGGAGTGCTGGCTTTCAGTTAGAATCCAGGGAGTTTTTCTGAATGTAAAGCCAGGTCAGCAAAACTAATACTTACTAGCCTGGGAAATGCTAGGCATCATGGGTGGCAGCTCAGCTTTTAAAGTGGAAAGTCTCTTAAATTGGAACCGTGACGCCGACAGTTGAGTTTCCTTAGCCTCGTTAGCCCACGATAGATGATCAGAGCCATGCAGCTGGGCTGATGCAAAATGGCGCTGAGAACTGCCGTGAGCCACTGTGAGCAGCGCTCGCCCAGGGTCTGCGCCGTTTCTTTCAAGACCAGAAATCGGGGGAGGGCGGTGTTGCTGCACATGCTTCATGTGTGAGTGGGTGCCCTCAACGTGCAAGAAGCCTGGGTCTCTGTGGAACTGGGTCCACCCACTGGGAAGGACACGCAGAACGGCCTCCCCCCATCAGATGACAGTGGAAGAGGAGGGGCTTCCTGGGGAGAGGCCCAGCATGGGTCTCATCTAGACCGCTGTGGGTTCTCCTGACGAGAGACCGTATCCAGTGGGCCTGGGAGGACTTGCTCGGGACTAGCAGTGGAGCCAGCCTGAAGGCTGCTTCTCATCCACAGAAGATGGAAGCCAGCTACTACGACAGCATCATGGAGCAGCAGCGCCTGGAGCCCGAGTTCTTCCGCGTCGGCTTCTACGGCAGGAAGTTCCCCTTCTTCCTCCGGGTGAGTCCCTCAGCGGTCCCGGGGCCACCCCACTCCGCAGGCTCCTGGACAGCCTGCCCTGCCCTGTTTGTGTCCTCACCTTGCTCCCTGGTCTCCTGAGTCCTCCTTTGGAAGGGCTGGCCAGCCAACAGAAGGCACTTGGCTTTCCTGCCTGCACTGCCGGCTGCTCTAGACCCTGTTTGCTCTCTGCTATTGATGTCTCCTGAGCAGGTTCCCGCAGGAAGGGACCGGGGTCTGAGCCTGTCACGTGGGCATGTTTAGAAGCCTCCCCCGCCCGCTCTGAGTGCCTGGCCTCCTCCATGCGCCCGCCTCAGCTGGGCAGTGCCCAGGACAGCCCTGGCCTCGCAGTGGGCCGGCCTCAGGGTTCTTCGTGTGAGATGATGGTTCTTTGCCCTGTGGCACGTAGGCTGTGCAGCCAGCATGGAGAGCTGTGGGTCTGAGACAACGCGAGGCCAGCCCCTGCTCGGGGCTGTGGGAAGCCCTTTAGGCAGCTGTTTCTCTGCCCAGGTGAAGACAAACATGTCCCTCCCCCATTGCCTGGAAGGCTGGGCTGGAGCATGAACATGGAGGGATGACGGGGCATAGCCGTACTGACCCCAGCTGAGCAGTTGTGATTTTCTCCGTTATTCAGCACAACCCGGAGGCTCCCGGAGGAGTCAGCTGCGGGCTGTGGCCGTAGGATTTGTCAGTCTCAGACGCTCTCAATGAAGTGTGCTGTGGGCGGGCCTGGGGCTGCAATTGAGACCTAAGGCAGCTCCAATGGCCCCAGTTCCAGCGCTTACTGAGGGTCAGTGTCCACGCGTCTCAGCACGCAGACGGGAAGGTTCAGAGACTCTCCTCGATATGGTTGGGATGCTGTCTCCTTGGAGACATCACTTGAGCCAGTGAGCCATGAGCTTGGTATCACATCAAAGGCCAACTGTGCTCATGCTCCTTTTAAAAAGCCGGTCTGCTAGTCAGAGTCCAGGCCCGCCCGGGCTCAGATGGAAGGCAGGGCAGCTCGCACATCTCCAGGGTGAAAAGAAAAGGATTTCTGTAAGAACTGATAATACTGACCGGGCGCCCGCGCACACTGCTGAGTGTGATCCCAGGAAGGCTGCAGTTCCAGCCACAGCTGTGACCCAGGCAGCACAATGCGAGTGAGCCAGGCCCTCTCGGGGGCTGGGCCTCCTTCACACTCTAGGGACCTCCCAGCCCAGGTGCTTCAGAAGCTGCGCATTCGTTGCCCCTTCAGCATAGATTGCTCTACAGCAGGAGGCAGAGGTCAGCAGAGGAGGAGGATTTCCCCAGGAATTAGAAGCCAAAAGCTCCCTAGAAAGTCCTTGGACAAATGAATGATCCTGGCACTGTAACTTCTTTCTCATGTCACCTTTGCAAATTGTGCTTTATTGTCATTTTAATCTCCTTTTCAGTCCCACTATTTGCATATGATAAACCAAATTTTACTCCAAAGCATCATCAGGTTGGATATAGGTTACAGAATCACGCCCTGGTGTCCCCATTTCTGTTCCTGCCAACCAGGAGGTGTCATCATGGTTGGACCTGCCTCCCAGCCCTCACGCTCATGTCACAGGGCACAGAGGGGTCTCGGGGCTCAGAGCATTCTCCAGCCCCTCAGAGCAATCTGCGAGTGGAACCTGGCTCAGATCCTGCACCTGAGCCACCAGGCGCTGCTGCTGTGCCGTCCAGGTGTGGTTTCAGGGGCCAGGAATGGCAGAAGAACGGTGTCCATCTGTCCCCATGTGCGCGTGAGGTGCAGTCCCTAGGAACGGTGACTCATGCCTACACACGGCCCGGTCTGGCCACGGGCTGCGCTCCTTCCCTTCCCTCTGCTGCCAGTTCATCTGTGGCAAGTGGGGGAAGTCCCAGAGAAGGTGGCTGTTTGCTGGTGGGTGGCAGGACAAAGGGTAGGGCCTTGGCAGCCGCTCTGTCTCGTGTCGGGTCCTGGGGCTCTCGCCTGAGAAATGAAACTGGCAGAAATGAAATCTCAAGGTCAACACTGTGTGCCTTCCTGCTGCTGGGTTTTCCCTGGACACATAGGCCATCAATGACGTTGGCTTTGTCAGCGTGGCTTCTCCAATGACGTTGGCTTTGTCAGCGTTGCCCTTCCATTTGGAGCCATCAGACATGTGGCCTCACCTGAGCTGGCTTCTACAGAAAGAGGAGGGGTGTAGCGTGGCTTTGTCATCTGCTGCCTCCTTTCACCGGTGAGGTCTGAGCCGGCTCAGCAGGAAGACCCGCCCCCTGCTCAGGGGAGTTCTTTCCATTTGACCATGAGCAGATCCTGGGGAGGTGGGACACTGGGAGAGGGTATGAGAAGGCCGGTTCTTCCTCATTCCCTTTTTGGTCTGTTCTACTTATCAGGCAAGCGGCTTGGCAGTGTCTCTGTTCTTTGACCGCTGGTCTGTTCCACTGAAGAGGCCAGCCGGCTTCTTGTGATCTTGACTTCCGTCCTGGGGTTGCCCTTCCATTTGGAGCCATCAGACATGTGGCCTCACCTGAGCTGGCTTCTACAGAAAGAGGAGGGGTGCAAGTCCTCCTCCAGCCAGGCTGAGGTCCTCCACAGCCTGGCCTGCGGCCTCCCCGTCCGCAAAGTGTCTGCCGGCCTGTGGAACCGCTTCCTGTCTGTCCCCCGAGACAGGCCAGGAGGGCTGCCTGCCTCACGCCTCTTTGTCGGAGTGGGTCTGGCCGCAGCTGGACAGGCAGAGCGTGTGGCCCACAGGCTTCAGGGGACCTCCCCCAGCTGGGGGCAGGCAGAGCAGAGGGCTGAGGGTGCCTGTGACTTCAGTCTAGCAAGGGGCAGAAATGAGACCTCACCTAAACCCAATATGATAGAACACAGAAATGCGGGCTTAGCGTGATACCAGTTTGTTCCGCTGCGGCATTGGCAAAGGAATCACTGCAATAAACAGTCCTGAATCCCTGCCAGCCACTGGGCAGAGGTTTCTCCCGGCTGACACAGTGGCCCCTCAGACACACCCAGGCCTCCCCAGTTACCCCGCCAGTTCTCCTCGCCACCTTCCTCCAGCTGTACCTCTGCCCGCCCAGCTGGCGCTGTACCCACATAGATTGCCCCTCCCCGCTCTTCTCCCGCAGGCTGACCCAACTGGGCCTTTAGGACGCTTTTCAGAATGCCACCCCACCTGGCACCCCTTCCCAGGTGCCATCCATCCTCCCACTGCCACCTCCCAGAGCAGTTTTCCTTCCTCTTGACCATCCTCCCCTGTGGGTGGATGAGCGCTGTGCCCGGGCCTGCCTGGGCTCACTGGCCTTGCTTGGGAGGCCCGTGGGGAGGCAGGGCCGCAGGCCGGGCACAGAGTGTGCTCTCTCTCTGGACAGAATAAAGAATACGTGTGCCGTGGCCATGACTACGAGAGGCTGGAGGCCTTCCAGCAAAGGATGCTCAGCGAGTTCCCGCAGGCCGTCGCCATGCAGCACCCCAACCACCCGGACGACACCATCCTGCAGTGTGACGCCCAGTGTATCTTTCCACGCAGCGAGGGAAGGGGGCGGGGCCCCGCAAGGGGAGGCCCACGGTCAGCTGCCCCTCGGCCATGCCGTTGGCCTTGGAGACTAGGCTATTCATAGGTCCTGAACCAGAGCATGCCCTCCTCACCAAGCCCATAGTTAGTGAGGCGCTCGTGCCTCCCAGAGGAGGCCCTGGCATGCCCTTAGCCGTGGGGGCTCCTTAGACATCAGAGCTCAGAAGGACCTCTGTCCCTCTGGCTGGCTGCTACCCACCCTCACCCTGCTCTCTGAGGCCTTCCTAGGTAATCAGGAGCAATCACTGTCCAGGGTGACTGGGGGGCCCACAGGGACACCACCAGGTCTGCCCTGCTCTGCTCCCGCCTGCACCTGTGACTCTCCTGAGTATCTGTCAGCAATGAGGCAGGGCTTAGGGATGGGCGCGGGGAATGGGCAGGAGATGGCAACGGCTGTGGTCTGGGTGCAAGTCAGGAGGCAAACACTGGCCCTTGGGCCTCACACAGCTGCCTTGGAGCCCTCACGACAGTGGGCAGCTTGTTCGGGGGCGGAGGGGCAGGTGGATGCCCAGAGGTTCTCTGCTGCAAAGAATATTTTGTTATAAGGTTATTTTGCAATAAATAGTCACAGTGGGCAGGCCCGGCCCCGGCAACTCACTCCTGGGGACACCTGCATTCCCCTGGCCCTTCCCCTCCAGATTAAAGGGGCACCGAGCACTTGGCATTGACAGCTCAGCTGGCTGAGTGCTCAGGAGACATGTGGGCTCAGGGAAGGGCCCAGGTCAGACGTGGTCTGACCCACCGTGGGCTGTCACTCCTCCCTTAGGACAGAGGCCGTGTGACGTGGGCCAGCCACTCGGGTTCACCTCTGGCAAATCTGGGTTCCTTCACTGCCTGCTCAGACTTGCAGATCTACGCGGTGACGCCCATCCCGGACTGCACGGACGTCCTGCAGATGGACAGGGTCCCGGATCGCGTCAAGAGCTTCTACCGCGTCAATAACGTGAAGAAGTTCCGGTATGACAGGCCTTTCCACAAAGGCCCCAAGGACAAGGAGAACGAGTTCAAGGTGATCAGACTGGACAGCGGGGCAGCGCTCAGGGACAGGGCAGGCTCCGCCTTCTCGGGACCTTGTCACTGAGTCATCCTCAGGCAGGCGGGTGGCCATGATGACCTGACGGCCTGTCCCTGCCTGTGCTTTCCCGCAGAGCCTGTGGATCGAGCGCACCACGCTGACCCTGACCCACAGCTTGCCTGGCATCTCCCGGTGGTTCGAGGTGGAGAGGCGGGAACTGGTGAGCCGTGCGGCAGTGGGGCGGGGGGAACAGGAGGGGGGCTGTCGCACCGTCTCTCAGGCCTCCACCACGAGGCAGCGCCCTTGCAGCCTCCCGTTCACAGGGAGGAAGTGCCCTCCCCGCTCTGACCTCAGCCGGCACCCTCCCCCTTCGCAGTGCCACGGCCCCGGGGGGCCGCCCGCGGGAACAGGCGGGGCGCGGCTCCGGGTCTGTGCTGAGGGAGGGCTGCAGGGCCTGTGACCGCACCGTGTGCGTTGCCAGGTGGAGGTGAGCCCGCTGGAGAACGCCCTGCAGGTGGTGGAGAACAAGAACCAGGAGCTGCGGGCCCTGATCGGCCAGTACCAGCACAAGCAGGTGCACGGCAACGTCAACCTGCTCAGCATGTGCCTCAACGGCGTCATCGATGCTGCGGTCAACGGAGGCATCGCGCGCTACCAGGAGGTGAGCAGGGGCGCCAGCCCACCCCAGGCCCGCCTCCCGTCACCCTCTCTTCGGCCTCAGCTCACTAAGGGTGCTGGGTGAGGCCTTAGGCACCCCTCCCTGCTGCGGAGGCACAGCTCTGGGGGGACCCTTCCTTTTACTCCCTGAACTCGGCCAAATTAGGACCCCTTCTGTGAAGGGAGACATGGTTAGTGGCCCCAGAGGAGTGCTAAGCCCAGCCCTTCCCAAGGAGTGCGTTGGGGACTGGCTAAGACCCTAACCCCTCACTCCACCCTGGCCACCAGCCCGCCTGCCCTACCAGGGCCTCCGGCCCCGAAGGACAGGACGAGTGTCCAGGCTTAGGTGACTTGGCCGCCATCAGGCCCTAGACACAACGGGCACCTGTGATTGCGGGAGGGTCAAGCGGTCCACCGGAGGCGAAATGGGGTGCGTCCCTGTGAGGGGCAGCCCACCCCTTTCAGGTGGCCCTTCAGGCTGAAACGCCTGGGCCCCTCCGAGCGGCAGTCCGGAGCGTCTGCCTGACGGGCTTCCTCTCTCAGGCCTTCTTCGACAAGGATTACATCGCCAAGCACCCCGGGGACGCCGACAGGATCGCCCAGCTCAAGGAGCTCATGCAGGAGCAGGTGGGCTCGCAGGGCGGGCCGGCCGGCAGGGAAGGCCCAGTGCCCGGAGGCTGCTCCCTGCTAAAGGCAGCGCCTGCCCTCACAGGTCCACATCCTCGGAGCGGGGCTGGCAGTTCACGAGAAGTCCGTGCACCCGGAAATGCGGCCTCTGCACAAGAAGCTGATCGACCAGTTCCAGATGATGCGGGCCAGCCTCTACCACGTGAGCGCTGCCTGCCGCCTGCTGCCCCTGCTACTGCGTCCCGGGCGACACTCCCTGCACACCGGGAGCAAGCGAAGGGAAAGGGGGGCGCTGGCATTCTGTGCAGGGAGGAAGGCCGAGCCCCTCATTCACTCCCTCCCTAAGGAGGCGGCAGGTTTTCAAGGGCAGAGAACCTTTTCCCAAGGTACTGCGGCCTGAACAGAGGCTTCCACACGCGAGGGAAAGGGCCAGAGTGCACGTAGAGGTCTCTTCGGAGGTATTTTCCATCCCAAGAACCTAAAGCTGTAAGGCACAGCCTCAGCCAGCCCACATTCCCATCTCCTTTTATAATACATCCCTACCCTGGGCCGCTCCGCCCGCTCAGCCTTAGGAACTGACGTGTGTTCCATCTCTCACCAGGAGTTTCCGGGTCTGGACAAGCTCAGTCCTGCGTGCTCAGGCAGCAGCACCCCCCGGGGCAGTGTCCTAGCCTCCCACAGCCCCGTGAGCCCCGAGAACCTCAAGATGACCCACCGGCACAGGTAGGCCGTAGGGCTGGGAGCGGCCCTCCACAGAGGTCAGTCTCAGTGTCTAAGGTCAGAGAGGGAAGTCCGAAATAGCGCCTATGAGCTCAAGCGCATGCCCTCCGACCCAGGTACACAGAGCCATGCTCTGCATCGTCATCCTGGGTGACAGAGAACCCGAGGTAGCGTGGGACCCAGAGGAGGGTCACTTGGGGTGAGCCAGCCGTGGAAGATAAATAAAAGATAAATAGAAGATAAATATTAGTTTGAGGGCAGAAAGGAGTTCGGGGGAGGAGGTGAGGGAGCAAGACCCAGGGAGAGTGACCCGCACATTCTCTTGGGTGTGAATGAGCCGTCTAGGTCCGTACTGCAAATGGAGCCAAGTGGCTGCAGCGCAGGGGCCAGGGGGTAGGGGGACCCAGTGCCCTGGTGGCCTGTTCAGTCATCCCTTTGCACTTGGTCCCACGGGAATGAGGACGCCACTCGGTTTCAGGAAGAGAACAGGTGGTTGTGGGATGTCGAGGTGAGGCTGCTCTGAGCTCAGGAAGCCAGGCCAGGGGGGTGGGAGAGCAAGGCAGCCCAGCTGTGCACTCAGCCAGTGAGAGGGGAGGAGGGGCCACCTCGTATTTGGAGGGGGACCGCTGTTGGCAAGCTATGGCCCCCGGCATGAAAGAAATCTCTGAGGTGCTCCCCGCAGCCCTTTCGCTGCCTTGCCCTACCAAGAAGACCCCTGACCAGAGAGCAGATCAGCAGAGGGGGGTACAGCTCAGAGGAACCTCCATAGCTAGGGGACTCAGGCCTGGGGCCAGGCTCAGTGGTCTCTGTCCTTCCCCCTGAGAACCTGCTGCTGTCAGCAGTCTGCGTGGCCACAAGCCAGCCGGTCCCAGGTGGAGCCAGTGCCCGTCAGTATCGGTCCGCCCAGGACAGGCCCTCAGCGCAGCGGGCTCAGGGCTGCCCCAGGCCCTCCGCACCAGCTGGCTGAGGCCGGGATGACATTTACACACCCTTTTCCACGGTCTCCCACCACCAGCAAGGTTCCTCGGCTCCAGATCTGACTGCTTACCTGTGTCCTGTTCTTGTTCACAGCCCCATGAACTTGATGGGTGCCGGGCGCCATTCCTCATCCTCTCTCTCCTCGCACGCGTCCAGTGAAGCGGGAAACGTGGTGATGCTGGGTGACGGCTCCATGGGCGAGGCCCCCGAGGACCTGTACCACCACATGCAGGTACCGGCTGCTCGGGGGCGGGCCCGTGCTCACGCGTGGAGGCCCTCCTCTCTGCTGGGGCGCTGGTCCAGCCTGGCCTCCTGCCTAGTTCTCCAGCTACTGAGTTCACAGCACCCAGGCCTTGTTCCCCAGAAGGGAGTCCAGCTTCAGTCCCAGGGAGGACCCTCTGCCGGACTCCTGCCTGGCATTCGTGATGGCTGAGCCCTGCTTCCCGCAGGGGCACCATCACTAGAATCCACCCCACAGCCCTGCTTCATGAGGGAGTGGGTTATCTTCGTGCCAGCCATCAGCCTGGCCTCCATCAGGGCTAGGGCACAGCATGGCTGAAGAAGCCAAGTCCAGGCCAGTCCCACCAGGTCCGGGCAACTCATGGCCTAAAGAAGCCAAGTCCAGGCCAATCCCACAGTCCTGGCCATTCAGACCTCTGTCCTGTGGTTCTTCCTCTGCAGCTCGTGTCTCCCAACCCCAGGTACCAGGGCTCAGTCACCAACGTGTCTGTTCTGTCCTCGTCCCAGGCAAGCCCTTCTTCCTCCAGCCTGAGCTCCACTCACTCAGCGCCCTCCCAGATGATTGCCTCTGCCCCCTCCAGTGCCCGAGGTAAGGGGGGCAATGCCGCCTGCAGAAGGGGAAGGGCCTCGTGACCCCACTGTCCTCCTCTCACCTGTGGCTTCTGAGAGCATGCGCACTTGTGCTCCCAGCGCTCAGGACGCATGTCTCTAGCTCCTGACTGCTCTTTGGCTGTTGTCAGACCCGCTCCAAGCTTCCCCCAAGCAGCCAGCTCTTGGCACTCCACCTCAGTAGGATGACACGGCCTAGAAGCTCAGTGCTTCCCCCTGAAATGTGTGCCAGAGGGCAGGCCAGAGTTAGGCAGCAGGGCGTTTGAGGGAAGCAGGCGTCATGCACAGCATGGACGTTCAACGTGAGCGCCAAAGTCAACCCTGGGGAACGTTCCTCTGACAGCGTTGGGAACTGTCCGTTGGGAAAGGCTTGATCAGGCAGGTGGCTCTGTAACAAGCTATTTACTTTGCCCAGTTTTGCTTGATTTCTTATTCAAACGGACAAATATTGTTCTGAGAGCTAGTATCTTTTTTACATTCGGATAGTAGTTACTGCAGTGAGGTTTGATTTTTTGTCCTTTTCAATAGCAGTCTTTGCAGTGGAATGAAATCAGCTGTGGCAGCGGAGTGCGAGTGCGCCCGGGTCGGCTGTGCAGGGTGGTAACAGCTGTGCAGTCCGGAGGCCAGCCCAGGAGCGGGGGGCAGGGACGCCGCCTCCTGGGGAGGGGCATGTGTGTGCGGGGTGGTGATCGTTGAGGTCACCATCTCTGGAGACACGCCGTCACGATGGCTGGATTCCCGCTGTCCGTAGAGAACAGCTGTGAAAGCCCTCCCGGTTCTGGCATTAGCAACACCGAGCACAAAAGTGAACCAAGAGGGTTAAATAGATTTGGGCCCAAGTAGGAAATGGTGGTAAGAAAGAGCAGGAAGTTAGTTTTTGGCTCCAACATCCACGTGCTAGCCACCTGGGAGACCGTGCCCGCCCTGACCGGACACAGCATCAGGCCTGTGAGGCACACGGAGGCCAGCCGCCCCGGGGAGGCCTGAGCCGAGGAGCAGGGGCGCCTCGCCCCAGAAGGAGGTGCTCACTCCGTGGGGTTTTGGCTGGTGTCATGGCAAGGAGACGCTTTCCTGGAGAAAGGACTCTGGAGAACCCTGCATGCTGGAGTCACACCCCCACTTCCAGGAGTGGCCATGACAGCAGTGGCCTTCCTCCCGTGGCCCAGCCACACTCGGCTGTGGTCCCCATGGCTTCACTTTCAAGCCGATCGGCTGGCAAGGCACAGCCTAAGCTCTGGTAGGTCGGCAGCTCCCCTGGTGGTCAGAGACGGACTAGGATGCGTGGGCTGCGATGGACCCGCCTTGAGTAACTGCCATGTGGGGTCACCAGACGCCCCTCTATCGTTGTGAAGTCCTGCGACACGGAAGCCCTGTGTCAGCTTAGGAAGAGTTGAAATGTTTTCAGAAAAAGGAGCAGAGCGCAGTGGGCGGGAAGGGAGATGCAGAGCTGGGACAGGTAGTGGTAGCACGGAGCACTCCATTGTCATAGCACCACAGGGGCCTCCAGGGGCAGGGAGTGTGCACGTTTGGAGACCTTCCAAGTTATCCGTTCCCGAGGGAAGACGGCGGTTAATCTCACTGCTCCTGTGCAAGGTCCCTCGAGGACATGGCCTCCCAAGGCGCTGGGCCTCCAGCAATGGGGCCTGGCCTTCGTAACGCCCCTCGGGCCAGAGGAGGTCACACAGAGGCCTCACAGGAGGGAGCATGAGCCCAGTTAACCCAAAGCCTGGGGGAAGCCTCACAACTTCAGACTGACCCCCTGACCCTGTGCACAGGGTGCAGGTCTCAGAGTGAGACTCCCTGAGAGCCACCTGGCTTCGGGCCACAGCACAATGGCCTGGAGGCAGAGCCAGGCCTGGGGCCTGGGATCGGGGAAAGGAGGGAGGAGGCTGGCTGAGCAGGTGAGTGTGTGGAGACAGTGTGTCCAGTAAGCACGTGCCGCTGTGTTGTCCAATGTCTGTCTCTGTGACGGCTCCATTGCAAGCTGGGCCCCTGAGCACCAGCATCCAGGCCACACCCCTCTCCACCAGAGACTGGCCTGGCTTTCCTCGCTCTCCCCACAGCCTGCCTGGGCATCGGGAGGAGGCCTGTCGGGGGGCTGCATCGCCCAGTGCACCCGCCTCCGTGCACCCCCAGCTGCTCCATTCCTCATGCTTGCTGAGCTCCTCACCCACCGCAAGGCTCACCTGCCGGTTCCCGGCCCCAGGGCGCTCCATCTGTGACTCGTCATGTGTGCGTGATTGCTCTCACTTGGTTACAGGCTCTCCCTCTCTGCCAGATAAGTACCGCCACGCCCGGGAAATGCTGCTGCTGCTGCCCACACACCGGGACCGCCCGAGCAGCGCCATGTACCCAGCAGCCATCCTGGAGAATGGACAGGTAGTAGCCCAGCTGCGGCCCACCCTCTGCCACCGTGTGCCCGCCCGGGCTTCGCTCGGCACCCGTGCTAGCTTCCTGCACTGTCCTCCGGGCCTCCTTCCCCACAAGACCTCCGGAGGCTGCTGGGCTCCCGGTGGGGACTGCAGGGACTCTGGGGACCAGCCACCCAGACAGAGTGCAGCATGGGTATGGGTGGGAGGGTGGCCAGGCTGGCATGGCCAGCCTCCTGGACTCATTCCTAAAGTCTGGCAGAGCCCCAAGAGGCTAAACTGGCCAGCACCCGGGGGGAAGGGTCCCGGAATGCTTTCCACCAGTGAGTCTCCCTGCAGGACAGACAGACAGTTAGATAGCCTCCGGTGCTTGTGTCCTTAGCCATGCCCAGGACAGCCTCCCTCACCCTCACCCTCTCCCCCCTCCCCGGCACCCAGGTTCCTGGCACCTCAGGCGTGAGCTGTGCCTCCACTTTGAGTTCCCTGTCTGCTTTTGCAATGTCCTGGCACCTGTGGCCCACACACCGCCCCCAAAGTGTAACTGGTCATTTTCACCCTCTTCTCATGGCTTTCTCTTTCCCCCAGCTGCCAAATTTCCAGCCAGCCCTGTTCCATCAAATGACCGGAGCCTGCAAACCCTGCAGTGACCCCAACCTGTCTGTGGCTGAGAAAGGTATTGCTCCCCTTCCCCAGTTCCCCTCCCCTCCTCACCCCCAGCTCCCACCCCGGTGCCTCCATCCTGAGCATCTGACTCTTGACCCTGAGCACCAACTGGCCTAGGCTGAGCCACATGTCAGCATCCAGGCCTGTCCATCTATCCAGAGCGCTAACCAGTTCCTGGGCTCACTGTTCAACCAGTGTTGATTGATGCTAAAATTCGAATCCTGCCACAGCCGATTTGGCTCAGTATATAGAGCATCAGCCTGCAGACCAAAGGGTCCTGGGTTCAATCCTAGTCAAGGGCATGTACCTTGGTTGCAGGCTCCTCGGCCCCTGGCCCTGGTAGGCAACCAATCAATGTGTTTCTCTCACATCGATATTTCTCTGTCTTTCCCTCTCTCTTTCACTCTCCCTAAAAAAAATTAAAAATTAAAAAAAATCAATGGAAAAATACTCTAAGGTGAAGATTTAACAAAAAAAATAAGATAAAATTTGAGAATCAGAAACGTTCCAAAAAATAAAAAATAAAATTGGAATCCTGTTCATATCTCTCCATCCTCAGTGCCCAGCTCAGAGAGGTCTTCACGACCACCTGCCCTGGGCCACCTCTGTGGACACTCTGCCACATGCAAGCAGGCTCCCACTCCCCAGGCGCCTGCAGAGCAGCCAGCACTCAGCAGGCCTGTGGCCTTGGGCCTGTCAGTGTGGGCCCGCAGGGACCTCCCTTGCTGCTCAGAACAAGTCTGCAGCCAAGCAAGTCCCAGGGGAACGGGGGGACAGGCCAACCAGAGTGGACTTGCCAGACAAAGTCCTGGAAGGGAGGCCCAGGTACCAGCAGGGAGTCCAGTCCCGCAGCCACTCTGGCCACAGTGTCACGCCCTCTCACACGTGCCAGCGCCCCAGCTGTGCGTGCGGCCAGGAGTCCGAGAGCAGAGCTGCTTAGCCAGGAGTTCTGCCTGTGCTCTGCCCCCGCTGATGGGGGATCACCCTGGCCCGGAGCCCCGGCATGGAGACCTGAGGTAGCTCTAACACAGGTTTCTTCCTAAGCCTGCTCAGACTCTGGGGACTCCGTAAGCCTGCCCCCCGCACAGAACCTGGGCCCCATCCGGCCATCTCCCCGGGGGTTCCCCTGCCCTCCTCAGCGAGCCATGTCTGCTGTGCGTACTGTCACTGCTGCTGCCTTGTCTTCAGAGGGGACGTGCCGTGTCCTCCAAGCACAACCAACACTGGCCCACGGGCACGGCAGACTGCTGGGTGCTCAGCCAGAAAGGCCATAAAAACTGCCTGAAGATGCCCTCCTGGCCTCAAGAGTGCACCCTGCGCCCTGCACCCCACGCCAGAGGCCCCAGTGGCCTCCACCACAACCCTCCGCGCTTTTCTTCATTGAGAAGTGGAGCCATCGCAGAGCTGGCGAGAGCACAGGCGGGCTCGGAGATCAAGCGTGCGCCGGCGGCCAGACAAGCACCGGACGCCTGCCGGATGCAGGAGACCCTCCGGCCTGGGAGCGGCTGCGCCGGAAGCCGGCCACACTGCCGCCCGTGTGGAGGAGGAGTGTCCCAGTAAAGAGGCTGAGCCCAGAGCAAGCGTGTCCACACCACAAGGCCAGCAAGTGCCTCGAGGGAACACACAGGTCAAAGTCAAACGTCCCGTGTCTCTACCTGGACCCTCCAGGGCAGGGACTGGATGAATTGTCACCACTCTCGTCACCAGGCTCCCGAGTCCCGGGAGAGCTCCGCGTCTCACCTGCAGATGCCTTTCTTTGCCAGGCAGTGAGTCCCAGACCAGGCAAGCCTGCCCTCGGGGCTGTGCGCTGGGCCACAGTTACAGAGAAAGAAGTGGCCGGGACCCCGGGGGACTCCCCTCTTCTAAGCAGCACCCCACCTTAGGTTCTCCTCCAGCCCCAATGCCCGTGTGCTGCCTGGCAGAGGTGCCCTGGCCTCACTGCTCCCCAGCACAGGCTGCGAGGCCAGCTTGCTGGTCTCTGGTTCACAGGGAGTGGCCCAGGGCCCCCCTAAACCACTGCAGCCTCGCTGCTTTCTCCCCATAGCCTTCCCGAGTGCAAGGGGCCCTGGGGTGAACTTCTGCACCCCCATGCTTCTCTCAGAGCCCAGATGTGCACCTAAGAACTTGGGCTTCAGACCCCTTGGCCCAGACCACCTCCAAGCCACTCACTCCCTGAGGCTCAGCAGCTGTTTGGAGACAGACTCCACTGCTGGGGAGAGCCTCGGTGCTGGGGAGCAGGAAGCTGGCGCTGCGTCATGGGGAGAGCCTGTGAACAGGGCCTGTTTGGCTCCGGTTCTCAGGCCTCCTGGTGGAATCCACCTGATGCCCAGCGGAATCCCATTCTTTCCTCCCCTCCCCCAACAGCTGAGCGCCTGCCCTCCCTCAGGCACCAGCCATACCCATCCCGGGGCTGAGCCACCACCCTGGGATCGAGGCTGTTTAGGCAGTGGATTCTACCCTGACCAGGGAGGAGAGGGTGGGCAGCCCCATTCTCCCTGGATCGCATGGGGCACAGCCCCTCCTCCTGGCCAGGCCTTGAAGGCTGGACTCCAGCTCCTTCCCTTCCATAGCCTTTGGGGCCCCTTGGGCCTGGCCTGCCCATCTGTCCCCGGAGCAGGAAGAACCCACACCCTGGCCTCCTCAGGCTCACTTCCCTCTATGGCCGCCTCGGAGCTAAGCCAGTGAGGAGGCCCTGCTGTGCGCTCCCTCCTGCCTCGGGCCCCGCTCCGTCAAAGGGCAGGTTCATTCTCGTCTTCGTTCTCAGGAGGAGCTGGCTAACGGGATTCCATGTCCCTGCTGCTCCTGCCGCTGCCCTCGAGCCCCCACGTCCCGCCATTCCTCCTCTCCCGTCCCCTCTGGAAAGTCACTCGCCCAGCTGTGGCCGAGGGGCCAGGAGGCTGGCCCTGACCCCTTTCTTAGATGGGCACTGTGTTTCCCTCTGTCCCAGGCCCACATCACCAGCATCCGTGGCAGCAGATGCGGGACTGGGCTGCTCTGCATGCCCCAGAGCACCATGGGCATGCTGGGCGTGACGTGTGCTTTGCACTCTCCCTCCCTTGGGGACAGTGAACGCTGTTTCCTAATCTTGCCTAGAAAACACCTCGTGAATCCCAAGCCCCGCGGGGAGCACAGAAGCCACGGGAAGGGCCAAACTTGTGTTACCACAGGCCCTCTGTGAGGCCCATTGGGGGGCAGTCTGCCTCCCGCCCATCCTGCCCCCTGCTTTCCGGGACTCCTTACCGAGCAGCGCTGGCCGGAGCCTCTCTGGCCTGTATCCTCAGCCCCGTCTGCCCACTCCTCGCCTCTTCTCGCCTCTCTGTTCTCTTTTCCTGGCGAACCCGGAGGCTGCAGGCCCTCCCTGCGCTGCACCTCTCTCAGCTTGCCTCATCCTGGGTGTTCCTCAACGCTTCAGGTCGCTGTTGCCATCTTTGCTGTTCCTGGCCCTGGCCACCCCCTCTCAAGGCCAGTGAATTGCTTGGCCAGTGTTTCTTGCCCCAGGGGCTGGCATGCCCCTCCCACGCGTGCTGGGTACAGTGCCCACCTGGAGAAGCCAGACACTGCAGGTGGGCTTCTCCCGCCCAGCGGCTCAGCCAGTAACTCGCCTTCATGCCATTGTTTCCACCCTCAGCGGTGCCCGCAGCCCCCAGCAGCTGGAGCCTGGATAGCGGAGCCCGGGAGGCCCAGCCCTTCCTGTCTGCCCACATGGGGCGCATCCTCGCGCCCCCAGTGCCTCCCCGAAGCCTGCTGCATGGTAAGACCTCCAGCGGGTCCCCAGGTAGTCCGTGGTCGCCAGCTCTGCTCAGGGGCAAAGGCAGCAGCCCCCCAGGCTGAGAAGACGGGCCGCGCTCTGGGCTGACCCAGCCGAGGAAGAACAGCCCGCCCCAGGAGCCCTGCCGGGCTTGGGGTTGGGCGCAGCCAGTGAGCTCAGTGAGGCCGCCGGCCCAGCGAAGACCAGGACCCTGACTGTCAGCGCCCAGCAGTGGGCGGAGACTGCGCTGCTGGCAGCTGTTCCACGGCTGGCACGCTGGCCTTCTTGACGAGTGTCTGTCGCTCCAGCAGCCTGTGTTCTGGAGAACTTCACCGAGATGTTTCTGTGGCCTTCAGTGCTGAGGGCTCCCCGGATGCTCTTCCCTCGTCTGACCCGTTGGCCCAGTAGATGTGCTGGTGTGCAGCCCGAGAGAGGCCCCAGCTAAGGCTGTGGTTCTGTTCCCTTTGCAGGTCATTACTCCCTACACTTTGACACCTTCCACCACCCCCTGGGTGACACCCCCCCGGCCCTCCCTGCCCGGACCCTGCGCAAGGTAATGTACTGAAGCCACAGCCCCAGCAGCTGTAGGTGTCCACTCATCCGCTCTACCCCGGGGTCTCCCCAACTCCCGGCTCCATGGGCCAGAGCCACACTGGGGATGCAGGTGACCAGTGTGTCCGCAGCCACTGTGATGGGATAGAGGGTTAGAGGGCCTTGTGGTGTCAGCAAACAGTTCAAGAGGTAAAGAAACAGCCCGGGATGGACGGCAGAGCATTTTAAACCAGAGTCCAGTCAAAGCATAACGCACCAGGCACCAAAGCTTTATTAAAAACTCACTAATTTTTCTGCAAATTGGAAGAGACTATCACGGATTTAGCAGCAGAATGCACTCATCTGGTCCATGGCCAACTAGGTTTTTCTGCTGCCCAGCCGGCCTGCCCTAGCCCTTCTGCAAGCACCCAAGAGCCACAGTCAATAGCCCCGCCCCTGGCTTCAGGGGGCACAGATGCCCAGCAGCCAGGGCAGGGCTGTGTTTGGTCACAGAAATGCAGGTGATTCTGGGCTCTGGGGCCGGAGGGAGCAGCGGCTGCTGCTGAAGGTCCTTTTGAAGTTCACTGATAAGCATCTTGGCCTTCTCCATACCGCGGCTGTCAGCCTGTCCGCAGAGAGGAATGCTAACGTGTCCACTTCTCTTTTGCAGTCTCCTCTCCACCCTATCCCGGCCTCGCCCACCAGCCCCCAGTCGGGCCTGGACGGCAGCAACTCCACACTGTCCGGCAGCGCCAGCAGTGGCGTGTCCTCCTTGAGCGAGAGTAACTTTGGGCACCCCTCAGAGGCCCCGCCTCGAACCGACACCATGGACTCCATGCCCAGCCAGGCCTGGCATGCCGACGAAGACCTGGAGCCGCCCTACCTCCCTGTCCACTACAGCCTCTCCGAGTCGGCCGTCCTGGACTCCATGAAGGCCCAGCCGTGCCGCAGCCACTCCGCCCCGGGATGCGTCATCCCTCAGGACCCCATGGACCCGCCCGCGCTGCCACCCAAGCCCTACCACCCCCGCCTGCCGGCCCTGGAGCATGACGAAGGGGTGCTGCTGCGCGAAGAGGCCGACAGGCCGCGGGGCCTGCACCGCAAGGCCTCGCTGCCCCCGGGGAGCGCCAAGGAAGAGCAGGCCCGCCTGGCCTGGGAGCATGGCCGCGGGGAGCAGTGAGGCAGGCAGGCGGCTGGGATGCCGCCCTCAGAGCAGCTCGCCGACCATTCCAGGTCTGAAGCAAGGCCCCCGGGAGCAGAGAGGCCTGGCACTCAGGAGAGAACCACCAAGTCTACGTTCTACTGCCGTGAACGTGTGTGTTGCCATGTGCAGAGGCCACAGCAGCATGAGGGTTGTGGCTTCCCTTTTCATTTCATGTCTCCGTTTCCATTTCTACGGGCTTTCCCCTCATTGTGCGCAGTAGATGCTTTCTTCCTCCTGCAGTTCCAGGCCGTGGAGCTCTGTGAGGCTTTGCACAGACAGAACCGCTTCGCGGGGCCTCGGGCAGGAGCCAGGCCCCTCCAGGTGGAGATGCACAGAACGGAAATTGCACTAGGACCTCTTCTCTCGTGTGGACGGAAGAGCTCATGGTTGTATTCAGGGATTGCGCGGGCCACGTGGGCTACACGTCACAGGTGGCGGACAAGTGGCTACAAGCCGTTTTGCACAAATGCCTGCCCACCTGCCACTCTTGTCCAGGACACTCAACTGAGGGCTGGGTGGGCCAACCTGCCAGCTCAGGCATGTGACTTGGCCTGACTGCATGCCCGGGGCACACTGCCAGGCTTCACCGGCCAGTCCTGCCTCTAGCTCTCTTGGATTTTCCCTCCATCGCTTTCATTTCTCACCACTTGCTCCCTTCCACTCATACGCCTCATGCCCTGCAGGAGCCCCCTTGGCGAATGGATCGGCAAAGGTTAGGCCTGAGTGGGGATGTGGAACCAAAGGGACTAGCCACCTTCCTCCCCAAGGCCAGGCGGCCACGTGTTGAGAGATGAGCTGGTAGAGGAGTGAGGCCGGGGTGTGCAGGGGCCGGAAACCCTGAGCTTTGTAAGGTGGCCGGCCTGCCTGACATGCAGCTCCTGAATCAGGGATTTTCAGCACTACCTCTGAGCAGAGGGCTGGCCGCCCAGCCAGGCTTCCAAGCCCTGAGCACTCACGGTCAGGTTCAGCGAGCTCCCGGGGAGCAGGCTGAGGAGGGGCATCTCATTGTGGAGTCAGGGAGCCATGCAAGGTGAACCATCCTCTTCCAAGTGCCAAGCGCAGGCCCTGCTCCGGGCGGTGAGGACCACCACTCAGGGTTCAGGGCGGGCAGGAGGGCAGCTTCTCCAGCCTCCCATCTGCTGGACAGAGCGCAGTGGCCTCTGTGGGAGCTTTCAGGTCAGAGCGCCGATTTTCCTCTTGCTTTATCATGGAGGGGGAAGGGGAGAAAGCAGCAGCATTCTACCAGGGTGCTTCTAAGTTACTTTAAGTCGACACAGACTCACTTTCTTTTGCTCGAGTTCACAGCTCTGATGGTCACAGGCTGCCTTCTCCTTGTTGAACAGATGTGTTTTCCCGAGCACCTTTCTGCTGGCCTGGCTGGCCTCCTGGCTGGCCCTGGGCCCAAGACCCCCTTCGTCATTGCCCCTCTTCCCAAACAGACAAGGGTGGTCAGGGTGTTTTTCACTTGTAAACAAACACCAGCTGTTTAATAGGAATGCCAGCCAGTAACCTTTGAGGAAAGACAGAGGGCAGCATTGCTGTCAGAGCCAAGGGTGGTGCTGAGGATGCTCCCCCCTCTAGCGTGGCTGTCACCAGGCCACTGGGCTGAGGTCAGTGTAGGGTTGGGCCCCAGCTTTGTATCTGACCCTTAGGTAGGAGGGGGCAGGCCTTAGGACGCTCCTGAACCTGTCCGGGACAAGGCTGTCCTCACCCCACATCTGCCTTCTCCGCCAGGTGGCCGGAGGGCAGAGGGCAGTGGGGGGCCATTTGCCTTCCTTTTTGCAAGGTGAGCCAGTGGGGTTTTGCCCTCCATTTCCCTCCCTGGATGGAAAGAACAGATTCCAAATCCCTTTTGTTGGAGAATCAGCCAATCTGAAGGGAAGTGGGAGGTCAGAGGTGAGAATCCTCTGAAGATTGTGAAATACTGATTTTCATTCTTTTGAGCTTATTTGTAAATACCTATTTGAATGCTGTGTATTTGTACAGGAATTTGAGCAAAAAATGTATAGAGTGTGATGTCCAATTGGTGTTCAGCCCTATAAATGTGTTTTTAACCTCTGGGCATTCTGTGCTTATTTAAAATTAGAACTCTTCTAACCATTTCTTTTGTGTATTTATGTTTAAAAGTGGGGAGGGGTGACTTAAAAATTATCTGTACCAGAGAGCAAAGTTAAAAGAAAAAAATGTACTAGTGTCCCAAGAGGTACTTCACTGTATATATTGTGGTCGCATGTTCTAACAAGTAATGTGACTTCCCGATGTAAATATCTGCCCTTGACCTCGCCCTCCCCGCCCCCTGACTGCTGTGATGTGAATTAAAGATGAATACCTGACACTGACCCTCTGCGTTCACTGGCCGGAGCAGCCCCGAGCGGAGCCGCCTTCCCGCGCCGCCTCCGAGGGCGGCCGGCCGGCCCTGCGTCCGGGAGGAGGGCCGCCAGAGGGAGCCTCCGCCGCGCGGCTCCGGGCCCCGCGCACTCGGCCAGGCTCCGGGGCTGGGGGACTCGGGGAGCTGCTCCGGGGAAACAAGCCTAAGCCCCCCTCCCACTGCCCGGCGGCGGGCTCCTCGCCCTTCCCAGGGGAGCCCTCGGACCCGGCCCGCGGGCCCCGCACGCGCCGGCTCCCCGCGAGGCCCCGGGCGGGCGTGGGGCTCAGGATGGGGAGGCGGGACAGTTCTGCAGGCGCCGGACTGGAGCCAGAGGCACCCCGCCTCCGCCACAACCGCTGCCCCTACCCAAGATGGAGGCCGTGCCGCTTCCGCTTCCTGCGGACGCCCTCCAATCAGCGGCCGACAACTGTCTAGGGCCGGGGGCGGTGCCGCTACCAGCCAATGAGGAAGGGCAGCGTGGAGCCGCCCGTCTGGGCTCTGGCAGGCGTGGTCCAATGGGGGCGCGGCGTGTGGGCGGGCGCGGGGCTGCCCGCCAATGGGGAGCTACGGCGTGCGTCCGGAACCTGGAGGCGGCGGCGGGCGCGGTTCAGTCGGGCGGCGGCGGCGGTGGAGGATGTGGGCCACGCACGGACTGGCGGTGGCGCTGGCTCTGAGCGTGCTGCCGGGTGGCCGGGCGCTGCGGCCGGGCGACTGCGAAGGTACGGCGGGGCCGGGCGGGCCTGACTCCACTCGAACCGCCGAGGGGCCGGGGCCGGAAGCGGCGGGGCGGCGGCGGCGGCCTGTCCCAGCGGGACCTGCCGAAGAGGGGCCAGCGCTGGCACAGCGAACATTACGGGGGGCGAGAAAAAGTTCGGACTCGGACGTGCCGGGAGCGGCCGGAGTGGGCATAACGCGGAGTTTTCCTTCCCCGCCGTGGGCAGGGCGCTCGGGAGGGCGGCCTGGGCCCCGCGCCGGGGCCGGTGGGGGCGCGCAGCCCTCCTCGGGGGCCGGGGTGGTGGTTGGAAATTAGCAGCATTTGGTTCGCCTGCCCTTCGGCCTCCAGCGTGTCCCTTTGTGAGGTCACAGTGAGTCCATCGAGGCCGCGTTCCGTCTGGGCTCAAACTTGACGGGAGAGACAGGGAGGAGCCGCCGTGGGCACTGGGGGCCCGGGGTGCGGGGGGCCCGGGAGGGAAGCCGGCGGTGGGAAATGGCCTCCCTCGCTGCCTCCGGTTAGAACCGCGGCCGTGACTCCTGCGGATTGGGTGCAGCTGGGCATGCTGAGCCTCACCTCCCTTCTCTCTCTTCCAGTTTGTGTTTCTTACCTGGGAAGATTTTACCAGGACCTCAAAGACAGAGATGTCACATTCTCACCAGCCTCCATCGAAAAAGAACTTGTAAACTTCTGCCGCGAAGCGAGAGGCAAAGAGAATCGGCTGGTGAGTAGCTGGTGACTCCCCGCTGGCGCCGGCTGGGTACCCCCCTGCTCCCCCCTGCTCCCCCCTGCTCGCAGGCCTGGGCGGGGCGGCCAACTTGTCTGGCCAGGAGCCTGAGTGAGTTCTGTCGGGGACTCTTCCTCTGCAGTTGTCGTGTGTTTTGTCCTGTTCCTGGTGACCTGCTCTGTGCTGGCACTGGCTGTCTGGGGAGGACGGTGACGGGCAGCAGAAGGACGGACGGTGGGGTGGAGAGGACAGTGCAGGTCAAGAGTTGTTCTGGGGGAGGGTCATGGATGGGGGCAGAGCATCCCAGTCCGAGGGGATAGCCAGGGGGAGTGCCCAGTGCAGGTGGAGAGGACAGTGCAGGTCAAGAGTTGTTCTGGGGGAGGGTCATGGATGGTGGCAGAGCATCCCCAGTCCGAGAGGACAGCCAGGGGGAGTGCCCAGAGGCCAGGCCGAGCTTGGCCTGATTGAGGACAGGGGTACCAGCGTGCACTGGGTGAGCCGGGCCCATGGAGGACAGGACCACCCCCGTGAGGCGGTGGCTTTTGTAGCTTTCATTCTTGGCAGTCTGGGTCTGTCTGTCTGTCTAAAGGTTTGAACCCTGGTGGCTCTTAGCCTCGTGTGGTGGCTGCCAGTTCTGGGACTGAATGTGTGTTACATCTCGGGGTTTACCCTGACTGCGCCCGGACAGGGCGGCCTGGGAAAAGGAGGCCCTGGCAGAGGAGGGAGGGGCTTTGAGGTGTCTGTGTTTGGGAGGCGTGGCCACTCCAGCGCCGGCTCCTTTCTTGCTGCAGTGCTACTACATCGGGGCCACAGATGACGCCGCCACCAAGATCATCAACGAGGTGTCCAAGCCGCTGGCCCACCACATCCCCGTGGAGAAGGTGTGCGAGAAGCTCAAGAAGAAGGACAGCCAGATCTGCGAGCTGAAGTACGGTGAGTACTCTGGGGCTCGGTGCCCGGGCCGGGCTCTGCCTTCCAGCGGGGACACGCGGGAGCCAGGGTATGTGGCTGAACACGGCAGGTGGTGCTAAGTGGGGGTGCAGGTCAGGCATTGTGATGGGTGGAGGTCAGAATAGGTCTCGTTGGGGTGACTTTTCAGCAAACTCAGAAGGAGGTGGGACATTAGCCAAGGGAACGGAAGAACATTCCAGACAGAAGAAATGGGCAATGCAGAGGCAGCCAGTGTGGCATGACAGGTGGTGAGCTGGGCACAGGGCGCCTGGCAGGTTGGTGCAGACAGATCTGGCTGTGCGTCTGGACAGAGTTGGGGCCATTGATTTGAGGGCTGAGGAGGCTGTGGGATTTAACGGGCTTTCCTGGCTGCAAGCTCTGAGGGAGAGCCCTTTCTGACCCTGAAGGAAGTGCTGCGTCCGAGCGGGCAGGCCGGAGTCGCCGGTCTCTGCTGGAGAGGGGTCAGGGCCGGGACTGGTGGTTTTCTGTGCCATTCCAGTGTCACCAACACATTTCATTGGGTGTGAGTGTCCAAAGTCCTGTGTTCCCCCACGTGTGTCAGGGACGTCTGGACTTCCGGGAGAGACCCTGGAGGTGCGGTGGCACAGGTCTCTCTCGGTCACACGGAGTGGACCAAGGCCTGTGCTGGGAAACGGGCTGGGGGTCTACCTGCTCTGTCTCCCTGAAGCTGCCCCTTTACAGTAGCCTGACCTCCACCATGACTAACAGAGGCGCTTGGGCGAGTGGGAGCCACGTTCCTCCTGAGGGACAGGCTGTGCCTCCATCCCTGTCCCGGCGACACTGCCTGTCTGTGGACCCTGCCGGCAGGAGCCCTGCCTTCCGGTGAAGAGGCCAAGCCCTCGGGGCATGGGCAGCGGCACACCGTGTGTCTGGAGCTGTCCCCGCGCCAGGAGGGCTGCTTGTCTGAGGGGAGGTTTGGCTGCGCGGGGTCCCGCCTGGGCCTGTGGGGTCTGGCCGCCCCCCAGCTGGTAACTCTCCCGCTCTCCGCAGACAAGCAGATCGACCTGAGCACAGTGGACCTGAAGAAGCTGCGCGTGAAGGAGCTGAAGAAGATCTTGGACGACTGGGGGGAGACGTGCAAAGGCTGCGCCGAGAAGTCCGACTACATCCGCAAGATCCACGAACTGATGCCCAAGTACGCCCCCAAGGCGGCCGGCTCACGGACTGATTTGTAGGCGGCACCTGGCGGCACTTGGGGGAAGAAGCGGCTCAGCTGTGTCTTCCCCAAACAGCGTTTTGTAATTTATTTAGACCAGCTCCTGGCCATGGCAGGTGTGGAGCCTGGAGCTTTCCTGGTGGTGCTGGCTCTCCAGCACCCTGTCGGGGGGTCGCTTCCTTCTGTTGCTGGTTTTCTCTGGGACTTCAAAGTGTGTCTGGGATTTTTTTATTAAAGGAAGAGAACTTCTAGCTGTCCTTGGGGAATTGAACACGGAAATAGGGTCTTCCCTCATGAAGACCCACCGACTGACACTCCCTGGTTTACAGTTTCCGGTCCGTTCACCTTGTGCCCCGACCATCAGTGCTGGAGATGCCAGGGTGGGACGCGGGCTGGGCTGTCAGGTGGTGGGGGGGGGGGGGGGGGCCAGGAGGAAGATGGGCTGGAAGCCGCACCGCTGCTTGGGAGGCACGGGGTGGAGTCCGAGATAGAAGGGAAGGGTGCACTTTCCTAAGCTGCTCATGGCCTGGCTCCTCCACTCCACATCTGGCCATGCAGGTACTTGCTCGTCGGAGTTTGTGGTCTAGAATCAGGCCTCACTGGGCTTTTGCAGAACCAGGAGAGGTCGGTTTGTCAGAAGAGCCAGGCCAGGCTGCCCTTGGTCTTTGCCCGAGAGGCCTAGCAGCTGAGGTGCTCGGGGCTTGTTCCCACACCTGGTTTTTCCGTTGCTTTCTGTGGGGTTGGCGCTTGGAAACCCAGTTGTCAGCAGGAGCTGTGACTCAAGGGAAACATCTGTCTCGGACCCGTGGAGACAAGGACTTGTCGGCCCTTGTCATTTATGCTCCTGCGTTCAGTCTGTCTGCATAAGGCCTTCCATACAGCCCACGAGTGCGCGGCAGCCCCGTGTCTGAGGAATGCCAGGAGGTTGAGCCACTTTCTCAGGCCAAGACTCCCGATTGGAGGGGGCTCTTACGAGGCAGTGTCCTGAGCCCATGAAAAAGGCTGGGGAAATCTATGATGGGAGCCAGAAGTCAGAAGATGGCGCTGCCTCAGCTCAGCCCCCTAGGTCTGTGTCCCAGGGCCTCCGTGTCCCCCAGGCCACCGGAAGACAGCCCGAGGCCCCCCCATGGGTGTGCAGGAGCAGGTGGCAGCAGGCCGCACAGTGCTGCAGGTGTGTGTTAGGGCCTTTCCCTCGCACCCATCTCGCTGCCCTGGAGCTGCTTTCCAGTGTGGGAGGAAAGGCGGTGGGCAGCCACTGCGATGGGTCCAGCACCTCCCCCTGGCTTCTCCCTTCACCTCGGAGAGGAGGGCCTGCCCCGGGACGAGGGGTAGGAGAGCCCTGGCCAGTGAGGTAAGCGTGGCAATCAGGTTCACTAGTGGACTCAGCCTGCCCTGCGCCCTGCAGCTGTCTGGGGCCAAGGAGCCTCTTCCCACCCCGTAAGTTGCAGGTGTGTGTCGGGTCTGTGCCTCGGCCTTTGGTGGGTGGGGATGGGCAGCTGGGGGCGCAGCAGGTGAACCGAGTTGTGAGCGTGGGTCCTGGACCGGGCCTAGGAAGCAGCGTGCTCCAGTCCTTGGGGTGTCAGCCCTGAGCCCCAGGCGGAGGCGCCGCGGTGGGTGCGGGGGGGATGCTGTGCCTGGGCGCGCACAGAGGAAGGGTCGGGAGCGGTGCCCCAGCCTCAGCTCCGTTGGCCACAAGGTGGCGCCAAAGCACCGCCCGGCCGGGCTCGGGGGCAGGCTGCGGGGGCGGGTGGCCTCGGGCGTCGCAGTCCGCTTACGCACGCCGGCGCCGCCTCGCCCCGCCCACCGCGGGTCACGTGGCGCGTCGGCGCAGCCTGATAACGCGACGCCCCGCCCCGCCGCCGCGCCGAGTCCTTTTGTCCAAGATGGCGGCGCCGGGGGCGCTGCCTCCTCGGCCGCCGCCGCCTCAGCCGCTGTGAGGGGCCTGCGGGCCGCCCGCCCGCCCGCCGCGCCGGCGCCATGAAGAGGCAGAGCGAGCGAGACTCCAGCCCGGGCGGGCGCGGCTCGTCGTCCTCAGCCAAGCGGCCGCGGGAGCGCGAACGGGAGGCGGAGGCGGGCGGGCGGCGGGCGGCGCACAAGGCCTCCGTCGGCGCCAAGCACCCGCTTCCAACGCGGACCCGCGACAAACCCCGCGGCAGCGGAGGCGGCGGCAGCGGGCACCGTGACGGCCGCGGCGCCGGGGACGCCAACCACCGTGTGAGCAGCGGCCGCTCCTCGGGCTCCGGCGGCGGCGGGGGACGCGGCGGCAGGGCCTCCGGGGACCCGGGAGCTTCCGGCGCTTCGCCTCGCTCGTCGCCCCTCCCGCCCCCCCCGCCGCCCGGGGCCGAGCCCTCGGGTCCCGGCTCGTCGGCGGCCGCGTCCGAGTACAAGACGCTGCTCATCAGCAGCCTGAGCCCCGCGCTGCCCGCCGAGCACCTCGAGGACCGGCTCTTCCACCAGTTCAAGCGCTTCGGCGAGATCAGCCTGCGCCTGTCGCACACGCCGGAGCTGGGCCGCGTCGCCTACGTGAACTTCCGGCACCCGCAGGACGCGCGCGAGGCCCGCCAGCACGCCCTGGCCCGCCAGCTGCTGCTCTACGACCGGCCGCTCAAGGTGGAGCCCGTGTACCTGCGCGGCGGCGGCGGGAGCAGCCGCAGGAGCAGCAGCAGCAGCGCCGCCGCCTCCACGCCGCCCCCGGGGCCGCCCGCGCCCGCCGACCCGCTCGGCTACCTGCCGCTGCACGGCGGCTACGCCTACAAGCAGCGCTCGCTGTCCCCCGTGGCCCCGCCGCCCCTGCGGGAGCCCCGCGCCCGCCACGCCGCCGCCGCCTTCGCCCTGGACGCCGCCGCCGCCCCGGGGCTGTCCCGGGAGCGGGCGCTGGACTACTACGGGCTGTACGACGACCGCGGGCGCCCCTACGCCTACCCGGCCGCGTGCGAGGAGGACCTGATGCCCGAGGACGACCAGCGCGCCACGCGCAACCTCTTCATCGGGAACCTGGACCACAGCGTGTCCGAGGCGGAGCTGCGCCGGGCCTTCGAGAAGTACGGCATCATCGAGGAGGTGGTCATCAAGAGGCCCGCCCGCGGCCAGGGCGGCGCGTACGCCTTCCTCAAGTTCCAGAACCTGGACATGGCCCACAGGGCCAAGGTGGCCATGTCCGGCCGGGTCATCGGCCGCAACCCCATCAAGATCGGCTACGGCAAGGCCAACCCCACCACGCGGCTCTGGGTGGGCGGCCTGGGGCCCAACACCTCCCTGGCCGCGCTGGCCCGGGAGTTTGACCGCTTTGGGAGCATTCGCACCATCGACCACGTCAAAGGGGACAGCTTCGCCTACATCCAGTACGAGAGCCTGGACGCGGCCCAGGCCGCCTGCGCCAAGATGAGGGGCTTTCCCTTGGGCGGGCCAGACCGCAGGCTGCGAGTGGATTTCGCCAAAGCGGAGGAGACTCGGTATCCCCAGCAGTACCAGGCCTCGCCCCTCCCGGTGCACTACGAGCTTCTCCCGGACGGGTATACCCGGCACCGCAACCTGGACCCCGACCTTCGGGTGCGGGATAGGACGCCCCCGCACCTCCTGTACTCGGACCGAGACCGGACCTTCTTGGAAGGGGGCTGGAGCAGCCCGGGTAAGGGCTCTGACCGCAGGAACAGCCTGGAGGGCTACAGCCGCTCGGTGCGCAGCCGCAGCGGGGAGCGCTGGGGGGGAGACGGGGACCGGGGCCTGCCCAAGCCCTGGGAGGAGAGGCGGAAGCGGAGGAGCCTCTCCAGTGACCGTGGGAGGACAGCCCACTCCCCTTACGAGGAGCGGAGCAGGACCAAGGGCGGCGGGCAGCAGGCCGACCGCGGCGCCGACCGCACCCCTGAGCGCAGCCGCAAGGAGAACCACGCCAGCGAGGGGACCAAGGAGCCGAGCAGCAACGCCCTCAGCAACAGCAGACATGGGGCCGAGGAGCGAGGCCACCACCACCACCACCACGAGGCTCCAGACTCCGCCCACGGGAGGAAGACACGGGAGAGCGAGCGCAACCACCGGACCACGGAGGCTGAGCCGAAGCCTCTGGAAGAGCCAAAACACGAGACCACAAAGCTCAAGAACCTCTCGGAGTACGCCCGGACCCTGCCGCTGGGCTGGAGCGGGCAGCTGGTGCTGAAGAACAGCTGCTTCCCCACGGCCATGCACGTGCTGGAGGGGGACCAGGGGGTGATTGGCGGGCTCCTCAAAGACCACTCCTCGGGGAGTAAGCTGACGCAGCTGAAGATCGCCCAGCGCCTCCGGCTGGACCAGCCCAAGCTGGACGAGGTCACGCGCCGCATCAAGCAGGGGAGCCCCAATGGCTACGCAGTGCTGCTGGCCACGCAGGCCGCCCCCGGCGGGCCTGGCCCGGAGGGGCTGCCCCTGGTGGAGCCAGGCCTTCAGAGGCGGCTTCTCAGGAACCTGGTCTCCTACCTGAAGCAGAAGCAGGCGGCGGGGGTCATCAGCCTGCCTGTGGGGGGCTCCAAGGGCAGAGACAGCACCGGCATGCTCTACGCCTTCCCGCCCTGCGACTTCTCGCAGCAGTACCTCCAGTCGGCGCTGAGGACCCTGGGCAAGCTGGAGGAGGAGCACATGGTGATCGTGCTGGTGAGGGACTCTGCCTAGCCCGCCGGCTCCAGCCGCTCGCGTCACTGATCCGCTGCCTCGACCCCGCCCCTTGGTTTCTCTCTGCTGGGTTGTTTGGTTCGTTAGGTGGGAGACCAAAGGCCTGTCCCCACCAAAGCAGTCCTTAGGTTTTGGGGATTTTTCTACCGTGATGAGAAGGGACTCCTGTCATGTTGCTTTCTAGTGTACGAGATACTGTCTGCTGTGTTCTGTATTTTTTTATTTTTTGACTAACTGTATGGAAAGTTTGTCAGTAAAGCCTTTGTCAGGATGGATTTTTAATCCTGTTCAGAGTCTTGGTTTAATCAAGTTTTTCCCCTCAAAGATGGAGGACCTTGCCCACAAATGCCCTACGCCGTCTTCCTGGCGCCGGCATGTTGCCACGTCCTGCTGCGTCGGTTCTCAGCCCCTCGACTCCTTGGGCTGAGTCACAACTGGATGCACGTTGGCTTTCCATCTTGGCTGAGAGCAGGTGGCTTCCGTCTGCACCCGCCACCAGCTGCAGAGCTCATGCAAAGGAAGGGGGTGTCCTCGGGTCCATGGGGAGCAGCTGCAGTGGTTGTTGGTTTGGGTTGTTCGGCCTAAACAGCTGGTGCCCTTCGGTTTGAGCTGTGGCTGCTGGACAGCTCCCGTCGCCAGGCCTTTCGGAAGCAGGTGGTCTGGCAGCTGTGGGATCCGATGTGCTGCCCAGGGGTCTTGGTGCTACAGACCGTGCGGACTCCCTCTCCGCCTCCCTCTGGCCTTGGTGCAGCCACCGGGGACACCCAGTTGGACACGGAGCTGTCAGACTCCCAGGGACACGTGCTGGAGGAGGGTGGGAGGCCGCTGTGCTTGCTTATGAACTTGTGAATTCCAGCGCTCCCTGGGGTCGCTCAGAACTGAAGGTCATGTGCCGAGCCCTAGAGCTTGGTGGGGCGCTGAAGATGTTGTGCTGCTGCCGTGGAGGCGGCAGGTGAGGAAGATGCTGTGGCCTGACCTTCCCAGGTGCAAGGTGAGTGTGCCTGGCCTTGCCAGGGTACTGAGGAGGTGGAGCCCGGGGAGATCCGGGCTCCGGGGGGCGGGGGGATAGCCTCGGGGTGCCAGGCCAGAGGGGCGTGGAGGCGCCTGAGCTGGGAGGGGGAACGCTTGCAGCATTAAATGTCATCACACCTCTGGTAAGACATGTGGCCAGTGCTGGCAAAGGAAGCCGTGTCCTCCAGCCACTGGCACTGGAGAAAGACTCACACCCCATGGGATGCTCATGTGGTTGGATGTCCAAAGGGTCACTGTCAGGATGAGGGAGAAGGAAGCTCTAGGGAGAGAAACGAGCCCCACGTGGCCAGGCCTTGCTTGCAGGTCTAGCGCGACCCCAGCTGGCGCTCAGCAGTGCTGGTGACTGTTAGGTGGTTTTGGGGGACAGCCATGAGGGCCTGGGGACGCCTGCCCACAAAGACAGAAAAGGAGGTGTCTTGAGACCTTGAGATTTAAAACAAGGGGGAGGTGCCCGGGGGGACGCTGCTCTCTGGGTTTCTGCTGGTGCTCGGCCTAGGGGAATGAGCGCATTTGTACCAAGTGGGCAGCCAGTTTATTTGCTTGTTTTGCTGGAGAGGGGAGGGCTGGCCCCGCCCGGCAGGCCTCCTGCAGGTCTCTGCCGGCCACAGGCCAGAGCGGCATCTCGGGGTGCTTGCCGAGTGGGCGCTCGGGACCCAGGACACCGCCTCCCGCCCTCCCCGAACAGAAGCCGGGAAACCTGGCTGCAGACTGCAGCCTCGCCTTGTTACCCTTCGGGGCTACGTCCGTGTTCTCTGGTCCCGAGTTTTGGTGACGACCCACAGCTGCTGTGTGATCTCCCTCCCGTCCCTCACACCCTTTTCTCAGCCACTTCCTTCCCCTCTTAGCACAAGGGTGCCAGGACCTGTCGGGGCCGAGGCAGCTCAGGTGGGCAAGGCCCGCGGGGAGACGCTGCCTGAGCTGCCACGGCCGGCGCGGCGCCTCCCCTGGGTCCTCTCAGGCGTGTTGCCTAAAAGCAAAATCAACAAGAGGGCTCCTGAGCAACTCGCCTGCGCCCTGGTGGCCTGAGCTCGAGGGCTGATGCTTCCATGGCCCCTCAGGGTGCTTCCCTTTGGGTGTGTTGTCAAGGCAACCAGAATCTGGCTTTCCTGCCGAGGCCCCTCCCCTGAGCCCGGGTGCTCCCAGGAGCTGCCAGTGTCAGGGAAACAGTGCTCGCATAATGACTGGGAGAAAGAGTGCTTTTACCATTTCTTTACTTTTAACCCGTTTTCTTCTAATCCGTTCAGCACCAGCAATCTATCTACTGGTTAGGTGTTAGCGGCCTTTTTAAGCTGAGGCATGACGCAACTCAGGAGCGGGGACCTCTGCTCCAGAGGACCAGGAGGCGCCTGAGCGACACAGGGCTTCGGTGTGGCAGCTCGTGGTGCTCCGAGCCCAGCAGGGCTTCGCCAGCCCCTGGTGAGTCTAGCTGTCTGTCTTGCTTGTTTACTTCAAACCAAATGTCCCCTCTTCTCTGAGCTACGTACCTACGTGACAGAAACCAAGAGCTGTTACTGGGCAAACGCACAGGAAGCAGGGCAGCAGGGTCTCTCATTGGCGGGGGGGGGTGTTAAGCACCTGGCATTGTCCTTGGTGGTGGCACGGTTCACCCCAAGGCTGGTTGCAAGAGCCTGTGAAGTAGCTGCCAGCCCCGCCCGGCCAGCCCGCTGCCAGCCGCCCCTGCACTGCCACTGGCCTCCCAGGGAGCTACGGCTCGTTAGCTCTGCCTCATCCCGCCCCATGTCCAGGAGCCCGCGGTCCAGCTCCACGTGGGGCCTGTGCTCAGAGTGGCCTTCTGGTCAGAGCCCTGCCGCCTCCCGCAGCCCCGCGCCAGGGGCTCGTCTGCAGACAGTCTGGGGAGCTGCAGGCCAGGCCGGGGCAGACCTGGGGCTGAGCCCCTTCTCCCCAGAGCGCTTTCGGGCAGAGGTCCTTACCACCGTGCCGACTGCCTCTCGGAAGGCGGCTTCTCTCCCGCATGGCTAGAGCTGCAAGGAAAGGGACAGACCCGCTTTGGTAAAGGGACAGGGAAAGGCCGTAGCAAAGACAGGCTTGTAGTTTATTTTGTATTTTTTTAAATAAATACACTTTACATTAAAGAAAAAGGCCTTTGATTTGTAATTTCCACATTGGGGAGAAAGGAAAGAGAAAAAAAGATTTTGAAAAACAAGGACAAAGAAAACTAGAGGGAGTGAACTCATATCCCAAGTCCCCTGGACTCCAGGAGCCAGCCCAGCCCTGCTGCCCCAGAGCCGTGTCACCGTCCTCCCGGCCCCCAGGAGAGCAGTCCACCTGACGGCTTGTGAGGCAACAACAGGTTAAAAATCATATATTATATTTATAATAAAATAGTCTTCATCCTCATCAGTTTAAGAAACCACGATTTTCCTTTCACTTAAATACGAATGTAAAAATGCCTCCGCATTGCTCTTTAGACGCCATTTTCTTCCGCAGAAAATGCAGTGGGACAAGGACCTGGTGGATACAAGTTCATACCCTCAATTATAAATGCTTGGCTTTTTTTTTTCTTTTTAAGTTTTATAAAAAACTATTTCTTGTTCTTTAAGTAAAGAACATTATACAAAGAAAATATATTGTGAAATGACCCCAGAAACATGTTTCTCCCTTGAGGAAAGGTATGTCCATCCGAGGAGAAGGAACAGACGAGGGCCTGACCGCAGGTGTCTTGGTGGCTATTAGCTTTGGACAGGTCCTCGGGGCCCAGGGGACTCTCCAGGCCACAGTCCTCTGAGCGCAGGCCAGGCCGTTCCCTACGCACAGCCCTGGGAGGCAGGGAGGCAGGGGGGAAGGTGGTGTGAATTCATTTGACTTAGGTTCTCGCCTGCTAAGACTCTTCCACGTGCTGCTGTTTCTCACTCATTCAGAGATAAGATGATGTCATCTTCCAGGTCAGAGTTGTCCGAGCTGTCGGCTGCAAGGTAAGCAGAGGGAGAGGCCAGGTCACCATGGGCTTCCAGGAGCTCAGGAGGAAGCGCCCGAGATGCACACGCTTGTGTCTGGAACCAGTTACCTTTCCAGAGAGAGGAAAAGGCACCACGCCACCCCGGGACCTCCTGCTCTCACCCCAGAGGGCCTGCCTGTGGTGTCCTCTGAGTCCTAGCGGCTCATCCTGCCTTACAGACCCTTAAGGACCAGCAACCCCCCCACACACACAAGTTTCTACCCATGATGCTTTGAAAAGTTGCAGAGGGAGCCCCACAGCCCTTGGGCCTCTGGAGTCCTTCAGGGCTGGGCACGGCCTCAGCCCAGGACCTGAGCCCAAGCAAGGAGGAGACTTCTCTCCCCAAAGAGCTCAGGCAGAGATTGTCTAGCTGGGATCTGTGCCCTGCAGTTCCTCAATATGGCCTGCGGGAGGCAGACTCCCTAAGGGGCAGGCTGTTGCAGCAGTAGCCGCCTGGCACCTGTGGCTGCCTGGCCTCAGCCAGAAGCCTAGTAGCTCACTCCTGACTGGTCGTCTGCTGAGAGAAGAAGGTAGGGGAAGGCCTAAGGCTATTGTGATCACTCACAGCTGTGAGATGGTCTGTAAGGGGGCTCCCGGAGGGGGCAGACCCTGCCCTACAGCCCCCGCTGCCCACGGCCCTGAGGTTCCCACAGGAGAGGCCGGCTGCCGGGCCGAGAGACAGAACGGACTTGGAAAAGCTGAGGAAGCGAGTTCCCAAACCTTCATTCACTGCACTCTCCTTTAGGACGGAAACAGAAGTGGATCAATAAAGCCAAGAAAAGCATGGCCGTCCGGACTCAAGGAAGCCCTGAGAAGCAGCCGAAAAACCCCTGCTCCTGGGCCAGAGGCACAGCACAAGACCAACAGCTGCTCACAGCGCGGCGCCTCCCTGCTGCCAGGACTCGGGGAGGAAGTGCAGTGGCAAAGGGCAAGCCTGCTCCCCAGAGCCAAGTTCATATCCCAGGTGCCCCCGCTGTGAGCCGCCATTGCCAGACCAACTCCCGGCACCTGTGCCCGGCCCGGGACCAAGCCCGGAGGATCACGGCCCAGCCCTGAAGCACGTGAGTGTAGGTGCAGGTCTGAGAACCGTCAGGGCTCCGTGCTCAGGGTCAGGACCCCCCTCTGCCCACCTCGGCCTTTTAGCGCCTCCAAGTGCTCAGACACCCTGGTCGGGGCCTTTGCGAAGGCAAAGGCCATGCGGATGGGAACCCTGTTGGCACCATTTAGCCTGCTGCTCTATGACATGAGGCTTTGGGCGGGGGCAGAGGGGGGCCGCGCGGAACTGACTGGAACAGAGACCTCAGGTCAGGAGTTGGGGTTTTGCGTAGGGAATCCAGCACCAGGTTGGGGCCCAGGCCTCTGCAAGGGGGGGGCGCTCAGGGTGTGGCTTTCTAGGCTTGATGGCTTCTCAGATCCTAAAAGGCTCCACAGCCCCAAACCATGCAGCTGCTCTGAGCTCCTTGCGAGCGGACGGCCGGCAGACAAGGGCCCAGAGTGTTCCTGCCGTGCGAGCAGCTGTGGTGTAAAACCGAGCGCCGGCACACCCACTGCAGGTGCCACCTCGTCACCCTCAGCTCGAGCCAAGCTAAAGCGTCCTTGAGCCGCCGTCTATCACGGCATTTCCACCGAGTTAGAGCAGCTGGCGGCCTGAGGCTTTCCAGGTGATTGGGGTTAGGAAAGAGGGGTTCTTAACTAACAGGAAAGGCAGGGGAGGCAGCAAATACAGGCAGACAAAGCGCTGGCTTTGTATTCCAGTTAAGGAGACTCGGTGAGGTCATGGCTGGCACCACACCTGCTGCTCCTTAGCCCACCTGCCGCTTGTCATTGGAGGGAAACGGAACCGGGGCCTGCATGTCACTAGGCAGAGGACAGAAAGGGTTCGGTAAAACTTGCCCTGATACTGTCAATACTGTCCCCTGGCCCTTGGTCCCTCTTCCCTGGCTCCAACCATAGCTAAGGACAAAGCAAGCTTCCCTCACTGAGTCTCCTTAACCTCCATGGAAACAGTGGGAGCTGGCCCACAGCAGATGGCACTCCCCCGCAGCCCCAGAGGCGAGAGAAAGGCTTCCCTCGGCAGCTGCCTTCAAGCTTGAGGGCCAGAGCATGTATCAGCTCTCCTGCTCCTGGCTGTCCAACACTAAGCATCTACTGTAAAGCACTGGTCTGTCGGGCCCAGGCCAGCACAACACAGGGAAGTCAGTGTTCTGGATCCGCCCTTCAAGGGCAGCACACAGGCTCCCGGTCTGGCAGCGTGGACATGGAGTGAGGAGGGAGCTTTCAGGACGACGCGGCAGTGTCAGTGGCCACGTGGCTAGTGGCTGTGTTGGGTGTGACGCCCTGGCTGTGGGAAGACTGGCTGGCTGTCACAGGGATTATGCCATCAGGCAGGCAGTGTCACCTCAGAGGTGCTGCCCACCGTGTCCTCTGGAAACACCGTGAGCTGTGGGGCTGGCAGACCCTGAGAACCGTCACCTGGTTCCTCAGGGCTCCTTAGCACAGTCAGGGCACTCCGACTTCAGGGAGTTTTCTAAGTTGGAATAGGTGGGGGGAGACAAAAAACACGAGAGACCTGTGCCCCTGGTCTTTAAGGCAAAAGCAGACAGAAAAGCCCCTGAGAGGCTTCTGTTACTTGGGGAAGGAGCAAGCGGGGCCCAGGGAGGAGCGCATTCAGGCCTCTGTTCGGAGGCTCCCCCTCCTCACAGCCAGGACCTGACCCCGCGTGTCTGGCTGCGTTCACACAACAGAAGAGCTGAGAAGCTGCAGCAGAGACCATGTGGCCACAAAGTAAAACATTTACTGTCCCGCCTTTACAGAGTCATTTGCCAGCCTCCATTGTAAGGAAGAGAGAGAACAGCGTTTGGTTACAGAGTCTGATGGGAGAGCAGAGGGTCAGAGATGGGAAACCGTTAGATGCTTTTCCTCAGGGGACCAGAGGGCGGGGCAGACAGGCAGGAGCAGAGACCTCCTGGTGTGGCTTCCACACTGGGCGGGGCCGGCACAGGGAAGGCGGCTTCCCCTGGAGGCCCAGGCGCAGCCCCATGGTCGTCCTGGACTTACTGTCCCCCAGGATCAGTTCCACTTCCTCGTCTGCATCGGAGTCTTCATCCTCCCCGTCCTCTCCCTCCTCCAGAAGGTTAGCCAGCTCCTCGTCAGAAGGAGAGAAGTCATTGTCCCCATCCTCCCCTGCGTTCTCATTGTTGTCATCCTCCTCCAACTCCGCCTCCAGCAGTTGGTCGGTGTCAAGGTCATCAAGATCATCGGTGTCATCATCATCTTCATCGTCATCCTCCTCCTCCTGCTCCTCCTCCTCCTGTGAGAGAGCAGTAGGTCCGTTAGGAGGAAACAGGCCTGGCCCATTCCCTAAGAGTGTCACCACGGTTAGCAGACTCATCAGTGAGGCAGCGACCGGCATGTGGCATGTACACGGCCCCCAAGACACCAGACCAGGGTGACTACTTACTCCGTGAAGGCGTTACTGGCCATGCAGCCCTATCCAAAGAAACGAAAACTCCTTTACAGAGGCCGCTGCCACTGAGGGCGGAGCCTGCTGGCTAATAACCCCCAAGTGAAATCAGGCGGCTCAGGAACAAAAGCCGCTACCACGGAGCCCGCTGTTCTCCAGCTAATGAATCAACACAGCTGCTGAGCACCAGCTCCACAGCCCTCACGTTCCTGAAGGACGTGAACAGCCCTGTCCCAGTGCTGCATAAGCAACCGGGGTCTGAGCCAAACAAAGCGGATGTCCACCGTCCGGAACACTCACAGCCCGTGTTCTGTGCTAGAGAAGTCGTCCGCCCTTGCATTCCGCCACAGGTCCCGTTTTGCACTAGTATCCAAACTTTTCCTTCAAGCAAAGAGGACACAGCGCCTCTTAGCTAGCTTTGACCAAGCTTTGACCAAGATAGGTGTTTCCAAGTAAATGTTACTAACAGTTACTTGTAACTCCTCCTCAAATATCAGCAGCTTGGCCAGTAGGAAAAAGATTCCACTTCCTGCGATAATAGGATATAGTCCACGTACTCCATCAGCCAGCTCACCAGTCTCCCTCCCCTGCCACTTCCGGACTGCAGCTCTGCGGCCTGAGCCCCTCCAGAAGCTGCTCATCCAGTCACAGCAATGACTGCTGACTGACCACCTCGCTAATCCAACTTCGTAGAATTGCAATTTCTTGTTAACTGAGGTGACTTAATTAAGTCGGTGAGTGCTGAGGTGTGAGCATCAGAATCACCTGACAAAACACGTGCTAACCCACATTCGGGACCGCAGCAGGCTCTCCAAAGGAGGCCCACCTGGTGGAGCTTAGAGAGGTGCCCCCAGTGAAGAGCCAGGAAGCACAAGATTACCTCGGAGTTAAATAGCTTTTAGCCTCCATTCCCTTCAAAAATACAACCAGTCCCCTAGAAAAACAAACGCCTGGTCATACTTTCAGATGGGAATCTAAAAGAATAGCAGAATAACTTTTCTAAAGATGTAATTCAAGCTCAAGCCTATGGTCTTGATATTTCAACATGTCATATTTTGTAAAACTTAAACTCCTGCTTTTCTTTCCTTTGACATTTGTCCTGGTGTTAACTGTCCTTAAAAGATACAAGTTCATTTCAGAGTTGTAAATACTTGTTTTTTCTCTTCTCACTGAAAAGTCTAACTCACGTACATTTTAAACTTAAAAAAAAAAAAAAAGGCAGTCTTTCAGGTGTCTGACCAGGCTTACAGCAGGAGCGTGGCCCATAAACACCCCCCACCCCTGCTCCTGGCTGCAGGAGCACGCGGAAAGCATAGCATGCAGTGGTCCCGAGTTCCAAAATGGATGGAGAAAGAGTATTAGCCCCTTGCTTTTTGATATAAATGTAAGGTTAACTATAATTAGTTTAAAAGTATTGGCTTTTCAAAATCTAGGGACTATTATCCATTACTAATCTTTGATTTTGTAATTTTCCTAAAAGCCAACAAAGTTGGATTTAATTGACTCTTAAAAACACAAATACCAAAATTCCAGTGCATAATAGGGGCTTTGACAAGGGGCTGGCTTATCTCCGCTCTTACCAAGTGCCTGAAGGCAGCAGCCTGGCAACCTAAGAACCAGAGCATAGCTGTGCCAGGCCCTGATCGGCTGGCACCTGCCCGTCAGGCTGAGTGCACTGTGCTGAGGGGAAGGCAAATTCTGAGATGCTGCTCCAGGTGCCTGCATCCCGCACACGTGAGGCACGCCTGAACCAGAGAAGACCTGCACACAGAGGGCCAGGTGAGGACACTTTACATAGCAAATGGCATGGAAAGTAAGACTCCGGTTTAAGACCAGGTGAAGCACGCTCAGGAAAGGGGAGAAGCCCGGAGGGATGTGCTGGAGATAGTGAATGCAGCAAAACACCAGTGTGACGCAGGAGGGCATGAGAAAACTTGCTTCAATAGACATGGCCTAGCCCAGAGGTCGGCGAACTGTGGCTCAAGAGCCACGGTTTGCCACTCTGTTGACTAATGAGTTTGCCAACCACTGCCTTAGGGAGAAACACTTAAAAAAAAAACTTTTAATGTACCAATGTCTTTAAAGTCGAAACTTCTGGGAAAGGGTAATAATGCCTTACACAGTGGTCAGCAAACTCATTAGTCAACAGAGCAGCAAACCTCGACTCGAGAGCCCCGTATGGCCTCCAAGCCGCAGCTTGCCAACCACTGGTCTAGTCCAGCGGGCACGGCTCGGTGGTTGAGTGTCAGCCTAAGAACCAGGAGGTCGCAGTCAGGGCACAAGCCCGGAGAGTGGGCTGGATACTCAATAGGGAGGTGCAGGAGGCAATGATTTTATCTCATCACCGATGTTTCCATCTCCCTCTCCCTTCCCCTATCCCACTAAAACATATCTAGATCAAAACACCAAGGGCTTAAGGGTGATATCAGTTTTCAAATGGATGTCCTTCCTATGAAAAGGCCACGGGCCATGGAGGCAGCAGGTAGGAAATGTGCCAGATCCTGTGAGACACAGAAGCAATGCTAACTCACCCCACTCACTCCACACCCACACCAGTCTCCACAGGCTGGGCCTCTGGAGCCTGCTGCCTGGCCCTCACTGTCCATGCCCAGGACGCTGCCTTTTCCTTCCTGCCTCCGTGGCCAGGAGCAGCCTTTACCAGAGCAGGGCAGGTGGAGGAGAGCACTGGCAAACAGGGAGGCGAGCTTCCTCTTCCTGCGGTGGCCCCTCCCCACCCAGAGCACCTCTGCCCTTAAAGAGACAAGCACCAAAACTAAGCAATGCCACGGCGGAAGGAGAAAACGAAAGGAACCCAACTCTGCAACAAGAAAGCGAAGCCCTGGTCACTGATGTCACAGGAAAGACCTGCCAAAGCTCTTGGGAACCGATACGACACGGCAGGCAAGCGCCTGGCCCGTGACCATAAAGTAACCCCCGGAAAGGAAAAGCTGACACGCCCTGGGACACACTGTCCACTCACGTTTCATACAGCTTCATCTCCAAAGCATCAAAGCCTTCTCTTCCTGTCAGCTCTATCTGCTCTCCCGTCTGAAAGGGGACTGCATGGAACTGGCATGAGGCAGCCAGACACTGGCCTCACAGAGGGGAACGCACAGAACCAGCAGGTTCTGGTTGAGGTTCTGCCATAAAACCTACTTCCTGGTGAGTTTCAGGGATCAAGAGCACATGCCAACAGGTAGCAAAGGCTGCTCTTTAAAAAACGCTGGTGAAAAGCAGAGCATGACTTCCCTAAAGGCACTGACCTGGTCCTCCTCCTCGTCCTCGTCCTCCGCCAGGCGCTGCCTGCCCACTTCGTACAGCCTGCACACCGTGTCCATGTTGAGAGCATCCATGCTGCTTTGGTTCTGAAACGGCACCCAGTTCTCAGTGAGTCTTCAGAAGGCCTGCCACACCCCACACCTCGCTCTGATTGGCACCCGTGCACCCTGACCCTCAGCTATCCAAGGCCCCAACACCCCAAATTCTTGAAATTCTGAAAATACCTGGGACACAGGGAAGGAATAAAAATAGAAGAGAAGGCTGGGTTAGTGAGGGGTATAAACATGAGAGACCACCATCCTTGGAACAAACCCTACTTGCTCTGGTGAGAGGGGCAGACACCTCTAAAAAAGGGCGACATGTGAGTCCAAGACAGTAGGAGACAGGACTCTGCATGCTGTTTTACATCAGCATTTGCTTGCTTTTCTTACACTGCACGTCTCCCAAACCCCAGCAAATGAGGTTATCAATAACCTCCCATCAGGAATGCAGCCACTTTATAACATGTCTCACATCTGTCAAAACTCCTGTGGTGCAGTGACCCTAACCACCCCACCAAAGAGCAGGCTTCCGCAGCACCGTTACCTCGATGACAGCCAGGTAGCAGTCCTTGGTGTCTGTGCACAGGTCAAAGATGTTCCGCTTCACGTCGATGGTTGCTGGAAAACAAGGTGACAAGGCTCAGGACTGGACTATTGCTGTGACCTTAAAATCAGCTTTTCCTCTCAAGGAATTCAGGGCAATTGGCCACAAATATTTCCATAACTCCTCAGCTTTTCAATGAAAATTACATCATCAAAATGTAACAAAACGCACACTTACCTATGGGCTTATAGTCAGTTGCGTTAAATGTTCGGAAGGACGATCCAAAAGGGCTTTTCATCCTCTCTTCCATGAGGTCATCTTCATCGTCTGCCTGCAGCATAGCTGGGGGGAAGGAAGGGGGAAGAGCGGGGAGGGCAGCACTGTCAGAGCCAGAGCCCTCTGCACAGTGGTGTCCTTGCAAATCCCAGCAAACAGCAGACAAGACCCTTAACCTCGCGTCTCCCCCAACAACGGCAGCAGGGAAGGTGGACAACACACAAGACACCAAGGCAAAGCTTTTTCCTAAGTTCACAACGACCCATAGGGAATCGCTTTCTATACAAGACTCACTTATCAAGCCAGTGGCCTCTCACCCTGCCTACATCACATATTTCTCCTCTTCCCTTTGTCATCATTTGTATGTCATTTTATCTTTTATGCAAGAACTTTCAAATGCTTTCCAATTCACATTTGAGAGCACTTTCCAAAAAGGAAGTTTCGATCTAAGTGAGGGGGAAAGAAGGGAGACAGACAATAGTGAAGGCAGGAAGAGGGTATTACCTCCATACATCACTGTCCCTGTGTGGTTGAACACCACTCGGCACTGATCCAGAGCAGGAACTGTGTGTAACAGATGGAAAGTGCGAAGGTCCCACTGGGAGGGGAGTGGTCAAGGAAAACGTTTATTTATTTATTTTTTTAAGAAAAACTATTTTATACATAACTTCTTATCTAACAACCTGGTGGGAATTCTGAAATATTGCTTCCCCCCCCCCCCGCCTGCCCGCCCCTACTGGTATTAATGTTTTAAAAGTCAGTGAGATCAGGGTAAAAATAGAAGCATGTTATAGAATAATGTCCCTAAAAATCTCCTTCAATATCCTCACATACATGAAAGCTACATGAGTTGCCTTCCTCTCAGTAGAACTTCATTTTAATCTTACGCTTAGCAGTTGACTTCTGTAGAGCAAAAATAAATCCTTCTGAAGATAGAGAGAAGTCACTTCAATACTTGGAAAAGCGAAAAGCAAGAATCTGGTCAATTTCCACAATACAGATGTGCTAGTGAGAGTCCTCGGTAATCACCACGACAGGAGTGCCCTGGAATGGCACGAGCACTCAAACCAAAGCAGAGCACCGAGTGTCACCGGTGTGGGGCCTGTGTGACACTTTCAACAGGAATTGGCAAAAAGGAAATTCCTCTCTCTCACAGAGAGAGAAGGGGAAACTAAGACCGGGTCAGTACAAAGGATACAATCTCGGTGTTAATGATGACCTCCAGCCCATTCGGATGGAAAACACCACTGATGTTCATGTTGAACTTGTCGAACTTGTGGATGGCCTGCGCAGAGCGGACATCCCAGAGGACGCCATCATTTAAGACCAGATCATCTGTAGGATTAAAGGTGGCACAGTTCCTCTTGTAGTTGTTGGCAAGATCTGGGTTAAACAGAGTCAACAGCTTGTTGCCAGTCTGAATATCATAAATCTTTAGAGAAGAAGGGATGGGAAGAGAAAAATCAGACCAATCCATTCGTTGACAAATTCAAAGAGAAGCTGTATAAAATACCTCTCCCACGCTTTCTAAAACCCACTGAAATTACAAAAGCCCTGACATTACAAAATACCTGGGAAACAGGAAGACCACAACCAGCACAGCCAAGTTTAAGGGCTTTGGTTGCCATTCAGGGTTTGAAGAGTCCTCACGGGGAGGACAGTGAGAATGTGATTGCAACAGGGAGAAGAAAACCCTCCTCTCCCCCACCCCCGTTCAAAAAACAGAAAGTGTTTCTAAGATTGAAACCGTGCGATTCTCTGAACATAAACTGTGCACCTATGGATGAAGACAATGCGGGGTGGGAACCTGGTGGAGGAGATCTACAGGGGGGGGGGGGGACATTTGTAATAATATGAACAATAAAGATTTATTTTAAAAAAAAAAAAGAAAGAAAGAAAGAAACTGGGCAATTCTCCATAGGACTAACCAGCAGTTATCCATAGAATATCTTAAGGGTAACTTTTGGGCAAAGGCATTAATGAAGTACGCTTTTCTCCTTAAAATCTCCCAATGTACCAACTTTAGCCCTAACTACTGTAAGTTCCAAGTCTACAATGTGCAGCCCATTAAAGACCAGATCTTTCCCATCAGCTTAGACATGCTATAAGATTTTCAATCTTTTTTTAAAAAAGATCCTCCTTTAATATAGAAACAAATAAGGAGACACCACAAGGAAACAAACAAATCCAGATCATGGGACAAGACAACTAGCCTGGTCTCTTCAAAAGTCAATGTCATGAAAACTGGAGAAATGATTCTTGGCTTTAAAACACTAGTGAGACATAACAACCAAATGCAATATGTGAATCTTGGCTGGATCCTGGTTCAAAAAACAAAAAAACAAAAAAAACATTTGAAACTGAACATATCAGGAACAATCGGGAAAACTGAGTATGGAATGGATATTGATGACATTTGGGAATTACTATGAATTTTCTTAACCTTGGTAACAATGTGACTATGTAAGAATGTCCTTTCTGTTAGGATATACTAGTATATGCTGTAAGACAGGAATAAAACGTCATGACGTTTGCAACTTACTTTCAAATGATTCAGAAAAACAACACATTTACACAGAAATATGGCTAATTATCAAACTGATGAATCTCGGTGGTAGGTATATGTACTATTCTTTTGACTCTTCCACATATTTTAACACTTACAAAAGTTTGGGAGAAACTCTTCACCATCTCATATCCCTCACCTCAAGCTATTACCCACTTCTCTGCTTTGTTGTCAGCAAAACATTTCAAAAGACCCATCAATACTCAGTGCCATCCGCTTCTCTCCTCTTCGCTCCTGAACCCAACCCATCAGATTTCTATCTCAGGGAAACTTGCATGGAACTAGCTCCTGACATAGTTTAACCATGACCTCCATGTTGTTTCATCAAAGGTCACCTCTCAATTCTCATCGTATGGAATTAACTCGTCAGCAGTTTCTGATCCAGTCCATCCATCTTTTCTTAAAAGTCTTCCCTGATCTTCCAGGGCACACCTTTGTCCTGGGTCTCCTGCTGCCTCACTGGATACCTGCATGGCACCCACACCTCCTTCACGACACCGCTTCCGCACACCAGCTACCCAAGAGGAAACACAAGTACTCCGCACACTAACAAGCTCTCTCTGCCGTTTCCCTCTCCCGTTCTGGAGCAGCACCCACCTGATACACCACTTATTTGCTTTACTTATTGTCTCCCCAGTGAGGCAGGGATTTTATTTCATCTAAAACTTAGTATTTTAACCAGTCAACTACCATGCATCCGAAACGGAAACCATCCCCACATGCCACGATATTTTGAATTTAATTTAAAAACTAAATTTGCAATGAACATTATAAATATATTACAATTCTGGTGTTCTTGAATATTTTCAGCTGAAAATTCTCAGGAAAAGTGATTTTAAAGTTGGTCAGGACTGCCACTTAGGAAAGAAAAACAATTTTTATGGACACGTGTCATGTGGAGAAGGCATGCAGCTTGCGTCTACAAACGCTTATGGCGTACAGCGGGTTACAGTACCTGCTGTACTAATGACATCTTCTCAGCTTGCCAGATAAGTTCCTGTTCACTCCTTTTACATCCCACCGGGACAGCTTAGAGCTCACTATGCCTCACACCTCCAGACTCTCCCAGAAACACTATCGCTGAGCGATTTCTAGCTGCCCCAGGACCTCAGTGCCCACCCCAGTCCGGAACACTCAGTGTAACAAAGGCCTAACCAGTGTGAAAGCAGCGGGCTCGGTACTTACGTGGGCAATGTCTCCTTTTGTGCCGATGACGCGGTCCTGAGAGTGCTTACTGAACTCCACGTAGTGATCCTCTGTGAAGGAGTGCCTGCAGACAAGCAGAGCACATAACCCCTCACTGATTGAACATACCTCACTCACCTGGAGATTCTCACTCCCAGAGAGGGAAATATCAGACACTTCACATTAAAAAGATAATCCCTTCATCCAAGCAGGTGCAAAATAATCAACGGGAATTACATGATTAAAGAAATTGCTGCCGGGACTGTTTGGCTCAGTGGATAGAGCGTCAGCTTGGGGACTGAGGGGTCCCGGGTTCGATTCCGGTCGGGGGCATGTACCTTGGTTGCGGACATATCCCCAGTGGGGAGTGTGCAAGAGGCAGCTGGTCGATGACTCTCTCTCATCGATGTTTCTAACTCTCTCTCCCTTTCTCTCTGTACAAAATCAATAAAAATATATTAAAAAAAAAAAAAAAAAAGGAAAGAAATTGCTAATACCCTTAGTCGGTTTGGCTCAGTGGATAGAGCATCGGCCCGCAGACTGAATGGTCCCAGGTTTGATTCAGGTCAAGGGCATGTACCTAGTAGCAGGTTCCCCATCCCTGGACGGGGTGCAGGAGGTAACCAATTGATTGATGTGTCTCTCTCACATAAATGTTTCTCTGTCTCTCCCTCTCCCTTCCTCTCTCTAAAAGTCAATGGAGAAATATCCTCGGTGAGGATTAACAACAACAAAATGACTAATAAGGCCCATGTGCCTTGGAACTATGTCCCAGCAAAGAATGCAGTTGTCACATGTAAACGGGAGAAAATAAATGACCTGCCATTTTGGGTCAGGGAAAGGTCTGTTGTGTGATGGGAATGAATATTCCTAGTCAGCATATCTAGGAACTAAGGAAGATAAAATCTTATCTTATTGAACGTAAGCCAGGGATGAGGAAGAGAGGAGCTAGCAATAACTCACAGCGTTCCTCTTTTCCCAAGGGCTCTGGCTCTAAGGATAGGGCGACGGGGGGTATAAGCAGGTGAACTATGAACACAGAGACCAGGCTGTACAAGAAGATACATACTTCATGTCAAACACTGACTTCATTCCCCAAAGTGCAGACAGAGGCTGGCTCCAAGTAGCAGATGTCAGCAGCAAGGACCCGTCCTGAAGGAGGAGGAGGCCCACGTGAGTTTCTCTGCCTGCCTTAGCGTTTTAATGCAGTTTTAAAAATAGTGACTAGAGAGAGAAACTTCCAGGAACCAAGAAGTGGTCAGAAAGTGTGAGGATAACAGTACATGCACCCTAAAGTTACCTGCATTTACGACAACACAGGCCTCCTGAGCTAATGATATAACATACATGGCTCTAAGGTAAGGGGAGACTGGGAAAGAGACCAAATTGGTTCCTCGTTTATTAATATTTGGCCATAGTCCTCATCCTTGAAATATCAGTGAACTAAAAACATTTTCTACACTTTCTAGCTAGGACTCTTAAAGGTTTTTCAAAGAGAAAACTCAATAAAGGGTAAACCTCCTTTACTCTAAAATCAGGAAAATTATCCTCGTCATCTTAATAGTCCTGACTTTTAGGAATAGCAAAGGTGTCAATTCCATCCACAAAATAGTTCTAATAAACTATGACCCACTGGAATCATTCAATGCTTATTTTCCTAAAAATCACAGTAATTTGAAATGTCTGACATAAAAAGAACATTTTATATGTTCATAGTTGGTCAATCTCAGTTTCCAAGTGAGGCAAATTAAAATACATAGATATAGCCGAAACTGGTTTGGCTCAATGGACGGAGCGTCAGCCTGCAGAATGAAGGGTCCCAGGTTCAATTTCAGTCAGGGCACATACGTTGGTTGTGGGCACATCCCCAATAGGGGGTGTGCAGGAGGCAGATGATCAATGATTCTATCTCATCGATGTTTCTATCTTTCTCCCTTCCTCTCTGTAAAAAATCAATAAAATATATTTAAATACGTAGATATATACAAACACATATTTGTATCAATCGATCAATCGTAGACAGATACATGGATAATACCGTGATTCCCCAAAAATAAGACATCCTCCGAAAATAAGACCTAGCGCATGGAAAGATAAGACATCCCCTGAAAATAAGACCTAGCGCGACTTTGGGAGAAAAAATTAATATAAGACACTATCTTATTTTCGGGGAAACAGGGTAGATATATCTCCAGATCTTACAACAGGGATTGGCAAACTTTTACTCAGAAGAAATACTTGATGCTCTGTGGGCCACATGGCTGCAGCTATTCCACTTTGCCTTTGTAGCACAGCAGCAGCCACAAATAATACATAAACACATGAGCATGGCCATATTCCAATAAAACTTTAGGAATACACTCAGGCAGCCAGCCAGCCAATGGAACCAAAGCTCACCAACCCATCTTCGAAGAATGACGGTGAACAACCTAGGATGGGACCCTTACCCTAGAGGGTTCAAGGTGTGTGATGGCCGAGTTGTGACAGTTATAGCTGGCCTCCTCCTGTCCACTAAACACATTGTAGAGCTTCAACTGCCCAGTGCAGGTGCCAAGCATCAGGAACCGCTCCCGCGCTGAGAATGCACAGCAGGTGAAGCCACTCTCATCCTCGTTGGCTTCCCGGAACACTGAGATAGGACGGAACCTACACCCCGGAGAGAGATCAGAGACAAAGAATGTGCAGGGATTCAGAAAAAGAAACTGCTACAAGGAAAAAAGAAAAAAAAAAAAAACAGAGCTTTTGTGTTTCAAATACATCACAACACGTCTCATGACCTTTAGTAGCTCATTTTCATTTCATATGGGAGAAAAGGACCTCTATCCACAAGTTTAAACAATAAAGTTCCCTTGTTTAAAGCCTGCAACCCATGACTTTTACCTAAGATCTGTAAAGAACCAGGAGACTGTTTGGACCAGCACAGAAACAAGCTGGGGACCTAGAGACGCGGGTCCCCAAGGCTCTAGAAAACACACTAGTTGTGCTAAGAACACATGGGATTCAATCACACAAGGAACCATGGTTGACAGGAGTAGTCACATTGCTCACTGATTCACGTGAAGTGACCACCTCGGGCATTTCAGGCCAATGAAGGGCTTTCTGGGCTACTTACTGCTGACAGGGACCCTTACCTGCTGAAGATGAGGTGCCTGTCGAAGCACCCGCCGTCCACCCCGCCATACTTTGGAAACGATGCTCTGCGGGTCAGTCTGGAGGTAAAGTTTATGGGCGCCTGCCGCCTCTGTTTTGGCTCAGGACACTGGTGAGGAGTGAAGAGGGAGAAAGGTGGGCAGGTGGCGACGGGGTTCTTGCAGCGCGCGTGCTGCTCTCGCAGGTACTCTGTGATGATGCTGTCCAGCGTCGGTGGGGAAGGAAGATGCCTGTCCAGCTGCTTTTTTATGGCTGGGCTCTGGCTGTAGGCGCCATGGTCCGACTTTTGCCGCAACACTCTGATTTTCCTGCCATTGCAGGGCGAGGGTCTCTCTCTGATAAAACTGATCCTTCCAATCACAGGGGAGTTGCCCGCGTAAGACGGGCCGGGCAGAGCTAGTGAGCCCTGGGGGGGCCGTGGCTGAGGATGGGCAGTGGGGGCAGGAGGAGCAGTGGCACCCACAGCCACGTGGCTGCCCAGTCGAGTTGCAATGCCGTTGGCGATGCGAGGGGTTCGAGGGAGAGAGACAGGAGAAGCAGCAGCGGCGACTGGGGTGAAGGCGGAAGAGTGGGAGGCAGCAGTCATGGGCAGGTCAGCCTCCTTTGTCAGCACAGTGGCTGTCTCCCCGAGTCCTTTAGAAATGAGATGGTTCCGTATCAACAGGAGCAGCTCTTTCTCAGGGAAGGAGATCCTGGACTGGGCAACCACATCGGCCTTCTGCAGCCGAGCCAGGGACACGTCGGTGCCGATGAGCAGGGGCTTCCCTGACACCCGCTCGATGAGCTCGGCAGCGTACTTGCAGAACTTGACATGGTCGCTGCGCTTGTCCTGCAGCACGGGCTCCTTCATCAGCTGCTGGATCTGGCAGCTGCTGAAAAGGGGCAGCTTGCTGATGATCTGCCGGACGGTGCTGCTTCGAGACAGGCCCACCAGGGCCTTGCAGGCCAGGGCCCGGATCTGGTCTGCGTCTGTGATGGGCATCTTGACGGACAGTAAGGACAGGAGCACCTTGATGCCATTGTTGGACTGGACCACATTCCACATCTTGGCCAGGGTGTGCTCGCTACTTTTGGGAGTCTGAGGCAGCTTCCTCCGAGGAGTTCCCGAGATAAACTTGCCAATACTGGAAATTCGGTTATCCGGACCACACACACAGTTGATGATAATTTGAAGGGCTGACTTCTGAATCTCAGCATCATGGATAAAGAACTCACCCTCAGCCACTCCCAAAATAATGCTGATACCTAATAGGAAAGGGGGGAGGAGGGAGACAAGACATTTTAAATTCTCTCTCACAAAACTCAAGGCCTACTTCAATGGTTGGTTGAGAGTCAAAATTTAAAGTTCTATTCATTTTGTTCCACTTAAAACTACACTTAAAAAAAAATGTATAAGGAATTGTGTAAAATGCGATCAGCTGTATTATCATGTACCTTTATAATGCAATACCTCATGTACAATGGTTAAACAGGGGAATGATGTCAATACTATGTGTGGGTCACTAAGGTTAATATGCAATTTTCCTAGGTAAGAAGATGAAAAATAGTGGGACTAAATTTAACCTGAATCTTCAACAGAAAAGGAAAACCCTCAGCCTGGCCGCTCCGGGGCAGCAGAAACTGCTCTCCATGAGGAAAGTCAAAAACAAGTGGCCGTGCCCTGCGCTCTCCCCAGAGCGGGACGCCCCAGGACCCACAGCCGGTCACACCACTTCCATGCTCACTTAGCAGCAACCCCCCTCAGCCCTGCCCTTAACAGAGAGTAGCATTTTCAAACAGCGTATATTCCTTTTGTTGTGTATGATAGCTTCTATCCATTCTGAGCTGCGTGCCAATTACTAATTTTATCAGGGATTAAATTACAAAGCAGCTTAAGTTTGTTACTGTCTGCCCCAGCCATTTTTCCTGTCCACCTCATTTCAGCACGTGACTCCGCGGAGGACAAGATTTACACTATGACAGCAGAGATGCCTGTACCACTCAGAACACGAGTTCACTGACATGACTCCGCATATGAAGCTGTATGGCATGACTTCGATGGGACAGACAAGCACCCTCCCCTACTGCCTTCTTTCCTTACTACTTAGGTCAGTAAGTAACCACAAACAGAACAGCAAGAGGAAAGAAATCCGGACCAGCCAGTAACAAAATGGCCAAGTACAACCTACCTACAGTGGAGACGGTGGAGCCAGCCTCATCTAGCACATCCACTGATTCTGCCAACTGGAGCTGGATTTTTGGCACAACAGTAAGAATGGCCAGGACATCCAAAGCAAAGCGCACAGTGTCATTCCTGGACAGGAAGAAGAATCAGTCAAAGGGAAATAGGGAGCAGCCACAAGGAACAAGTTAAAAAAAGAGGGAGAGAAGGGGTCAGATCACTACCTGTGGGGCTGTCCCTAACCATAACAGCAAGACAATTTATAAGTCACTGTGACATTATTTGCAAAACACATGGAGATGGCATTTCCCCTATCAAACTGCTAAGATTGCAAACTGAGAATACTCCCCTATGCTGTAGCAATGTAGACTACCGCTCTCCAACTTCTGAGGGGGAGAAATTAGGACACTCTTTTTAGGAAATAATCTGCAATATAAAACAAATTCTTAAAATGTTCTTAACCTTTGGCCCAGGAATTTCACTGCTTGGAATCTGTCCTAAGGAAATAATCAAGACATACTAACAAGTATTTATGTATTCAGATGTCCACTGTCACATCATACAAACAAATAGCAAAAGAATTGGAAAACCTACCTAAACAACAGGAATACATGTATTCGTTATGATACACTCAAGTGATGAGCTATTCTGCAGGTACTGACAACTGTTTTCAAAAAACTCTTATTAAAGGACAAGGGGACAGGCTCAAAATTCAACATTAATGAACAGAAAACGTTAAGATATAAAATCTGAAAATACGAAGTACCAGCAAGAAGGTAGAGAAATGAAAACTCCATATACTGCCAATGGGACAAGACAACGATAGGTCATTTTCCAAGCCCTTTGGCAAACCAATAAAGAGGAAATGGAGACACAACTGTACACATCATATCCTCTTAGCAAACACATCAAACTCCCAGGCAGTGGACTGCATGCCTCATTCCACTGGCTGCGAGTGCGACATATTTGCTAAAGGCTCCAAAAAGAGTTTTATGGTACCATTCATTTGGAAGCAAAAAATAAAAATAAAGACCCACAACAAACATTAAATATCCACCAATAGAACAAACTATACATAGTAATACAAGAGTTCAAACAAATATTATCATGTATAAAACTCAAAAACATGAGAAAAAATCTGCAATGTAAATATAATGTATGAACATACAAAAGAGGACTAGATTAGTGTTCACGTGCACACAAACGTGTAGTATGGACACATGGATGGAGAGAATGCACTCCACATTCAGAAGACTGGACATTCTGGGAGGCAGGAAATGCAAAAGAACTCCGAGAGAAGCACATACAGCAACATGCCAACCCTGGGTATGGAACAGTCACAGCAATCTCTGTACCTTTCTATATTTTAAAATATTTCATAAAAAAGATGAATGATTAAATACTATAACCTCAATTATGTACACGTACATACATTATAGAAAGACTGAAGAAATTAACAGTAGCTAAAAATAATTTCTTCTCTCTTAATGTAAGACTTTTTATATTCTAAGCAGAAGCAAGTATTTAATTTTATTTTTTTTTAAACTTTTAAAGAACATATTCCAAACACATTTATATATTCTTAATAATCCATGTAAGGTTTTGCCACTCCAAAATGTATGTATAACCTTCCTCATTATCTTTTGAGCTCTCATCACCTTTTAAACAAAATTCTCGAAGTAAATACAATAACCTACTTGAATACCCCAAAACAGCTGTTTCCGAAGTGTGGCTGGGGAACTTTTGGGGGTCTCTGAGACCTCTCAGAAGGTTCTGTGATACGAAAGCTGTTTTCATAGTAATAGTGAGATGCTGCTTCCTGTCTCACCAGTATACAACGGAGCTATCCAGAAACTATGTCATATGTGATGTCACCAAAGATTGAATATAAAAGCAAATATAAGAGATTAGGCCAGACATTTTAAAAACTTGCTGAAATCATTTGGTTTTATTTTGGAAATTTTTCATAAAAAATACTAACATGCAATGGGTTCATATTATTTTTAAATAAATTCATAAATATAGTCACATTTTCTGTTTTAATTTCTAACATGGTAAATATCGCCAGATATGACACAAAAGCTCTTTGGAGGTCTCAATATATTATTTTTAATATGGGAAAGTGGTCCCAAGTATCAAAGAGTATGGAACTGGATGCTCCAGAGGATCCCCTGGATTTAATGTCCTGGGATTTAGCAAGCAAACTACACACCATTAATAGCCTCTCCTGTCTTTATGACAATGGATGGATGGGGAAAGTTAAGAGCTGTAGCCAGTTTGGCTCAGTGGATAGAGTGTTGGCCTGGGAACTGAAGGGTCCCAGGTTCGATTCCAGACAAGGCACATGCCTGGGTTGTGGGCTCGATCCCCAGTGGGAGTGTGAGGAGGGACTGTGCAGGAGGCAACCTATCAATGATTCTCCCTCTGCCTTCCTCTCTGAAATAAATAAAAGTACATTTTTAAAAAGAACCACTATATATAAAAACTCTTCTTTCTCTTCAGACTCCATCTTTACCAAAGTATCGTCGTAATTCCTTTCCATCCTCCTCCTACAGAACCCACCCGCCTCCTGATCCTGCTCTGCTGACTTCTTTTAACTGAACTGTGAAAATCACATCAAAAGCAAAACACACACTTTCCTGTGAGGATGAGATAAGCATTATATATGACTGTCAAGCAGCAGAGACACCTGAAGTTTCTAATAGCAAAGAACACTGGGATTTCCATCCTACCTCTGCACTGTCACCATGTCAATTGCATAACTTCTCAGAGTACAGAAGTTGACCCTGCCTGTGTGCAGTATTTATAAGCACCAGGACCTTAAATATAAATGAATCGTCTGTAAATTTAATAAGTTATCATCACAATCTAGTTTCTCAGGTTTGAAGCCAAAATTTCAATTCTGTTTACCAAGTATGTTAAGCATACACTCTGTGAAACAGACGTCAAGCTCAGCAGAAAGCAGACTCTAATTTCCTTGGAAACCTCCCTCTGGTCCCACCTGGCGTAATAGGTCTTCCAATTGCAGGCAATCGAGATGAGCTGCAGCAAGAGCTGAACACAGGAAAGCTTGAGGAAGACTTCAGCGGGTTCCCAGTAGAGCTGCGCTGGGCCATACTCTATCAAAAACTCCATCATTTCCACAATCTGTTCATGAGTATACGAACATGCCTGTAAGGAGAGAGGCGTATTATTAAACAACTGTATCATCTGCCTGCTACCTTCTCCGGCGCAGCTCAATGGCCAACAAAAAAAAACTAAGTAATAACAGCTTTAAACTTCCACAATCCTTCTGTCGATAGCCCACATGTGAAAAAATGAATGTTTAATCTTTCATTTATAACTGGACTCACAATACATTTTGTCCAAAAAGGTAACAGAATGTTCATTTTGCTAGCGCATGCATCTATTTCCCAGCTTAAGAAGAAAAAAAAAGTGTGTGTAAAATAATGGATTTCTTTTCAACTTGTTGCAAATACTAATTAATCTTCTTCCCAAAGCATAGCAAGTCCAAAAATGATTGAGAAACGAAGTTACAGATGCATCTTTCAGAAATTTCACATAGGAAGTAGGACATGTAGTACTTTTCATAAAAGACAGCCCTTTTACACACACTTCAGTTCATGAGTACCCCTTGGTAAACAGAATTGAGACAGATCAAGCCCACAACCCAGCAACTCACACCTGGGAATGAAATGCATCCTTGAGACCCACCAGCGGCATCTGTTTTCAGGTCACCTGCCTCCATGAAGGTCAAGTGTACCACAACAATGCGCATTCGCAGACTCCGCTGATGTGACTATGAGTCTCAAGCCCACAGTGGTTCAGAGAGTTCCCAGCTCCTGCCCAGTAAGTCCCTCACCTTGTACGGGGGCTGGGGATGCACCAGAATGCCGCCTTCGGTCCTCTGCAGCGACTGCTTCACTTGTTCCAGCTTAATGGCCAGGTGCGCCTCAAAATACTTGCGCAAGGCCATGCAGGTGTGCTTCCCAGTTTGGCGGCTGGCAAATATCTCATCGTCACTCAGAAGTGCGCCCTGATCTTCCAGATTCAGAATCTCCAAAGTACTGATCTATTCAGAAAGAAGCAAAAGAATTAGAGAAAGGCGGGGGCGGAGGAGGAGGTAAATGGGAACAGAGAACAAATAAGAAGAAAACAGGGAAAAGATTTCAGTAAATGTTTATGTCCAACAAGACTGCCAATTAACACTGCACATCTTTCCAAACGTGCTAAGAGCAGCCATCTGAAGCAAAACAGTAAACCCATACTGAAAGATTACACAGCCTTCAATCCTGTTTAAAAATATAAGGCACAAAACCTTTTGCTTTTAGAAAGATTATGGACTGTAATTCCCCCTATCAGATTACTAAATTCAAGGCAGGACTATAACGGCACAGAGTCCTCCAAACACTGATGAGGAAGAGAAACCTGTGACAGAGGGAGAAAAAGAGACGCAGACTTCCTCCAGTAAGCCTCCTCTCTATGCTGCTGAAGGACAGCCAAGCCCAGCAGGACCCCTACTTCCTGCAAAGAGAAGCCACTAAGAGCCTCACCAAGTTCACCAGGCGCCGAAGACCGTCATAGCGGTCAAAGAGCTCCAACACAGCCCGGAAGGAGAAACAGATGGAGAAAAACATGGTAGCATGGCAGCATCCCGAGGCATGAGAGCATTCCATTAACCACAGGGTATAGTTCACCACATCAGACAGGACATTGTGGGGATGCATGCAAACCTGAAAAATATAAAACAAAACAATTTTTAAATTTGGGGGGTAAAAGAATTGTGCAAAAAGATGACAAATTCACCAGTGTCAATACAATGATCATTCTGGTCAAGTCAGTCTGAGTTTAAAGCTTAAGTTACAAATGAAATTTTATAACAATCTAGTCCAAACCTGAAAACAACCTACACTTAAAACTACATACCCATGCATAATGTTGATCTCAAGAGAAAAAAACATTATTTATATACATATATATATATATATATATATATATATAATTGTTTCAGAGAGGGAGGGAGAGGAAGAGATAGACAGAAACATCAATGATGAGAATTATCTATCCGCTGCCTCCTGCACGGCCCTTACTGGGGACTGATCCTGCAAAGGGGGCATGCGCCCTGACTGAAAATCAAACCTGCTGGTTTATAGGTTGGCACTCAACCAGGGAATGATACTGATCAGGCAGCTTCTTGCTTTTTTGTTTTAATGTATTTTATTGATTTTTTACAGAGAGGAAGGGAGACGGAAAGAGAGCTAGAAACATCCATCAGCTGCCTCCTGCACATCCCCCACTGGTGGGGGATGTGCCTGCAACCAAGGAACATGCCCTTGACCGGAATCAAACCTGGGACCTTTCTGTCCGCAGGCCAACACTCTACCCACTGAGCCAAACCGGTTTCTGCTATTCTTTTTTTTCTATAAATATGCTAGACTGCCCTCCACCCAGCCATTCCCATACACCTGAATGGACGGGACTTACCCTCTCCATGGCATCCTGGTTGTAGGACAGGTAATACAAGCACATGGACACACCAGTTGCAGCCATAGAGGGACGAGGAATTTCCAGTAATTTCTGTACTCCACCATGTGCAACAAATTCTGTGGCAAACTTGTTATGGAGCAGGAGAGATGCTAGATGCTAAACAAAGGTGACACATTTTACCATAGAACTATCTAGAACAGCAATTTTCAATCCGTGTGCCATAAAAATTTTTAAGACATGCAATACCTGACTGACTATTTAGCGAGGGGCACTGACCTCTTTTCCCTTAAATTACTGAATAAAGAAATGCAACAGCCAACAGAACAACAGCCATCGGTTGTAAATGAATCAAAATTATACCTATTTTTTGTCAGATCAGCAAAAATACTTTTTGGTGTGCCACATAATTTCAGTAATTAGTTTATGTATGCCATGAGATGAAAAAGATGGAAAATCTCTGATCTAGAAAAATCACATGATCAATTCACAAAATATTAAGCTTCTAAATACAGGGAATCCTCTTAACAGAAGTAAAACAAATAGTGCTTAAGAAAAACAAATTAAAAAACACACTAAGATTCAGTTTCTGTCTTGTCATTTCATTTACATTGATCTTAAATATATTATCCAAAGAACAATCTTCAGCAAATTATCAAAACCAGAACTAATCAAAATGTAGCTTAAATACACTTGTAAAGATTATCTTAACTCCCTATTCAATTTCCACAGCCGCGCTGGGTGGACCCTATCGGCGATGTAAGGACAGGGAGTGCAATGCGAGCAGCCTGCTGCTCAATGGCTCCGCGGGCAGGCCAATGAGGGGCCTGGAAGAGCTAGAGCGCCCTCTGCACTTTCCGGTGGTGATGCAGGCACAGAAACAGGAAACAGATTTACAGTTACTGCACTGCTACCTGTGCAGATCTCCCTGAAGTCAGCAGCAACAACAGATATGTGCCCTCTTCAGAAGTTCTCCCAACACCCAGACTTAGCCTTACAGTACTCAAATCCCGTCCACTCTGTGTTCTGTGCTGCACAACCCTCTACCACACTCCCACCCCTAAAAGCAGCCATACAGAGCTTTCCCCTCTAACACCCAGGCCACTGCCAAAAAGGCATCTGGTAAGCCTCCCCTCTTCTAGCTAAACAAGGATTTTTTGTTTGTTCCTATTTTGATATTTCTGGCAATAGAAAGCCCCCAGCAATAAAAACCCAAGATGCCACATACCTAACACATAGGCCACATCCCTGTGGATAAAATGTTCAGTCACCAAACACTGGTAAGAACTTTACCTTGAGTGCCTCAAACGTAAGGAGGACGTCATTGGTCTGCTTCAGGTCAATATAGAACATCATCAACTCCCGGGACCCCAGCTGCATGAATATGGGGAGTAACTGAAACGAAGACCATGAAACAAATCTTAACATTTGGCTTTATCTCCACCTACTTCCTCTTCCATTCTGAGACCAGAAGAAATAAGGCACTTTCCCCCGCTCCTTTATGAAGACAAACCTACCAACACACTTTGATCGAACAGGCCCTATCAGAAGTGACCTATATAAGAGTTTGCCAGTTTGGGGCAAAGACGTTTTTGTATCAGAGTAAAAACACACTATTGTAGAAATGCTACCATAAAACATCACAGAAATAAGCACAGTGATTCCAAAGTGGGAGTATAGTATGTCCAATAAGCTTACCTCCTGGTATTCCCCCAGAGGAGTCAGATACTGGAGAATGAGCCGCTGTTCGATAGCAGGGGTCATGGGACAAAGGGTGTAATTGGTGCCGATCACCCAGGGGGACATTTCTGACCAACTGCTGTTAGACAGCTCAACGAACATGCGATCTGGCTCCGATGCCGAGAAACCCAGCTTCTGCTTGGCTTTCCTGAAGCTCTCTCTGTCGCCCTGTTTTGCTGACTTGTTCCTCCTCAATGCTCCTTCCTCAGGCTTTGTGGCTGAGTTCATTCTGCTGCTGGTCTTGTGGCCTGAATCGAGGTGAAAGGAGATCTCCATGTCTCCCGCGGCTTCCTCTTGTTCGCCATCCACTACGTCCACAGCCATGTCGCCATAGTCCATGTCCACCGCTTCCTCATCCAGAGGCAACAGGGGCTCCGAGGAGAGCTTCCGGGGGCTGGGCCGCTTGCTCTCTTGCCGCACAGCCGTTTCCTGAAGCTGGAGCTCCCGAAGTCTGCGAAGCACAATCGCTACCTATCAACAGATATTGGAATAAACAGGAATGTCTCTTCTGCATCTTAATTGAAACAATTCTTAACAAATATTTATTCCCACATACAGAGAACCAGATACCAATGCACCTACCCCAATGCGTGGTAGCAGTAAAGATTTAACCCTTTGCACTCCGCTGTCCCCTCTCAGGGGACATCGGAATTCTAGCATATCACTCGGATGTCCCCTCTCAGGGGACATTGCAGTTTATTAGTGATTACGGGGAATTGAGTTAATTCAACGCACGTTTCGCAAAGTAGCATCGAGTAGCTGGTAGCCAATGTCCAGAATGGTTCGGAGTGCAAAGGGTTAATAAATATGTTGGTTGATCCCTACAGCTTGATAAAATAAACAACAGCTAACTGTCTAATTCCGCATAAAATTTCCCAGAGAACCCAAACCAGAAGACCTGCACATAACTATGTCATTCACAACTGACCTCTCAGGATCAAGATGAATTGGATGGACTAAAGAGGCAGACACTAAGATATACAGTATTTACAATCTCTTAAAGGTCTTGGAAAATTATATATAGTTTCTCAAACTTGTATGTTATAAGTTATATTCTGGTAAAAATAGCCATCTACATTATACATAGTTACATAATCTGTTTTTCAAGTTCATCATTTTTTACTTTTAAGTATTTTTTGGAGCCAATCCTAAAATGTGGTATTGTGCTTAGTTTTAAAAAGAGGACCCTAGCCAAAACCGGTTTGGCTCAGTGGTAGAGCGTCGGTCTGCGAACTGAAAGGTCCCGGGTTCAATTCCGGTCAAGGACATGTACCTTGGTTGCCGGCACCCACATCCCTGGTAGGGGGTGTGCAAGAGGCAGCTGGTTGATGTTTCTCTCTCATCGACGTTTCTAGCTCTCTATCTCTCTCCCTTCCTCTCTGTAAAAAATCAATAAAATATATTAAAAAAAAAAAAAAAAAAAAAAAAAAAAAAAAAAGTACCCTAGCCGGTTTGGCTCAGTGGATAGAGCATTGGCCTATGGATTGAAGGATCCCAGGTTCCATTCTCATCAAAGGCACATGTTCAGGCTGTGAGCTCGATAAGGAGGCAGCTGATAAGTGATTTTTCTCTCATCATTGATGCTTCTATCTCTCCCTCTCACTTCCTCTCTAAAGTCAATAAAAAATATCTTTTAAAAAAAAGGGGGGGGGGGATTTCTAGCCAGGTTGGCTCAGTGGATAGAGCATCTGCCTGCAGACTGAAGGGTCACAGGTTTGATTCTGGTCAAGGGTATATGCCTGGTTGTGGGCTCAATCCCCTGTAGGGGGTGTGCAAGAGGCAACTAATCAACGATTCTCTCTCATCATTGATGTCTCTATCTCTCTCTCCCTCTTTCTCTAAAATGAATAAAAATGTGATTAAAAAAAAAAAAAGACTGGTGGAGGGGGAAGAAATGAGGAACCTTTGTAATAATATGAACAATAAAGATTGATTTAAAAAAAAAAAAAAAGAGATTATGTCCACATTTTAGTTTGAACTGCATTTAAAAAAAATGGAGTGAATCACCCTTTATGCTGCATATAAGGATGGGCCTTGTTGCAAGTAATAATAGCTGCCCTGCCCAGGAAGCATTGTTTTACCAACAGAAGTAGCTGGGGCGGGGGGTTGGATTTATATAGGCACCTCAAGAGAAAGACCCTGAATGGGGTGCATTTGTTTCTTTAGCCTTTGTGTGCAGCCTTTTGTTTGGCTCCGTTTTGTTTAGATTTATGCTTTTCGGACCCGACAGACTGTTGAGAGAAGCTTCGAATGACCCTAGTAGAGACACCATGGCTTTTTGTTTCTTTTTTAACTTCACCAGCGGATTCAAAGGTTGCCTGCAAGTAGAATCATACTCTACCCCCCACACCTGAGAGAGGGTGTGGGCAAGCAGCTACGTTCCTAGTCCTTCCCGTTCGTGCTGCGTCCTAGATTGGATCTCCGTGCCATGCAGAGGTTGGGTAACTCGTTGCTAAGGTCAGACTTAACCACCATGGCATCTCACACGTTTTCAACACAGACCTCACACGGTCACCACTGAGTAGCATGACCCCGAGGAGCTGCTGGCCCCGGGCAGCGGGGCAGTGGCCTCCGGGGAGCCAGGCTCTGCATCTCCGCCCTTGCTCCCCCCTAACCAAACGGGTGGAGCGTGGTCTGGATAGACAGAAGCGAAACCAGTGGAGAAAGCTCCAGGCAGAGACGCTGAGCACCTCAGTCATGTCTGAGCTTAGCTGTTTACAGCTTCCTAGTTAAATAGTTTGCACTATTTTTGCAATAAATTCATGGAAACCCTAACAGTTATTTGTTTTGTTTCTTACTGTGTGTATATAAACTCATACTAAAATTTGGCATAGTGTTTTTTCACCTCCTTACATAACCCTTAACATGCACAGAATGCTGTAAATCCGATAAAATATGTGAATTATATTTTATAAAGTTATTTTGTATGGTGTCAATTTTGTTTTGCCTCATAGTATGTCAGCAAAAAATAAAATAAAATTCCTTTTATTTAAAGGAAAAAAAAAGGATGAATATGTATTAAAGTATAGTAAAATATTCACAATTTAAGTGGTATATATACATCTGTTCATTTAAAATTCTTTCAATTTCATCCTATGTTTTAAAATTTTCATAACCCACTGTTAGGGAAGAAAAGAAATGGTTCTATTTTTATTTGTTATATAAACTATCATGATCCTTGACAAAATGAAAAACAGCATTTCCAAGTTTAAAAAAATTAAAATCAAAACTCTATAAAAAGTAATCTGAAAATATTGAAATTACAGGTACACTCCAGTATAAGTAATAAATAAGTAGCAAGAAAAAACTCGATTATTCTCCCATCTTATAGAAAAATCCATTTGAACATAGTCCTTACCAGCTGAGAATTCTCATCCCTATAGTTGGCAGCAATGTCCTGATTCTCCATAGCGCCTCCCAGCAGCCCAGTGGAATACGTCCTCAATGGCTGGTCAGCCTCTCGGGCCCATTTGAAAAGATTTTCAACAATTCCTTCCTATAGTGAAGAAAATGAGAGTACAATTCAGAAAAAAAATATTTTCTTTCCTTTTTTTAATATATTTTTATTGTTTCAGAGAGGAAGAGAGAGAGATGAAAACATCAATAATGAGAGATAATCACTGATCAGCTGCCTCCTGCACACCCCATACTGGGGATCGAGCCTACAGAAAAATATACTATTTTCATAATTAAAGATGCAAGCGAAGACCTCAGTCTTATGAAAAATATTTAATGTTGGTCATAAAATTTAAAAATGCAAACAAACTAAGTGTCTAATAGTAGATGGTTTCAATTAAATGTCTATGCACCTGTGAAATACAATCCTATTTAGATGTTAAAACTCAAGCTAAAAATCAAGAGCCACATAAAATACAGACCTACTTCAGATGTTAAGACCAGAACGGTTCCATGACCAAGTAGGGAGCAGTAAAATTTTTACATCCCTCTTGAAGTTCACAATGCACGTTTAACATTATTAACGCTGAGAAGTCCTGCCCAGCAGGCGTAGCTCAGTGGTTGAGCTTTGACCTATGAACCAGGAAGTCACGATTTGATTCCAGGTCAGGGCACATGCCTGGGTTATGGGCTCAATTCCCTAATAAGGGATGTGCAGAACACAGCCAATCAATGATTATCTCTCATTATTAATGTTTCTATTGCTCTCTCCCTCTCCCTTCCTCTCTTTGAGATTAATAAAAATATATTTTTAAAAAGAAATAAATATTGGAGTGAAGATAGTGAATAGAGAAATGTAGAAAATGAATGAAACCAGTTGTTTCTTTGAAAAGACCCATAAAATTGACAAATCTTTACCTAGACTAACCAAGAAAAATAAAGACTCAAATTATTGGAATCAAAAATAAAAGATGAGCTCTGGCTGGTTTGGCTCAGTGGACAGAGCATCAGCCTGCAAACTGAAGGGTCCCAGGTTCAATTCTGGTCAAGGACATATGCCTGAGTTGCAGGGTCGATCCCCAGTAGGGGTTGAACAGGAGGCAGCTGATCGATGATTGTCTCTCACCGTTGATGTTTCTCTCTCTCCCTCTTCCTTCCTCTCTGAAATCAATATAAATATATTTAAAAAAAAAAAAAAAAAATGCCAAAGCCGGTTTGGCTCAGTGGATGGAGCGTCAGTCTGCAGAATGAAGGGTTCCAGGTTCAATTCTGGTCAGGGGCATGTGCATTGGTTGCGGGCACATCCCTGATGGGGGTGTGCAGGAGACAGCTGGTCAGTGTTTCTCTTATCGATGTTTCTGGTTCTCAATCCCTCTCCCTTCTTCTCTGTAAAAAATGAATAAAATATTAAAAGTAAAAAATGATGAGACATTACTATCAATTTTACAGAAATAAAAGGAATCCTATATAATAAAGAGGTAATATGCAAATTGACCATCACCCCAAACACATATAATAAAGCAGTGATATGCAAATTGATCATCACTCCAGCACACAAGATGGTTGCTGCCGTGTTGTCAAAGATGAGTGCCCCAATGTGGACACAAGATGGCCAGCAGGGAAGGGCAGTTGGGGGGAACCAGGCCTGCAGGTGAGAGCAGTTAGAGATGATCAGGCCTGCAGGAAGGACAGTTGTGGGAGACCAGGCCAGCAGGAGAGGACAGTTGGAGATATCCAGGACTGCAGGGAGGACAGTTAGTGGTGACCAGGCTGGCAGGAGAGTGGTTAGAGGGCGATCAGACTGGCAGGCAGAAGTGGTTAGGGGCAATTAGGCAGGTAGGCAGGCAAGCAGTTGGGAGCTAGCAGTCCTGGATTGTGAGAGGGATGTCCGACTGCCTAAACAGGTATTCAGAATCCCTGGAGGGGTCCCAGATTTAAGAGGGTGCAGGCTGGGCTGAGGGGCACCCATGCCTGCATACACAAATTTCGTGCACCAGGCCTCTAGTAAGAGAATACTATTAACTCACAAGGATACAGATTTTTTTTTTTTGTCTCCTGCAGTGGTAGCTAATTAAATATTTTAATATTCAATATCGCAAATTATAGCAATAATTACAATGTTATTCTTTTTGTGGCACACAAGCAGCAAGTACTCATTAAAATACTTTTTAAATTTTTCTTGCCTGGCCAGAGTAGTTCAGGGGTTGATTGTCAACCTATGAATCAGAAGGTCATTGTTTGATTCCTAGTCAGGGCACATGCCCAGGTTTCGGGCTCAATCCCCAGCAGAGGGCATGCAAGAGGCACCAATCAATGGTTCTCTCTCATCACTGATGTCTCTCTCTCTCTCTCCCTCTCCCTTCCTCTCTGAAATCAATAAAAATATATTTAAAAAGAAAAAATAACTTTTTCTTACTGTATTGATTTCTTCCATTTCTTTAATATATTTCACTATTATAATAAGAAAAAGCTGTAACAATTATTTTAACAAAGGTAAACCAACACATCAATTACAAAACAAGGTGACTTTTCTTTCTCATAAACACCTTTTCTTGAAAAACAACAGCGGTTTCCAGCCCCGGCATGATGTCCAGGAGAAGTCTGCACGCTGCAGTGTTTAAAGGGGGCTCTCGGCTGGTCATCACGTATGCATTCACCAGCTGTAAAGAAAGAAGCAAGAGTTTTTATTTGTTACAGTCCTCGCACAAGGGGATGTTTATTGATTTTAGAGAGAGGAAGGAGGAAAGGAATGAAGGAGGAGAGGGAAGGAGAGAGAGACAGAGAGAGAGAGAAATATATGAAAAAGAACAACCAATGTTGCTTCCATACGAGCCCTGTCCTGGGATGGAGCCCACAATCTAAGTTATGTTCCCTGACCAGGAATTGAACCCGCAACCTTTGGTACACAGATGACACTCAACCAACCACGCTACCTGTCCAGGACAAGAAGGAATATGTTTTGTTTAAAATTCAACCCAAATTAATAACGCCTAACAAATCCTTAATATATTCTTATCGCTTGCCTAACAGGTATTAAAGAAGACTGTAGCTAATAATTACTACTTAGACCTTTGATTATTACTTTTTAATATGTACTTATTGATTTTTATTTATTTTAATATGTTTTTATTGATTTCAGAGAGGAAGGGAAAGAGATAGAGAGATAGGAACTTAGAAGAGAGAAAAATATCATCCATCAGCCTCCTGCATGCCCCTTACTGGGGATCGAGCCCATAACCCGGGCATGTGCCCTGACTGGGAATGGAACCTTAACCTCCTGGCTTATAGCTCGAAGCACAGCCACTGAGCTGCTCCAGCTGGCTGTCTCCACACAAGCTCCAATGGGGCCAGAGGTGGAGCCCAGGAATGCTGAGCCACAGCAGCTAGGCAGACCTTTAATACATAGCTATGATCCCACTGAGCCATGACAACATCATATATAATCTCTTCTGCAGCTTTACCATCAAATTCCCCCAAAACAACTCAGCAACCATAGAAATTAAAGCTCAAAAATATCACCAAGGAATCATCCCCCCATGTTCATATACTTTTTCCCCCCCAGAAAGATAAAGCAGGGAAAGATAAACACCCCCACCAGATTCTTGATGAGGGTTATGAGAAAAGTGAATTTTATATTTTTATATCTGTAACTAGAGGCCTGGTGCACAAAATTTGTGCACTTGGGGGGACACCCCCAGCCCAGCCTACGCCCTCTAGGAGTCCAGGAGCCCTCGGGGGATGTCCGACTGCCCCAGAGGCGGGAGAGGCTCCCTCCACCACCACTGCGTTCACCAGCTGTGAGCCTGACTTCTGGCGGAGCTGCGCTCCTTCGTAGGAACACACTGACCACCAGGGGGCAGCTCCTGCAATGAGCGTCGGCCCTCTGGTGGCCAGTGCATGTCATAAAGACCAGTTGTTCCGCCATTCAGTCGATTTGCATATTAGCCTTTTATTATATAGGATATATAAATGAATGTATTAACAAAACTTTTCTTTGGGCCGGGACCGGTTTGGCTCAGTGGATAGAGCGTCGGCCTGCGGACTGAAAGGTCCCGGGTTCGATTCCAGTCAAGGGCATGTACCTTAGTTGTGGGCACATCCCCAGTGGGGGGTGTGCAAGAGGCAGCTGATGGATGATTCTCTCTCATCGATGTTTCTAACTCTCTGTCCCTCTCAATTCCTCTCTGTGTAAAATCAATAAAATATATTTAAAAAAAAAAAACAAAAAAACTTTTCTTTGGGTATTAATCAAGTATTTATTGAATCTCTACTACAAAGTGGCATTGTCTTCTGAGTGGGTATACAACAGTAAATGAGACACAGTACCACCATCAAAGGGTTCATAGTCCAACAAAGGTGAGATTGAGAAAACAAGTATCATGAGTACAGGATGTTACAGAAGCATGTAGGAGACCATACAAGCCCTGCAGAGGAACCACAAAAGGCTGTAGACAGGTAAGGATTCCACGCCAGAACTTAAGGGCATGTAAAAGTAGCTAAGCAGGAGAGGGGAGGAGACGAAGACCAACGTAAAAGAACTGAAAACTGAAAAGGCCAGAGACAGATCAGTATATATAACAAACTAAAAACCTTATACTAAAAACCTTATGATCTACCTTAAGGGCAACAGGAAACCACTCGTGCATTTTAAGCAAGAGGGTACCATAACTTCTGCAATTTAGACAGATTTCTGGACTCTACAGTGAAGAATGGTTGGGCCCTAGCAGGTTTGGCTCATTGGATAGAGCGTCGGCCTGGAGACTGATTCTTCTCATTTCACTGAACCAACACCAGATTAGAAACCTATCTACTCTATTCCCACCTTTGTCAAGGCCTCAGGAGAAAGTAAACTATTTAGGAAAAAACACTAATGTACAGTATCAACTGTTGATAAACTGGAGAAAAGTAAGAAGCAAACCTACTGCATTCATGAAATCGTCGTTCTTGAAGAGTATTCTCAGCAGATGGCCCAGCATACACTCTGGATCAGCTCGACCTACCAAAGGAAGAGGGAATAAGCCAAGGAAAAGTAAGCCATCCCCGTCAAGCAACTTAGACCTCTGTAATGGCACCCCGGTTGTTATAAATACTATTAAAATACCAAACAAAAAGAAATAGAAACAAAGAAAGATTCCTTGATAAATTAAATTTCTTAAAATTAAAAGTGACAATATAAAAGCTCACAGTCACAACTCCCAGGTTACTGCCTACATAGAAATGCGGAATTAAATGAGCTCTAGACCAGGCCAGCAATGTTGAATGTATACAAGATCCACAAATGTATACAAGATGTGTACATAAGAATCAGAAAAACTGAAACCAGTTTGGATAGAGCATCAGCCTGAGGACTGAAAGGTCCCACTCAGGTTCGAGTCCGGTCAAGGGCACATACCTTAGTTGCGGGCACATCCCCTGTAGGGGGTGTGCAAGAGGCAGCTGATCGATGATCTCTCTCACAGATGTTTCTAACTCTCTATCACTCTCTCTTCCTCTCTGTAAAAAATCAATATATTAAAAAAAAAAAAAAAAAATCAGAAAGAGCCTAAAACAAAGAAAAACCCTGACTTCCCAGCCACAGTCAGGTAGAAACACTGCTTTTGGTGGGTGGCCTGGGAAAGACAGGCTTCAAACCCAGTCCCCATTTCAACCACAGTGCCAACATCAGAAGGGATGTGTCCTCGAACCCGCAGCCATCTCAGGTTGGAGGTAGGAGTGGGAATCCCACTAAGCAATCATCAACTCTAAAGATACAGTAACCTTGGCTTTGTTTTGTTTTTTGTTTTTGTTTTTTCATTTTTTTAATTAAGGTATTATATGTGTACATATCTCACCATTCCCCCCCCCCACTCCCATACATGCCCTCCCTCCCCAGAGTTTTTGGCCATTGGTTATGCTAATATGCATGCATACAAGTCCTTCGGCTGATCTCTTATCTCCCACATATCTCCCTAAGTGACCTTGGCTTTGAATTCTGAGCCCCTGGGAAAAGAAATGAGTCTTAGAACCTAAGATCTACCCAACCCACAGCCTAAAGGTAAAATAGTTAATGGTTGGAAGAGGTTTGTTTTTAAAAGAGATACTATCTATCTTTAGTTTTCTTTTCAAAACATTAGAGTGAAAAATTTAGTCAAAGGATGAAAAAAAGATGTAAGTTGCTGATATGAAGTTTTTCCCAAGCTGTAATTAGTATCCCAAAGTAATTCACAAAAAAGAAAAGTTAGAGAAGAGTATCATAAAAACAGCCGGGACCGGTTTGGCTCAGTGGATAGAGCACCGGCCTGTGAACTGAAAGGTCCCAGGTTCAATTCCAGTCAAGGGCAAGTACCTTGGTTGCCGGCACATCCCCAGTGGGGGTGTGCAAGAGACAGCTGGTCGATGTTTCTCTCTCATCGACGTTTCTAACTCTCTGTCCCTCTCAATCCCTCTCTGAGTAAAATCAATAAAATATATATTTTTTTAAAAAGAGTATCATAAAAACAAATGAGGACCTCAGATTCCCAACTTTCTATGTTTAGAAATGATGGAACTAAGACCTTATATTTATTAATAAAATTTAGGGTTGATGACAAATATTGCTTAACATGAGAAGTGGGGAGGAAAAAATTCTTTACATGTCTACTGAAAAAAAGCAAATCTTTCTCTCCCTTCTACCTCGTTACCATTTAATCCTTCCTAAGGCAGCATCACTAAGCATGATTCTTTTTAGTTTTTTTCATAATGCCATAATTAACTAAAATTCTTATTTCACATTTACTTCATACTCCGTACTCTGACTGCCTCACTGAAAATGTGGTTAAACAGTAAATAAGCCTGTAAAGTCAAAAGTGGGGATGTCTAGGACAGGGCAGCAAGCAACATCCCATAAACACTGGACACTCGATCTGAAATGCCTAACTTACATTTGAGAACAAATGTCTAAGAAACAGAAATAAACCCTGCAACATTCAGGTGGATATATAATGTTCTGATTTTGTAACTCCCATTAATTTTTACTTTCTCTCCATATTCTAAATTTCACACTTCCTTTCCACAAAGGTCTGGCTCTTGAGAGAGAAAGTCTAGTGCAGTGTAGGCCCCTACATGACTTAAGCTTTGCCCACTGCTTATCTACCTGAGAGAGAACGTGAAATAGCAGTCTTGAGTTCCATATAGCAAATTCCACGCCAAAGCAGGCTAGGTTGTCATGACTCTAATTAAATCAGCCCAAAATAAAACCAAATCATGACAGGGCATATTTAGCTGTCCAAACACTAAAGCAGACATCAAGAAATCTGTTTATTATTCAAGTATCAACTTCATAAAAAAGCAAGGCACTGAATGCATTCTCAACCACATTCCCCATCAGGGAAAGAAGAGTTAGCATTGCTAGAAAGGTAAAGGCACAGACATTTTTTGGCTTAAAAGTCAGAAAGAGAAAATATTTTTCTCTTTTTAAGGCTCTGTAATCACACCAAATGAGTCAATAAGGTATACCTACATTTATTTGATGTATAAATATTATAAATTATTTCCATTTTCCCAGAAATTTATTTTCCTCACTGCTCCCACCTTGAGCAATATTTTAAAAATATTAGGTCTTAAAACTTAGCATGAAATATGCTATTTCAATTGAAAACTATTTTCTTAAATAGTTTTCTTTTGTAAGGAAATTAGAGCCACATTTAAGAGAACACAGGTCTCACCAGGATGTCGATCATCAAATGGATCTGGATCCCCCTTACGATATTCTTCAGTTTCTTTTTCAATCAATTCAGACATCCTAGCACAAAGAGAAGACAGGGTCAACCCTAGACAAGCATATAAAAACATGTACCACCACCTACAATAGTCAACAAAGTGTAAAATAAAAGCAAAAAGTTAAGAAAGGGGTGTTTTTCTGATAAAGAGACCTAAGCAACCATCTTATAAAACAATTTCTACTCCCAAAATCATTCCTCTCCCCTTTCCTGTCTCAAAAAATAGCATACATCTCCACTGTCATTCCTCAGAAGCCAAAAACCTAGGAGTCATCATTAAACCCTCGTTTTTTCCTCATCCCCCACAATTCCTGTTAGTCCTACCTTCCAAATACCTCTCAACTTCAATTATTTCTCCAAATCTTGCCCATCCAATCCTTGTCCAGACCTCCATCATCCTCTGCCTGGACGGCTTGCACCGGTCTCGCTTTTTTGCTTCAGTGCTTGACCCGACAATTCATCCTCCAACCTCCAATGACTTACCCCAATAACTGAGCACTATCTTGGCTTAGAATAATCTAGATTCTGTCTGCATCTCTGACCACTTCTCCTCCACTCCTCTCACTAAGCCACAGCAGCATGGCCTTCTCTGATTTTCAAAGAGTCCAAGTTCATTACTGTTTCAGGGCCTTTCTTTGTGCTGTTGCCTCAGCCTACAACATTCACCCCCCACGTAAGCAGCCACTCATCTTCTCTCTCCTACTATAGATATTTTGCCTATTCCACAATTTCATATAAACAGAATCCTTACACTCTTTTTATATCTGGCTACTTTCACAGAATATGTCTTAGTTTTTGTTTTGTTTTTTATCTTATATCGATTTGAGAGAGAGTGAAAAAGCAAGAGTGAGCGAAAAAGAGTCCCTTTGTATTCATGCATTCTTTTTGAAACAAGAAAATCACTTTTAAAAAAAATTTTTTTAAATCACTTTTTAAAGAAATATATTTTTATTGATTTCAGAGAGGGAGCAAGAGAATCATTGATCGGCTGCCTCCTGCACGCCCCTCACTGGGGATCCAGCCCATAACCTGGCCATGTGCCCTTGACCAGAATCAAACCCAAACCCTCCAGTCTGTAGGCCGATGATACAGTGATCAAACGGGTTAGGGCAAGAGAACCCTAAGCAAGACTGACACTATAATCTACTATAATGACAATCAAATACAAAGCTGTCCCACCCTCCAATATCTAGATGCTATCCTAACTCAAACTCTCCTATGTTTCATTTCCATAAAACCATACTTCCTAGTCTTAGGGTTAAGCTCCCTGCAAAAATTCTTACCCACTCTGTATATTTTTCCCCACTTATACTCAGAATTATTTCTATTCTATCTTTCCTTCTAAACTGAAAATTATCTTTGCCACAAAAGGCAGTTACACAAAAAATCTGTAAAATTACATAAGACCTAATAGAATCTCCAGTTGAAACTAAGCAATACAGCACAATAGAAATTAAAAACAAGGATTTTGGAGCCAGATTGCCAGGGTCCACACCTTTCATTAACCGTGTGTCCAATTACTTAACCTGTCTGTGCCTCATTTGTAAAATGATGGTAACGGTACCTATTCCTTGAGGTTTAGTTAATATATGTACTCTGCTTAAAACAAAGCCTGATATGTGAAAGCTATTTAGGTGTTGTTACTATTAAAAATGAGAATCAGCCGGAGCCGGTTTGGCTCAATGGATGGGGCATCGGCTTGGGGACTGGAAGGTCCCGGGTTCGATTCCGGTCAAGGGCATGTACCTTGGTTACAAGCACATCCCCAACAGGGGGTGTGCAAGAGGCAGCTGATCAATGACTCTCTCTCATGGATGTTTCTAACTCTCTATCCCTCTCTTCCTCTCTGTACAAAATCAATAAAATATATTTTTTTAAAAATAAAATAAAAATGAGAATCAAAGACAAACAGAAAATAACTAAGGTAGATACTGACTGGCCCAGGGCAGACGGGAGCCTTCTGGAGGTGCTACGCAAATTCTACAACTTGATCTGGATGACGGTTTTACAAGTAAAAAAATCCATCAAGCAAAGTACTTTACAATATATAAATTATATTTCAATAATGTGCATTAAGCTCACACAGCTTGGCCCACTGCCAGGCCCTTTTTACAGAACCAAGTCAAAGGCTTGATATAATAAACAAAATAACATAAATAATAAAATCAATTAAAGTTATAAACAGCGGTACATTTTTCTTAGGAAAACTGCCAAAAGAGCATAAAAAAGTAGTGGTCAATAAAAGAGTAAGTAGGCCTGTAATTCATTTCCTGCTTCTTCCTTTTAAGAAACAAAATTGTATGTGTTGATTTTAAAGAGAGGACGGGGAGAGAGAAGAGAGGGCGGGAACATGGATTTGTTCCACTTGTTTATGCATTCGTGGGTGGCGTCTTGTATGTGGCTTGACCTGAAATAGAACTGGCAACCTTGGCATACCTGGACTGCGCTCTAACCAACCCAGCCACACAGCCAGGTCCGCTGCTTCTCTGGAAACATGCCAATACCCCACCTGCAGCCACTGAGGAGCGGGTGGAAACATGAAGGACCAAGGACTATCCAGTGCACTAACAGCCCATTTGGAAGGTGGTGGAAGTTGCCCTATCTAAAACAAGCTAAACTTGTGAATTCATCCTCCTGTCCTGAAACCCTCTAACCTTAGAGATCTTTTTAGGATTTCACTCCAAACCACTTTCCACTCCAGCCTTCTATTCACCCTCCACTCTGTGGGCCCATTTCCTCACTGCTACAAACTATGCCACAGTCCCTTCTCTCCTCAATGCGTTTGCACATTTTCTAGAAAACCTATTTCTCTGCTTTTCATCAAGCTATATTCTACCGCCTTTCAAATCCCTTTTCCAAGGAAACTTTACCTCATCCTGTACTGGAAAGCCCACTGGAATTGGAGTTAAAGCCAGGATTCTAGCCTCAGATTTCCACTATCTGGCTATGCGGCTTTCCCAAGAAGCTCCAAGGACAGCTTTAACAATCTAACTCTCAGTGATACTTTTAGTAACAAATGAGGAAGTTGAGATTCAGAGAAGTGTCTCATTGAGTTCTGACACACAAAAGGTCTTCTAATATTTGTTGAGTGAATAAAAGAAGCTGACTCATTCAAGTTCTTTCCATTCTCATAACCTCCACAATATTTATGAACAACACTTTCAATATTTTCAATATTTGTGAAAGTAAGTGCCAGATTTAGCAGTTATTTTGTACTATTCTGCATTGTTTCTTATCCATTAGTTGCTTCCGAGAAGTTAGCACCTTGAACACAGACCCTCTATTTTAGGTTTTGCATTACTGAATAACTTAGCATAGTGACAATGATGATCAATAACGATAGATGTGAAATAAAATAGCCTTGAAAAATAAAACATTTGAATTTTTTTTTTGAGTACATGTGTTTGATAAAATTTTTAGTGCAATTAAGTGATCCCCACTTATGATTCTCTCCTTCTTTCAGTTACATCAATAATCCAAATATTAACTGCACAAAATTCACTGTGGCTGCATTTCAAGTATCTTGTGATTAGTTCTTAATCCCCAATGCCTCTACAAATTACACCCCCTTCCCACCAGTCAACAACTGTCCTTAAAAAAAAACCTCTATACTTTCACATGTTCCCCATGTATCAGAGCAGTTATGAACAAACGCATTTATCTCTGTTTAAACTTTCATTAGATCAGTTTTCTTTATCCCTAAAAAATAGATCATTGGTCCTTTCTTTATCCCTAAAAAATAGATCATTGGTTCTGGACAGGTGACTCAGTTGATTAGAGCGTAGTCCTGATGCAACAGACATTAGGAAATACGGTACTACTCCATACTGAAAGAAACTGACACTCTGAAGCAGGAAAAGGAGGTGGGGCCAAATGTGAGTGGCCTCATAAACCATTCTAGAAGTTTCCATTTCAGCCCTGGTCAGTTAGGTCCATTGGTTAGAGCGTCCTCCCTATATGCCAAGGCTGCAGCTTTGATATCTGGTAGAGCACATGTAAGAATCAACCAATGACTGCATAAATAGTGGAACAAAAAATCATTGTTTCTCTCTCTCTCTTTCCCTCCCCCCTTCCTCCTCTTCTCTCTCTCTCTCTCTCTCTCTCTCTCTCTGAAATCAATTTAGAAAATAAAATAAGATGCTTATATTTTATTCTGTAGGAAAACAGGAACCAGGAAAGAATGAGGAATAGAGATAGGACAATCAGATTTGTGTATGGAAAGATGAATTTTTGCCAAAGGGGAGGGTGTATTGGAAGAGGGTAAGCTGGAGACAGGGATAACAAACACTGCCTCAGGGCCAGGCAGTAACCAGCAGATACCTATGAGGAAAGCAGTGATGGGATGGTGAAGAGGAGGAAGCAGAATCCTCAGAGCACGATGGCTCAATTGTGCTGGTAGAGGAATACACTAAAGAGGATGGTTTTCAGTTTTTTAGTTTAAAACCATTTACTCCAAGGCATGGAATAAGCTGTGAACAGGAAGGAGGAAGGATGAAGACTATAAACTCTATTTTGGACATGGTATGTTTTAGGTGTCTGTGCAATAGACAGGTAAAGATGTGTGAAACGAACAGCTGAGAAATGTATCTGAGATTTAAAAAAGAGGGGTCTGAAGTAAAAGTAGAGATTTGAAAGTTAACAGGAATAATGTTTTAAGTCATGGACGGAGATGAAACCATCTTGGTAGAATACTTACATGAATGGAAAAGAAAACCACAAACAAAGCCCCGCACTTAAAACACAGGCAGAACAGGCCCGGCTGGCATGGCTCAGTGGTTGAGTGGCAACCTATGAACCAGGAGGTTCAATCCCCAGAAGGGTGCGTGGAGGAGGCAGCTGATCAGTGATTCTCACTCATCATTGATGTTTCTCTCTCTCTCTCTCCCATTCTCTCCCTCTCCCTTCCTTTCTGAAATCAATTAACAGGAAGGGGGGGGGAGGGGGGTACACACATACACATAGAAAAACTTACAGAGGAGAATGACAAAAGGCCTGAGAGGAAAGGTAACCAAGGCATTTATATGCATATATGCATAACCTATGGACATAGACAAGAGTGTGGTGAAGGTGTGGAAGGGGCAGGTTCGGAATGGAGCGGGTCAATGGGAAAAAAGGGGGGGAACATCTGTAATACTTTCAACAATAAAGATACAATTTTAAATCAAATTTAAAAGAAAGGAATGCAAAGAGCTTCAAGAAGTAGGAAGATAAAGACTAGTTTTGAAAGGGAAATAAATGGATTCAGAATTCATAGTTAAGGTGAAATGTTCCTCTCTCTCCTAATAGTGGTACAGTATATAAAATTATACTATTCTACAAGTTTTCCTTCTTTAAAAATTAACTTTTTAAAAAACTGATTGTTCATACCTGGTAAGAAGAGGTACCATGTCCTGCCCACTGCCATGTTCCTTTTCCCACTGCTCCAGCAGGGTAGTGAGCTCAGCTTTAGAGTCCACATGTACCGCTACCGTAGTCATGGCTTGGCCTAAGGAAGCAAAAATAATAATAAAGATAAACAAACCTGACCCACTTCTTACAAAATGTTTCTCTCTCTCTCCCTTTATCCCCCCTTCCTCTCCCTCTCTCTCTGAAATCAATTTGGAAAATAAAAAGAAGATGCTTTTATTTTATTCTATAGGAAAACAGGAACCAGGGAAAAGAAAGGAATAAACAAGCATAGGAAATAATTAAAAGCATGAAAATGTTAACCCTTTAGAAAATGTTTGATTGTGATCCAGTGAGAAACGTGGGGTTGGGAGCCTGGATAATCACACATCAAGTCATAATGAGCAAGTCATCACCTCTTAGCTTCAGTTCACTCAACGTCAAATTAGATAGAGACACGGACTGAAATCATGATTCTTAAACTTTTTAGGATCAGGAAACTCCTTGGAAATCAGACAAAAGCTATGGCCCCTTTCACTCCTTAAAGTATGTAAACATAAATGATCCCAGGTCTGGACAGCTCCAAAACTTTGAGACTACATTTTTTTAAATACAAAATGTAGCCTAGCTGGTTTGGCTAGATGGATAGAGCATAAGCCTGCAGACTGAAGGGTCCTGGGTTCAATTCCAGTCAAGGGCATATGCCCAGGTTGCAGGGTTGAGCATCAGTAGAGGGCGTGCAGGAGGCAGTCGATCAATGATTCTCATCATCGATGTTTCTCTCTCTCTCTTCTTTCCTCTCTGAAATCAATAAAAATATATTTAAATAAATATATATAAAAATAATAAAATACAAAATGTGGCAAAAGCAACTCCCCAAAATGTTTTGCTCTTTTAAAGTCTTGGGGGGGGGGGGGAGTTCTATGAAAAATAAACATTTCCCTGTTTAAGTCTTAACAAAGTGGATATCATTACCAACGTGAAAGCTGGGAAGGAGTATTATAAGCCCATTTGTCCTCAGGCTTCCTAACCTCTCTCGCAGGCGATTTCTGGAAGGAGGTTGCTGGGTTGAGTGGTCAGCCAGGGGTTATATAAGGACAAGGAGCTGAGAAAGGCCTTGGAGAAGCTGCAGGAGACATACCTGCACTGGGAAGAGATGTTTACAAGAGGCTCCAAACGGAATGAGACCCAAATGTTTAGACAGTTTATAGACCAACTTATTGGCCAACGTAGTTTTAGGTTCAAAATGTCAGCTCCTGCCATGCAAAATGTGTTCTTTTCACTGAAATAGCAACCATTTTATAAAAAGCTTCACACCAGAAAGGGATTACTAGCTGATCTAGGATTACTGCTCACTTTTCTAAAGATACCCACCATAAGGCCAAAAGAAGTACGTAAAAGTATCTAAAATGTAAATGTTTGCATTTTAATAATGTAGAGACAGTTCTAGTAGTAGTGATTCATGTCATCTGGATTACTCATAATTCCAAAGAACAAACACTTCCAAAAACAAAAAGATTAAAATTAAATTAAAAGTTACAAAAGGAAATACTGCTGGTATGACCAACAAACATAGAGTTCTGACCTTAAGAAAACCCAGGCCGTATTTTTTACTATAATTACTAACTATACATGCATTTTTAAAAATAAATTTCTTGGAATTTTACCTTTACAAAAAAGTTGCAAAGATAGAACTCCTACATACTCCTCACCCAGCTTGGTTTCCTCTAATGTCACCATCCTATCTTACAGTGATACAATGTCAAAAATTACGAAACCCAATGTTGGTACATTGCTACTAACTCAACTCCAGACATGATTCACATTTCCCCAGTTTTTCCATTCATGTCCATTTTTTGTTCCAAGATCTCACCCAGTGTCCTACACTGGCACTGAGTTGTCGCTTCCCTAGTGTCCTCTGGTCTGAGTCTTTCCTTGTTTTTCATGACCTTCACAATCTTGAGAAGTATTTGCCAAGGGGGTTGGTTGAACCAAAAATGTAACCAAACATTTACAGAATAACATCAATCCTTAAATCCTTTCCAAAAAATACAACTGGAGCCAAAACCGGTTTAGCTCAGTGAATAGAGCGTCGGTCTGCGGACTGAAAGGTCCCAGGTTCAATTCTGGTCAAGGGCATGTACCTTGGTTGCAGGCACATCCCCAGTGGGGGGTGTGCAAGAGGCAGCTGGTCGATGATTCTCTCTCATCGATGTTTCTAACTCTCTATCCCTCTCTTCCTCTCTGTAAAAAATCAATAAAATATTTTTTTTTTAAAATACAACAGGAGCCACCATTTTTTCCTAATTTATTCCACAAAGCCAGCATCACCCCATACCAAAAAAGATAAAACATCACAAGAAAACTCAAGACCAGTATATTTTATGAAAATAAGTGCAAAAATCCTCAACAAAATATTAGCAAGCTGATACAGCGTCATGTAAAGAGGCTTATATACCATAACCAAGTGAGATTTCTTCCAAAAATGCAAGAGTGCCTCTACGTATGAAAACCAATTAATATAACACATTATAATACATTAATGTGTATAATATAATACACAAACAAAATGAAGGAGAAAAAATGATCATTTGATACAGAAAAAGGCAAAATCCAACACCCTTTTGTGATAAAAACAAAAAAACAAACAAACCAACAACAAACAAACAATAAACTGGGAACAGAGGAGAACTTCCTCAACCTGGTAAAGGGCTTTTCTTAAAAACCCACAGCCAGCATTATACTCAATGCTGAAATACTGAAAGCTTTCCCTCTAAATCAGAAACAAGACAAGGATGTCCACTTTCACCTATTAAACACTGTCCTGGAGTTCTAACCAGAGCAATTAATCAAGAAAAAGCAATAAAAGGCATCCGAGAAAAGAAAAAGTAAAATTATCTTTATTCACAAATTATATCATCCTATATATAGAAAATCCTAAAAGAATCCACCAAAAAACTATTAAGCAAGCAAATTAGCAAAGTACAGCTACAGGGTACAATGTCAATACACAAAAATTAGTTGTATTGCTATATATTAGTAGTAAACGATACAAATATGAAATAAAACACTTTCAGCTCAGCCAACATAGCTCAGTGTTTGAGTGTCAACCTTTGAACCAGAAGATCATGGTTCAACTCTCAGTCAGAGCTAGCTGGTTTGGTCCAGTGGACAGAGTGTCAGCCTATGGACTGAATGGTCCGGGGTTCAATTTCTGTCAGGGGACATGCCTGGTTTCCGGCTCGGTCCCCAGTAGGGGGTGTGCAGGAGGCAGCCATCAATGATACTCTCTCATCATTGATGTTTCTACCCTCTCTCCCTCTCTGAAATAAAACATAGTAAAATATAATGAAATAATAAAAATTTTTAAAGTTATTCCACTTAAAAAAAATTTTCTCTGTCAGGGCACAACAAATCAATATTTTTTGCTCTCTCTCTGTCTCTCTCCCCTCTCTTCCTCTCTCTCTAAAATCAAATAAATTTTAAAAATTAAAATTAAACAAATGTTAAACATAGAATTGCCATCTGACCCAGCGATTCCTCTCCAATGCATTTGCCCAAACAAATTGAAAATAGGTATTCAAATAATTGTACACAAATGTTCAAAGCAACATATTCACACTAGCAAAAAGGTGGAACCAGCTGCAGATGTCCATCATTGAGTGAATAAACAAAATGTGGTTATGTCCTTAAAATGCATTATTACTCAGCCACAGAAAGGAATGAAGTACTGAGACATGCTATAGCTATGGATGAATCTTGAAAACAATATGCTAAATGAAAGACACCAGACAAAAGGTCACATACTGGATGATTCCATTTATATGAAATATTCAGAATAGGTAACTCCATATACAGAAAGCTGCCTAGTGGTTGGCAGGGGGTTGGGATGGAGGAAATAGGAAATGACTCCTTAATGAGTACATATAGAGCTTCTTTGGGGAATGATGAAAATATCTTCAAACTAAAAGAGGCTGCACAATACTCAATATACCAAATGTCACTGAATTACATGCACTTTAAAATTGGTAATGGTTAATTTATGGTATATGAATTTTATAATCTTTTTAATGGAAAAAAGTTCTATAAGGAAATACCTTTTGGAAAACAATCAGCCTAATGAGCACATAAAGGCAAAGTTTAAAAAAAAAAAAAATAGCTGAAACCGGTTTGGCTCAGTGGTAGAGCGTCAGTCTTCGGACTAAAGGCTCCCAGGTTCGATTCCGGTCAGGGGCATGTACGTTGGTTGCGGGCACATCCCTGGTAGGGAGTGTGCAAGAGGCGGCTGGTCGATGTTTCTCTCTCATCGACGTTTCTAGCTCTCTATCTCTCTCCCTTCCTCTCTGTAAAAAATCAATAAAATATATATTTTTTAAAAAATACTATCTCTAATAAAGGTCAACTCAGTCTGCAACCTCCCACTCCCCAGCGCCGGTCAGGGGATTTTATTTTTATATTTATTTATTTTTTAAAATATATTTTATTGATTTTTTAGAGAGGAAGAGAGAGGGACAGAAAGTTAGAAACATCGATGAGGGAGAATCATCAATCAGCTGCCTCCTGCACCCCTCCTACTGGGGATGTGCCCGCAACCAAGGGACATGCCCTTGACCGGAATCGAACCTGGGACCTTTCAGTCCGCAGGCCGTACCTTGGTTGTGGCCACATCCCCAACGGGGGGTGTGCGGAAGGCAACTGATCGATGTTTCTCTCATCAATGTTTCTAACTATCCCTCTCCCTTCCTCTCTGAAATCGATAAAGATATATTTAAAAGTAAAATAAAATGAGGAAGAGAAAAATCAGGGGGAAAAAATTTTTTAATGATTTCCTACATATCCCCCCCATTCTCTTAGCTCCTTTTAAATCTTTTTTTATTATCTTTATTGGGGTGACACTGTTAATAAAAGTACTATAATATATCATCTGTCTGTCGTATTGTGTGTTCTCACCACCCCACGTCTCTCTTAGCTCAACATCCATCCACACATATCAAACCCAAATCTCGACAGCATCAAGCCAAATCGATCCCTCAAGAGCCTAAACACACACAAGCTTACATAAACCATAAAGGTCAGCTCCAGTAAAGCAGAA